CTTTTCGGTGGCTTACTTTCCCTTTTACTTTTTTTTTCACTCTATTTTACTTTGATCGCATACCAATGATGAGTTTCCATTACTACAGAGTACAGACCCAGGTCACTAGGGACTTGGCACTTTAGATCGAGTAACTTCCGTCCGCCCAAAAGGTGGATGTCAAGTCGCGTGTGATGTGTTCCATGCTCGAATTCAGAAAGCCATATGCCGCCGCTAGTGTTTTGATGTGGAATCCACTGTTCCGTGCTCTGACGTCGGTGTGGACGCCTCTTTAAGGCCCCCGGCTAATGGTGAGTCGGGGGGTTTTTTTTTTTTTTTTTTTTCTCTGCCCTTGACTGCTCCCGTGCTAAGGAATAATAAATAATAATACCTGCTGTCGGGGAAGAGCGGAACGGATCAAAAACCATAGAAGAGAGCGATAAAATTAAAATAAAATTGAATAAAAAATATTAACAAAAAATAAACTATCTGGTGTAATCCCACTCGACGAAGTACAGTCCTAGCGGTAGTTCGAGTCAAAATACCAGCCGTTGCTGAAGTCGAAAAAATGTGCAGTTGGCCACAGCGCGATAAGCCAGAAATGTCAATGTCAATGGAGGGGGTGTTGTTTCCAACGCCACTCAGCAGCCAAACAGCTCCAAGGACGCCGGCGGGTTGCGCCATGGGATCCTGGTAACGTGGCTGCGATCTGACTTGATGATGGGTGGTACATGTGCCCCGATAATTTGATGGACAAGAACTCTGAGTTTAAAATATGCGACCGAATTGTCTTTTTGTTGATGTGCGGCAAAAAGGGAAAAATCCAAATCGCGGTTCTACGAGCACCACGATGATGCAATTAATTAATTTTAATTAACCTGTTCAACTATCTGCATGACATAGGAATATGATATATTCGTCAGAATTAGAAATCATCTTGAGACTTGAGGCAGGAGAACATGGGCCAGAAGGGGAGGGGAGAAAACAGAGCCGTCTCTAATAGTATGCGGAGCAGGTCCGACTCGACAGGGAATCCTCTCTCCCGTCTTAGGGTGGATACTACCAACGGTCGAAGTCTTCACAAGAAATCTGTATGGGGCATGTACTGAGTACGGATACTACTGTGTACGGCGTACGGGGACGTGCCTAAAACCCAGTCACCGTCGGAATCGTAGGTTTAGCCATGATCCCAATTCTGATCGGAGAAACCCTTGTGACCATGTTGGGAAATCGATATTAGATTGTCAATATATTAAACATGCGAGGCATGATCTCTGCAGAAAGCGACTGGAGATAATATTATTTTTCCTCACCTCGATGCGATCGCCAATAGATTCTTCTGTGCAGTTGTTACTTGTAAGCCATACCGTCATCGTGCATGGGGCTGGTTTTTTTTTTTTTTTTTTTTTTTTCCCCTCCCCTTGTCTCTTCCCAACTTCTCAGCCTGTGCTGCGGAGTAGGTATCCAATGTATCTCCCGTATGTAAAGTGTCGGTGCAAACCGCCAGCGACTTACTAATTTGTGTATAGTTTCCCTTCTAGTGTTCAGCTGCCCCTCTCCCCCTCCCCTCCTCAACGCCGGACAGCAGATTCTGTTGGATAATGTCGTCCCTCGAAGAATGAGGTGTACGTGGCCAGCACCCGTGATGAATTCCAGACATGCACGATTTTAGCCACCGAACCACCCATCTGTAAGTATGGTAGATACCAGGTAGCATCGCACCACCACTGCAGACGGTAAAATTGCTTCGACGAGGGAGGGGGGAAAGAATGCTTGTCAGAGCTCCTGCTATGCATTTAAAAAGATATTACCATGATGCGCGTGCGTCCATACTCCGTAGGTTGGTTAACGTGTGTGGATGCAGTGGTGTGCACGGGTTACTCAATATGTCTAAGATGGCTGCGGCGGCTCCATAGTGGGAGATACTTCAAACCACCACCACATTACTCCGTACTACTGTGCACTACGGTGCATAGATCACCTATCAAATCATCTGGCCCGAGTCAATCATCTCCCATCCCGATGGAAATAGCCTCATGTAAATCCCGTAGTTTATCTGTACCTGACTATTCACCGGGCTGCCTACATCATGGAGCTGCAGCATCTTGTCAGACAGTAACCACTTAGCTACCACATGCCCCGAGTAATATTTACCGGTATTATGCAGCCATCGCTCATAGGGCGACCGCTGCAGCCGGTCCAGGAGGGCCAAGTCATCCACCACTCCTGCCCACGCTCCAATCATAGCCTGGTCAGGGCCCCGGGACTCGACTCTTGGCCCTTCCGCTTTACATCTGCACCGTGGCCGGTGAAGTCCTGTAGAATCGATGCATTCATTCTACTGGGAGGTAAGGTATGTAGGTACCTACACAGTAAATACCCTGGGTTTCCAGAGAAGGAAGTAATTTCCCATTTGCATGATCTCCTTGAACTGAGTCGCGTTCACATCCTGAGTATTGAGTACACCGTCGAAGCAGGTATGTCGTTCACTGCACTGGGGAGCCCATGGGAACCAAATTCCAGATTACATTACTTACCAGTTACCGTAATGTGATTAGTTAGGGGCGACTAAGACGACGACAGCAAAAGGAAAGAAAAAGGGACAGAACCATTGAATCACAACCCAGCCGGTGGAGTCGATCCACCTTCCTTCTGGGAGCTTTTTTATCTCCAGTTGTAGAGCGTCCCCCACGGAACGGGTATACCCTTTGACGTATCTTTGTGATCTGCCACTTCCCCGCTACCTTGAAACACTCTTAAGGGCTCAAGGCGAACCTTGGTCGCTGCATCTAAGCTTAAGTCTTGGCGCCGCCTTTCTTTCCTCAGAAAGTTTTTCCTTTTTTCTTAATTTTAATTTTATTTTCTTTTTTCAGTTTTATTATTATTATTTTTGATTATTTTTTGGCTTTCCGCGACTGTCCCCCCCCCCACTCTCCCACGCGCTTTCCCCCTTTTGTCCTGGGGACTCCTCCAGAAACACTACTTTGTATAGACACGGCACAAACTGCCCCCTCCCCATCTGCCCCCTTTACACTAAACATTTTGACTGTAGGGGGGAGCTTTTTAGTGTACCTCCAAAGCATTACCACCCTGCAGCCCAATTGACCTTCCTCAGTTGGCTTGAAGCCAGCCCACCAGCCCCCCTATGATTAGTGGTTTGGTAGGGTATGGATTATTCGCGCAATCGCTGCCAAATTATTCCGGGGAGGGGGGGGGAAGGTACGGAGGGGACACACATGGTGTACGTACGCATGTCTTCTTCCTCCCCACGACGGAATAAGCAACTGGATATCCGTAAGAGAATGCTCAGTCCCTTCATACTATGGAGCACTCTTAGTTCTTAGTTCTGGCTGTGCTTTTTTTTTGCCTCTACGGAGTACTGCGTAGATACTCGCGCAAACCCACTTCTTTTCTTACCCCCCTCCTGTCTTTGCATCGCCTCCTTTTTTTTTTTTTTTTTTTCTTTCTCTGAGCAGTTCATCGATCTAAAACTGTTTTTTTTCTTATTTTTAATAGAGTTGATTTGAATTTTTTGACGGACGCTGGTCCCCATCCTAGAGGCCAGTACGGAGTAATGAGTGCATCCTGAAATTATTACGGATTACGTACAGCCTGCAGAGGGCGACCCGGTATTTGGTTACTTACACTCATACATGCCTACCTCTGTGTACTATGTTCCGATCCCGGAGTTTTAGGTCCCTCTCCTAGTGTCTCCCCTTTTTCCCTTTCCCCTGCTTTTCCGGTGCTTTGTATTATTGTCCATTTGTTTTTTCTTTTGTTGTTAATATTTTTTCTTTTGTTTTGGCTGTCCCTTGATTTTGTGTACAGTATATCTAGATTAAGCGGAAGATGCAGTCTACAAGAAATAAGATTTGTACGTCCTTGCAATTAATTTCTGCGCATGATTTGTTATTCTGAGAGGACTCGTCGCGGTCCTTAATTGTGATGCGAAGAATGATGATGAAATGCTGGTAAAAATAGAAAACAAGCAATTAAAATGAGTCCAAAATAAATGATAAAATTAAATAAGAAAAAGAAAAGAAAAAATGAAAATTCATCAATAAACAACCCCAAAATTTAAACCAAACCAAACTAATTCCAAAATTCAAATTTGAACCAAGGAAAAGGGAAAAGGGAAAAGGAAAAAGGACCAAAAAAAAAAAAAAAAAAGCAAGCGACCCATCCAAAACCTTGAGGGTCACCCGAGGAACTGGTTCCCATTTGGAGATTTCCCACTGGCACTAAGCAATTCCTCTGCTTCGTTTTTTAACACTGGCGCCGTTTCGAAGCCTAAGCGGCCCAAAGTAACGATCTGCAACCGTCCCCGACGGGACGTCGTCAGTGGCACTAGCCCATCACCAACACGGCAACGCCAGGGCTTCCCTTCGTCCCTGCGGCCCATCCTCATGCTGAGATCCTGTATTTGTTCATAAGCTTTGCCGATCCCCTTTGGGCCCTTCCCCAGACTGCCTGTCTATCTCTCTCTCTCTCTTCCTCTCTCCTTCCCCCTTTGCTTTTCCCTTATTATTCCCGTCGTGGTCACCGGTCTTCCCCCTCCCCAAAAAGGCAGATTGTCGCTCTATTTCTCCTCTTTGGTTCTTGATCTTTCTTAAACTCTAGCTTTCCGTCGGATTGTTTTCCTGCCCTGACTATCGCTACTCCGCGCATCTTCTTCCTCTTCTACTCCTTCCTACATCGCGGATCAATTCAATCGCTTTATTGATTGATCGATCTTCACTATCTTATTTCTCTTTACTCTTTGGTCTATCCCTTCACACACCCTTTCTTCCTATCGCATCCCCCACCTGCTGTCAATCTTGCACAACACGTTCTCTTGAATTCTTGTGTACATCGCGATCATCTTCCCCTTGATCGTCCGTCCTGTTGGTTTTGTCTTGAACCTTCGCATTGTTTGTGGTCGTTGCGAAAAACAATCGCAACTCGCCGCGACGCCTGCATACTCAACATAAACAAGGAATTTGTCCAGAATTCCACCCCAATCACATCTATCCTCCATGACGATGGTCATTGAAAACCAGAACCGCCAGTACGGCGGGATGGGCTTCGACAACGTCTATCAACATAACATGCCGCACCACAACCCTCCTCAGTTTACCGACCCTTGGACCGCTGCTCATACCTCGTCCCATTCCACCCCGCCTGTGTACGCGACCTCCATGGGTCTCAACCATGCCAAAGAGGAAGTGACCCGGCCTTCGCCCATGTCGATGCCCTACTCGAGCATCCCCGTCTCCGCACCGTCCATGGTCACCGGAAGCAACTACTCGACCACCACCGCGACGAGCTACCCTGGGCCCGAAGTCATGGGAATGCAGCACGATTTGCCACGTACCTCTTTCGAACAAGCTCCCGCTTACACCACGACGTCACCCATGAGCACTTTCGCACCCGCCAGCTATGCGCCTTTGAGCTACGCGCCTTCTCTACACCAGGATCGCCGGATATCTCATGCGTAAGAAAATCCTCTCCCGTTTCGCATTTGCGAGTTTCTACGCGTTGTGCGAAGACTTGCGCTAACCATGCTCTTTTTCACTCACAGTGATGCCCGCGTTGGTCCCTCGCAACCCCCCTCTGCTCCTACATTCGGTGATGCGCTTGACGCCAGCCGCGGAATGGTCGCTCTCAGCCAGGATTTGACGCCCCGTAACATCTATGGTCCTCGTGGCTCCCGGGGATCTGGCGATTCTTATGGCTTCCCTTCCACCCACTCTTCCGGATCCTCGATCTCCTCGGGAGGAAACTATCCTTACTACAGCGCTTCTGTCGCATCGGTTGAGTCGTCTGTCACCGACTACAGCTCGACGACGTCGGAATCTTACGAGAATGGACACCTGTCGCGCACTCTCCCTCGCCCGTCGAACCTTCTGTCTGGCAGCGCTCCCCCGGGACCCCAGTCAATGATGAGCCAATTCAGCTCGAAAATGCCATCCAACACTCAGAAGAAGCACAAGTGCAAGGTGTGCGACAAGCGTTTCACTCGGCCTTCGTCTCTGCAGACCCATATGTACAGCCACACCGGCGAAAAGCGTAAGTGCCATCGATGATTTTCCACTATCAGCGGTAGATACTGACAATTTGGTCTTCAGCATTCGCATGTGATGTGGACGGGTGCGGCCGACACTTCTCAGTTGTCTCCAACCTTCGACGACACAAGAAGGTCCACAAGGGCGAAAAGGATGTGTCTGGCGAAGATGACGAGTAAATCTTCCGCCGTTCACATCCAATATTCTACGCCTAATATTTTTTATCTTTCAACCCTCAAGCCTTGTCGCGGTGCAGAGCGATGGAAGCTTCAATACGGCTTCTGCACTGAACGGCCCCTGACAAGGCATCTCACCCCTTGTACAACAGCTTCCGACTTCTGCGGATTCTTCCACTTCTTATTCATTCTTCTTTTTTCCCGTCTCTGCATTTGACAGAGAATTGATACCCCTTTTCTTCTATTTTATTATCATGGATCGGCAGGATTACGGTACAAGGGACTTTGGAGGGATTTCTCGGTGATGTCTTCTGTTTTTGTCTTCCCACGTTATGACCATAGAAGGTACCGGTTGTTTTTCCTGCATGGTTTTGACTTGTTTATTTTCACTTCTTTCGCTCGCTTAGACTAGGGTGTTGGTGCTTCCCTTTTTCTTTTGTTTTCTGGCACGAATCTTCTTTTCTGATACCAACTGGGTTGTGTTTATTGTCTGCATTTTTTTTATTCTATTTCATTCTGTGATTCACCGATCTTGGTCATTTATCTTACATATACCTCGATCTGGAGATCTTCGCACCAGGTCCGCTACATCCTTTATTGATATTATTTTGTTTGTGTGTGAAACTTGATTCGATCTGCTTTTTGTTCCTTTCCCTAGAGCATTGGATCTCCAGGATGGCTTGGATTTGGGTGCTTCGTGATACAGTATATCACCGGAGGACATAGGAAACTGATACCCGCTGCGCAAATTGGGCGGAGCATGGAGATTGAAACGAAATACCTGGCGGCGATGCAAGCATGCTCGATTTGAAATTTGTTTTTGGGTTGGGTTGGGGTTGGTTTTGATTTGGAGCAAGCATACAAATAGACACGATGTGGGTGTCATTACGGTCGCTACTTTTTATTGTTTATTTATACCATAATTGCCTAATAAATTTGATATACGGACATTTTTTTCCCTTGTAAAATTTTGGTTGATTTGTTCCAGCACTTGTTTCTCGCCTTCGACAATGAAGGCGAAGACTTCCATGATTCTTTGGTCGTGATCTCCCGGTGGTATGTTTGCTGCTTTCTGATCTTCATAACTACGAAACAGCTAATACTGAAGCATCGGCTCTCTCGTCCCACAGAACCATGCTCGAATATCTTGATCCTTACACTCGCCTCTCTCTCCACATCAAAAATTCAGGATATCCCCGGCAAGCCTGAGGTGCTAGCGCCTCTCTTTCCCTGCTAAAGGACAATCCCCCATCTTCCGAGATGGTACTGCAGGACAAGTTAATGGCCAATTCGCTCTCTTTTTCTGAGAATGGGAGAGCATGATCCTTCGGCTGGCGAAACAGCGTATATTTCGAGGCACATGCAATCTCAAACTAGCGCCCCCTTCGAGACGTATTTGAGGTATCACAATACAATCCTCTATCTCGCATATGTGCAGCGACTACCATGTGGTGAATCGGCGTGGGACATCCATCCATCAATCCCATCTTTTGCCATCATTTTATACCATTCTTTTCTTCTCATCACTCGTCTGTTCCACATATCTCATACCCATCTGGATATCTACATGCATATCGTGTCCACGACAAGCTTCCAAAAAAGCATTCAGGCTCAGATGGATCCATAAACCTACTACCTCTGACCAACTCTCCTCCCTCCTAATCTGTCACTTTTGTCGTGCACAACCAGAACGTCCTCCCTCAGCCTCAGGCAGAATATAGCGTCATCAAGTTCCTCACATCGCAACAATAGGAAAGACGTGTCTGTTATCTCCATCTACGGGGTATGTCTACATAGGTTCTCAACGGAAGTACACTGATAAGGGAAGGGAACATGGAGCTCGGTATTAGCTCGGTATTTCCATCCAAGTGCTCATGAGTATTATGGTACGTAGAGATCCGTCACCAGCACCTCTGGGGCTATGAGATACGTACCCATCAACGTGGACACGTTGACGCCCTGCATATCGTGGTAGTGGCTGTAGATGACGTTGCCCGAGGTGAAAAGAGGCTTGTAGATTAGGGTAGCGTGGCTGGATGTGGTTTCTCTGCGAGAGTCTCCTGCGAGACATTTAGAGAGGGAGGGGTAATTTGAAGGGATAATTTGGCTATTTGGAGGGGTGTTACTGCGATAGGTTAGATAAGGAGAGTTGCCGTGCGGAGAAGGAGATATAAGAAGATACACGACTGAACATTCCTTCTGATGTCGCCATATAAAGGCCAAAGATACCGCATCCTTGGGATAGAGACAACTCTAGTTCTGGCACAATCCTATATAGAGTACTATGGCTTCATCCTCAACCTCCCCTCCAACTTCCCCCGGAGATGTCACCAAAATCCTCCGCAAAGTCGACCGTCGACTCATCCCCATCCTCTTTTTCACGTACATGTTGAACTTCATGGACAAGACCATTCTCTCCAGCGCCTCGGTCTTCGGTCTTATCGACGATACAGTCCGTCCCTCTTCCCTTTGATGAATCCATCCATAACTGACTCCCCTTGCAGAACCTCGTCGGCCAACAATACAGCTGGGTCTCCAGCATCTTCTACTTCGGCTACTTCTTCTGGGAAGCGCCCACCAACCTACTCATCCCTCGACTCCCCGTCGCCAAATACCTGACGGCAAACACCCTCTTCTGGGGTGCCGTGGTCGCCCTGACCGCCGCCTGCGTCAACTACGGCGGTCTCCTCGCCGTGCGATTCCTCCTCGGCGTCGCCGAAGCCACCATCACCCCGGCCTTCATGTTCATCACCACATCGTGGTACACGCGCGACGAAATCCCTATGCGCACGGGCATCTGGTTTTCAGGGAACTCGATTGGCGGACTCGTCGCCAGCTTGCTCGCCTACGGCGTCGGACACATCCCAGGGCCCCTAAGCCCCTGGCAATGGATGTACATCATCCTCGGGGTCGCGACATTCCTCTGGGCACTCGTCCTCTTCTTCTTCCTACCCGACAGCATCTCCAAGGCGCGATTCCTAACCCCCACCGAACGCACCCTAATGACCCACCGCGTCCTCATCGCCGGGACCGGCCGCACTGAACAAACGACCTGGTCATGGCCGCAGACCCGCGAATGCCTGATCGACCCGAAAAGCGCCTTCCTCTTCTCCCTCGCTTGCCTCACGCAGATCCCCAACGGCGGGACCCAGAACTTCAGTAACCTAGTCATCACCTCGTTCGGGTTCACGGCGCTACAATCCACGCTCCTCAACATCCCGACCAGCCTGATCAGCGCCGCCACCATCGGCGTGACAGGGTGGATCGCCAGCCGATATCGAAATGCAACCTGTCTCCTGCTCGTAGGGATCACATTGCTGAGTATCACTGGAAGCGCGATCATCTATGCGCGCGCACACGTACCGCTCGGGGCCCAGCTCTTCGGATATTTTCTGCTAGCGACAGGCCCCGGCGCCTTACCGCTGATTATGTCCCTGGTACAGGCGAACTATAGGGGCGTGAGTAAGAAGATGTGTATGACGGCGCTGATGTTCGTGGCGTATTGTGCGGGGAATATCGGCGGTCCGCATCTCTTTCGATCGAGTGAGGCCCCGATCTACCAGACTTCGTTCCGGGCCATCATGGTCTGCTATAGCATTGCGGGGGTGCTGGCGGTTGCGCTGAGAGGGTATTTGGGGTGGTTAAATCGGAGGAGGGATGTGAGGGAGGGGGTTAGGGGGGATGCTGGGTTGGCAGGCGCGGTGATCGGGGTGGAAGGAAGAGTAGGAGGTAAGGCGCAGCAGGGGAGGGAGCAGACGAGGCAAAGGCAGGATGTGTCGGAGTTGGTGCATTCAGTGGAGTTGAGATCGGAGGATTATGAAGATGTGACGGATTGGAAGACCGTGGGATTTCGGTATCGGTTGTAGATGGTAGATGGTAGATGGTAGATATTATATCCGTGGATTGAGGACAAGACAGTAGATACGAAGTCTGCAATGTCTATTGCAATGATTAAATCAAGCCCTTTTTCTACCAGCAAAATCCCTAGCAAATATCATAGTCAAAGTCCGCAACGCCATGTAGAGCCCATGTAAAGCAAAATTATTATGCACATATAAGACAAGTCTTGACGGCGCCGGGCAGTCCAGTCTAGTATCTCTCATCCCTCTTAACGGATCCGATCTAGTTTCGCCCGGTTCATGGCAACCTGGTCGCTGACGTAGTCGCTCTGCAGGATGGTTAGACTTGTTTGTGGACAATCTGGGTAGAAACTCGAATGTACTCACCTTGCCCGTGATACGCTCCAAGTGGCGATTCTGTTCGTCCAGCTCGCGGCCCGTCGCCTTGGCCAGGCCGTTCAATCGGCCCGCCGCACCGCCCAGCAGATCCAAGTTCTGTTCGATCTCGTTCTCCATGCCTTCATCCTCGCTGTCCGCCTCGAACTGGTACTTGGCCCGGTCCGTGACGTTGGTGCGACCGCCTCGCCCTGGCTTGCCCGCGTCGCGCTCGATGTTGCGGAACGTCTGCTCCATGCGCTGGTTGGTGCCGAAGGCCTCATTCCGGGTACCTTCACGAGCGGCCCGTTCTTCTCGGTGCGTGTTTAGGATCTTCTCGTCGCGGTCCCGTCGTCGCCGGGAGCTGGTGAAGGGGTTGGACACGTGCACGGCGAACATGCTCTTGTTCAGCGTCTTCAACTCTCGAGCCTTCTCCTCGGCAACCCGACCCTCCACCTTGGCAATGTCCAGGTGCTTCTCGGTATCGTGGATGCGCTCACCCTGGGCTCCCAGACGGGCCAGCGTCTCGCGACCGGTCTCCTCGGCCTGCGCCGCAATGCGGAGCGCATTGCGAGTGGACGCCACATCGCCCTGCTTGATGAATCGGATATCCTGCTTGATCGTCGAGATCTCCTCCTCCTCTTCCTCTTCCGCCGTCAGCTGCCGCTCCTGGTACGTCGACGTGTTGTACGCATTGCTGCCGCCGCCGTACGCGGGAGACCCCTCGGTATAAGGCGGCGGGGGAGCTCCGCCCGGTTGCTGCTGCTGCACTCGCTCTTTGGCACCACCGAACAGCGCGTCGCGGTTGGCATCCCCCGCAGCGGGGTCATTGGGATCAGCACTGCCCAAGCCTCCGTAGCCGCCGGGGCCGTATCGAGAAGCTCCAGCAGCAGGGCCGGCGCCGCCAGCACCTCCGCCGCCGAATCGATCGCTACCGTAACCGCCGGTGTTGTTGTACTGGTTGGGAGCGTAGCCGCCGCCCTGGTACTTGTTATCGGCGGGGATGCCGTGGGGGCCTGAGGCGGGAGCGGCGGGAGGCTGCTCCCCCGCGGGCAGAGGAGCCACGCCGGCGGTGATCTTCGCTTTGGTGTAGGGATCGGTGGGAATGGGCTTCGCGTAGGGGTTGGCGGGGGGCGCCGGGCTCTTGTTCTTTGATCGCGAGCCAAACAGCGCCAGGCGGCTGGAGGACTCGTCGTCGTCGGACTTCTTCAGGCCGAATCTGCCCATTGTGGAGATTAGTTGAGGTTGTGGGTCTAGAACAGAGTATTATAGAAGCAGATAAAGAAGATACAAGGAGACAGAATGGCGTCAACAACAGAATAGGGAGAATGGAGGGCAAAAGGGGGGAAAGAAGAGAGAGTGAGAAAGATGAAACTGCCACGTTCAGGACGTTCAGGGGATCGGCGGGCAAAATGTCAGGTCGAGAGTGTATCTTTGGTATTATAGATACCCGCTACGTGGCAGGGAAATATAGGATAATGGGGGATTGTGACAGTACCGGGACAGTATAATATAGTGGCGGTGCTAGGCTATGTTGCCACTAGGCCACCTCCGGTTAGCTCCGTGGCTGAGTCCGGCTAGCCAATCAGAGCCAAAAAGTCACAGGATCACCGTAGCTGCATCCTCAGGCATCCATCGCTGCTTCCTTCCGCCTTCTTTCCGCCCTCTGTCTTCTGCCTTCTTCTCCTCCTGCATCAATTCAGCGTCCTCCCGTCCCAGCATGGCGCCATTTCCAGGGTCTGATGCGGACTATCTCCGGGACAAGGCGCGTAGGGATCTGTTGAATCTCCTGGAAGGCGTGAGTTAAGGCTCTCGATCGTCTTTGCGCATACTCGGGCTGAACTTCCTCCAGGTGCGCGGGAAGAAGAACCTCGTCATTAGCCAGGACCTGGCAGGCCCGGTCGGTCTCTTTGTCAAGTTCTCCCTGCTTCAGGAGTACGGGGTAGATCGTGTATTTCTCCTCGAGAACGCCAATGTGGACTCCTCGCAGCGCAATGTGATCTTCTTAGTCCATGCCGAAAAGACGCGCCAGGTGCGCGTAGTGGCAGGTATGTTGGTTGTCTTTCCACCTCCTCGGCGCCGTTTTCTTTGTAAATTGCTGCATGTTCTTCGAATTTCTGCAATGAAAATGGGACGAACTGTAGATTGCGCAGATACTCCACCTCTCCGTAGTCGGTTCAGTTCCCTATATCAAATCTCCAAACTGCCCAGCTCATCTCTAAGGCCTTCTTTCCTATATCACGTGTGACTGGATGCCATCAGTGTGAGCTGACATCTCGCTAGAACAGATCCAACGCCTGCAGCGGAACGGCAATGTGGAGCATGAGTTCTCCATATTCTGGGTCCCCAGGCGAACCCTCGTAAGCAATGCCATCCTGGAGGAGACCGGCATTATCGGGGACGTGAACGTCACAGAATTCTCCCTGTACTTTGTGCCTCTGGAGCAAGACGTCCTGTCGCTGGAGCTGGAAGACGCCTTCAGTGATCTATATCTGGTAAGAGGACTTGTGTATAGAAAAGACTGCAGTGGACTAAAACCGGGCGCAGCATAAAGACCCGGGATGTGTGTTCCTCGCCGCAAAAGCTCTTATGGATATTCAGCAGCGACACGGTTATTTCCCGCGGATTATCGGCAAGGGTGACAATGCTCGACGACTAGCAGACCTGCTGCTACGGATGAGAAAAGAACTGGATGCCGAGGAAAGCTCCGGCCTCATGGATCCCTCCACGAGAGGATTGCTGCCTAGTGCAGATACCGAGAGCCTGATCATCATTGACCGCGACGTGGACTTTGGCACGGCTCTCCTCACACAGCTCACCTATGAGGGCTTAATCGACGAGACCGTGGGCATCAAGCAAAACCAAGCCGATGTGGACACCTCTATCGTCGGCTTCACGCCGACGCCGCAAGTCCAAGAATCCTCCAAGGCTCCGCAGCAAACATCCAAACAGGGCCAGAAACGCAAAATCCAGCTCGATGCCTCTGACCAACTCTTCAGCCAACTCCGCGATGCCAACTTTGCCATCGTCGGCGATATCCTGAACAAGGTCGCCCGTCGTCTGGAGACCGACTACGAAAGCCGACACACGGCGAAGTCGACGACCGAGCTACGTGAATTCGTCAACAAACTCCCTACCTACCAACTGGAGCACCAAAGCTTGCGGGTGCACACCAACCTCGCCGAAGAAATCATGCGTAACACCCGCGCCGACACCTTCCGCAAGATTCTGGAAGTCCAGCAGAACAACGCCGCCGGCGCCGACCCGACCTACCAACACGACTCCATCGAAGAGCTCATCGCCCGCGACGTGCCCCTCAAAACCATCCTCCGTCTCCTCTGTCTTGAATCCTGCATGTCTGGTGGTCTCCGTCCGCGCGACCTGGAGAACTTCAAACGCCAGATCGTCCAAGCCTACGGCTACCAACACATCCTGACCTTCTCGGCGCTGGAGAAAATGGACCTCCTCCAGCCTCGTTCCTCCGCTACGACCATGCTTCTTCCCACCACCGGGGCCCAGACCGGCTCCAAAACCAACTACAACTACCTGCGCAAGAACCTCCGCCTCGTGGTCGAAGAGGTCAGCGAAAAGGATCCCTCCGACGTCGCCTACGTCTACAGCGGCTTCGCCCCGCTCAGCATCCGTCTCGTCCAGTGCGTCCTGCAGAAACCCTACATTCTCTCCCTCATCCGCGGCGGCTCGACCGCCCCAGCTATCACCGGCCCCAGTCCCGCCAGCACCGCCTCCCCGGGCTGGCTTGGCTTCGAGGATGTCGTTAAGAGCGCGCGGGGGTCCACCTTCAGCATCGTGCAGAAGGGCGACGACAAGGCGGTACGCGCGCGCCAGACTATTAGCGGTAACAACGCCACCAAGACCATCTACGTCTTCTTCTTGGGCGGCATCACCTTCACGGAGATCGCGGCGTTGCGGTTCATCGCTGCCCAGGAGGCGCCGAGACGGAAGATTGTCATTTGCACGACTAGTATTGTCAATGGGGATCGCATGATGGATGCAGCGATCGAGAAGGGCGATTTTGCTAAGATGGAGTAGTTCTCCTTCGCCAGTGGGTACGAATTTTCAGGGGACGTAGAAATGTGGTTCTTACTTTTATTTGAACCCTACCTACCACTTTTATTCGATATATGAGAAGAAGCGCATGACAGCACGATGGGAAGATCCATTAGCAAGCATACCTAATAAACTCCCTAGAAGAATCCAACTAGGACTCATGCATTTCTCCATCCACGCCAAATACAGTAGTACCTAAGCACAACAGAACGATATTCATCATCAAGCTCACCACCACCCATACCTCACATCCAAAAAGTATATCAAAAAGAAACCAAATCTAATACCTAAACCCCGACCCCACCCCCATCAACCTTCCTTGATACCTCTCCATAACCTCCCCCAACTTAACCATAACACCCGCCGCCAACGTCCTCGCCCTATCCCTCCCCTCATCCCCATTCCCAGCACCCTGAGCCGAAATCCGATCAAACACCTGCCCAGCCCAGTCCCTTAACTCGATCACCTGGGCCGCGTAATCCGTCACGAGTCGTTCTTCGCCAGCCGACCCGGCCTCGACGTTGAGGTCGATTAGGGCTAGGAAGAGCGAGAGCAGGGCGGTCAGGATGGTGGGTTCGTCGGCGACGGGGCGCGTGTGGAGGGTTAGGAGGAGGGAGGTGGTTTCGTGAGTTAGTGTTGGGAGGGAGGGGTTGTGAGGGCCCATGGTTGAGAGGAGGAGGGTGAGGGTTTGGATGAAGAGGGAGAGGAGGTGGGGGATTAGGAAGGGGTTCGAGGAGGAGGATCTGTAGAGACTTGGTTAGTTAAGGCCGGTAGTGGGGAGAAGGATATTGATAGGGAATGGATAGGCTGGGTGAGTAGGCCAATGAGTGGATGGATGTGGACTTACGAAGAGAATTGCATGATCATGACATCGAACCGGCCCTTGAGAGGATAAAAGAAACTGTCGGCAAGGACTTTATGGAGGTCTTTGATGGTGGACTGTTGGCGTTGCGATTCTCGCTGCTGACGCTTCTTTTCGACCTCCATGCGGGAGGAGAAAGTTCGGACTTTGAGCGCGTCCGGGCCCGAGGTGGAATCTGCGGCGGTAGCAGCGAGAGGTTGAATGGAGGCTTGCGAGAGTTTATGGGTGAGAGTTGCGATGGGGGAGTCGGTGTCGCTCCTGTAAAGGGCTTCCAAGGCGGCGGGGAGTTTCTTCGAAGGGAACGAGGAGTCAGGGAGGGCTGGAAGGCCGATGGTTCGGGCGTCTTCTTCACCGTTACCGGCTAGTTCTCGAGCACTGAGACCCAGGGCTGTGAGGATAGCGGAGCGTTGAATCTGGGATAAGTCGCCGTCGAAGAAGATGGCCGAGAACCACCGGCCCAGTTTCAGCGGTTGCGAGACGATCAACGCGATCATGCTTTGGAGCCGGAGTTCGTGGAACTTAGGCATCTTGTTCGGCTCCTGCAGGCCGACGATGATGAGCGCAAGCTCGTCCGTCTGCTCTGCAAGCTCGGTGCCGAAGCCGGTCTTTCGTCGAATGAGCGAGGGGGCGGTCGTGATGGCCAGCTCGTGTCGTTCGACATTGTCTGTATCTCGCAGGTAGATTATCAGGTCGCGGATGTATCTGTCGGAATTGGTTAGATGTGCGAGTAGTAGATTGGAGGCAAGTGGAACTTACACTGGCGCCGTTGGCTTGTTCCGCTGGATCAAGGTTGGGTCATCGTCGGAATCCGAGGGGTCTTCATCAGGTTTCTCGTAAGGGATCAAGTCGTCGTCTTCGTCCTCAGACTCTGCGTGCTCGTCCTCGTCTATTTCTTCTATCGACATGATTTTGACACGCTGCTGGTTGGGTTGATTTCCGCCTGCCGTAGAAGGTGTATGTTTGGACGTCTGGTTGTGTGATTTGGGTGTCGACGTCTGAGGTGATCGAATCGATTCCAGCGAGCCGACCGTGTCTTGCGTCTTGATAAGACCAAGATACCATCGCGCCTCGTCGCTGTCCATCTCTTCAAGGTCAAATCTCATCGCCTTCCCTTGCTCCTCCACAAGCTCGGAGATTGCCGTTCCGATGATCATGCCTAGGAATCGACACCTCGTAGAAGAAGATGCTAAACGGTTAGAGACACTGCCGAGGAAAGCGCCCGAACGTCCTATGCTCTTCACTGCTGCTGGATCAAGCCTTTGAAGATAGCCAGCTGCGAGAAGAATGACGTGGGTGTTTGCTAGGACAAATCAGCATGCGTAGTCTATAGATGAACGATGGACAGCATACCTTCTTGGCTGGTGGTAGGTGCATGCTTTATATAAAACTTATCAGCAGATTGCTCCAGTCCTTTTGTGAGCAAGGTATATATCAAGCCTGTGGCAAGTATTGTTAGTGAATCTACCATATACTGCAAGGGACCTCACTTACCTTGTTGCTCAACAAATGTAGCCAACACAGCTCGTCGTAAGCCTACCGTTCGAATTGAAGACCCCTGTCCTTTTGACAGCCAATCTACAAGCTGGGCTTGCAGATTGGTATGCCCGCGTAAGATCATTGAGCATAAAGCGGCAACGCCGTTGATTACTTCGTCGGACGCATTATCCCTCCCAAATGTGAAGTAGTTCTTTTCAACGTCGCGGAATATGGCTTCAACTACGGAAAGCTGCTCTGTTGGGCGGAGATGGCTGACCAAGATCCCATATTGTTTGGAAAAGTCGTGTTCAATCAGGAGACCAGTGTATATTTCTCGCACCAGTTTGTCTGAGAAAGGTTAAACGCAGGGACAGTGAAATGGAGGATGGAATGTTTACCTGTGTACCCAAGGCTCAACGCCCGCCCTGTCAGGGATGCAGCGGCCTTCCAATGCCCCTCTTTTTCTGCATCTATCTTCGCTACCATATAGCAAATATTGGAACCAATCCAGGCTGCATACTTGGATCCGTCTCCGACCCAGGAAACTGAATTCACACCGTCAATATCACCAACTAGCGTAAATGCCTCAGCTGCAGTGGAAAGGACTCTGCTGGCAGCAATCAGAGACAGCAATTCCCTCCAAGCGATCTGCTTCTGAGTTTCACTCCCATATAACGAGTCGATATCTGCATACAGACGGGATGCAAAATCCCTCGGTTCCAAAAGTGCAGAGATCACCGATAAAACGTCTCTGAGTTGAATTTGATGTCCCGAGGCTTTGGATGATCGAGCGGCACTTATCAACGAGCGGAGCTGGGTGACCAAGCAGCTGATACCGGCAACGCTGCTCAGGCATCGCAGCAGCGCCGCTCTTGTCCTCGTATTGCTCGACTTCGACCCCTTCGCAATGGGATTCAAGGACTCCCAGTGATGGGGAACCGTGATGCTGACTAAGACATTGATGATTTGCGCTGTTGTCGGGCTTGGGATTCTAACGTCGAATCCTGAGGGGTTTGAGTCTTGACTGGATGGATCCAGTGTCGCAAGAAGGCGGGAGAGCTCAGCGTTGTCGGGGTTGGACTTGAGAGCTGCTAAGATATACTGCGATGATGCCTGGTCCTCATTCAGATCCGATTCTTGTTTCTCCAGACTAGGTTTATGAGGAGCCTCGGAGGCAGGGGTTAAGGACACCCCTTGGTCATGGGTGACAGTCTTGATCTCAGTGAGTAGTCCGTCCATGTTTTGATGATATCATTCTTGAACCTGGGTTGAGAAGGAGAGATGGTGAGTGGATGAAATTGTATGGAGCGGCCGGGTCACGTGGGGTTATTTGGGCTGGGCCGGATTGCCTCTTACGGACGGTGGAACGCCGCTCCAAATGATCGTGGTTATCGCTACTGTCAGGGTTTGTTTTAGCTGCAGAGAGAACTGATGATGATAGCGCACTTATGTTGTCTCAATTGAAGATGAGTTGGTGAAGTATCCAGAGCAGGGAATAAAAAGCGGCGGCGAGCTAAGCCCGCTCGAGCCAAACAGGCCTGGTATGACTAAGCAGCAGAGGGTCATGGACAACACCAACGTCACATCCTCGTGCTGCATCTCGGCATCTCACCATCCATACGTACTAGGTCTCTGGGAATAAGTAACTCGGAATCTACAGAATAAATCACTCCCTATTTCGGCTTCCTATTCAAGGCAAATCCACACCACTGCGGGCGTCCCCGCTGTTACTACCCCTCATATACCTCCACTGCGGCCGCACACGGTCATCATCTTCCATTTGCCTTGTTTTCTGATCGAGTTTGAACTCCTGATTTGCCCAAGATGGCTTCAACCGATCCATCCCTTCGCTGGTGAGGCTTGCAGTCCTGTGATATCCATATCATCAACAATATTAATACCAGCTAGGAAGTACCTGTACAATGTCTTGAGCAAACCCGGCCCCCAAAGCGACGAGGACTGGGTGCCTGGACCAGAGACGATAGGCGCTCTGGAGAGCTCGAAAGTTCTGTATGTTCCCAAACCCCATTTAATAGTGCACATCGCTAATATAAGCCTAGAGTCATGTGAGTTTGGGAACCCCATCAGAAGATTGACGAGACGACTAACAAGTGAACCCCACCAGAGGAGCTGGCGGCTTGGGATGCGAGATTCTCAAGAATCTGGCCTTGTCTGGCTTCAAAGACATCCACGTTATCGATATGGGTAAGGCCTCCACCAAATCTGAACGAATTCTCATCTCTAACGATACTAGACACCATTGATATTTCCAACCTGAACCGACAATTCCTGTTCCGCCAGTCGGACATCGGAAAACCGAAGGCGGAGGTTGCCGCGTCCTTTGTAGAGCGTCGGGTCAAAGGCGTCAAAATCACCCCGTACGTCGGGAAAATCCAAGACAAGGACGAAGATTACTACATGCAATTCAAAATCGTCGTATGCGGTCTTGACAGTATCGAAGCCCGACGATGGATCAACGCCACGCTGATCGGGATGGTTGACCCCGAAGATCCCGAAAGCTTGAAGCCGCTGATCGACGGCGGGACTGAAGGTAATGATCCTTTCCATGAGAAGAGTAACAGGAAAATACTAATCGCGCCGCAGGGTTCAAGGGCCAAGCGCGCGTGATCTTGCCTACTCTATCCTCGTGCATCGAATGCCAGTTGGACATGCATGCGCCCCGACCCGCAGTCCCTCTTTGCACCATCGCGACCATCCCGCGCCAGCCTCAGCACTGCATCGAATGGGCGCACCAGATCGCCTGGCAGGAGAAGCGCAAAGACGAGCCCTTTGACAGCGACGACATGGAACACATCAGCTGGGTGTACAACGCTGCGCTCGAGCGCGCGAAACAATTCAACATCCATGGCGTCACGTTCCAGATGTCGCAGGGCGTGGTGAAGAACATTATTCCCGCAATCGCGTCGACGAACGCGGTCATCGCTGCCGCCACGACCTCTGAAGCGTTGAAGATCGCCACCTCGTGTAACCCCTACCTTGAGAACTACATGATGTACGCGGGTGAGGAGGGCGTGTATACCTATACCTTCGAGGCAGAGAAGAAGTCGGACTGCCCTGTGTGCGGAAACCTGGCGCGGAAGATGACGGTCGACCCGGGGATGACGCTGGAAGCTTTTATCGAGACGTTGGGCGAGCGACCCGAAGCGCAGCTAAAGAAGCCCAGTATGAGAACGGAGGAGAGGACTCTGTATCAGCGCTTCCCACCCCAGCTGGAGGAGCAAACCCGAGCGAATCTGAAACGCAAACTCGGAGAGCTGGTCGAGAACGGGCAGGAGGTCGCAGTCAGTGATCCGGCATATACCATTGATTTCCGGTACCGACTGGAGTTCAGCTAGATTGGTGCACGATGCGCAGAGTATTTTACTTGCTTGAAATGAGACATGAGTTCACTACGACAATAATACCATTTCTTATGACTAGGCACGAAAACAAACAAAAATAAGGAAATCCAAATCTGCTTTTTCTATATATGAAAGATTTGCCCTATCCAGACTCCCGACTGTGAAGAAGGTCTTGACCAACTTTTTTTCATAAATGTACAGGAACACGCAAAAGAACAGCAAAAAGTCCAACGCCGGTCAATGCATCATATAATTTTAGAGATCATTTGAAGCGGACAGGTTTACCGCGCGAGATCCGTCAATCCGCGCTTCCACCGCGCGCATTTCAGCTTCAGCACCTTCACACTTTCCAGGAAGAGGGTGTCGCTCTCGAATTGGCCGGTGCTCTCGATGTTGAAGATGAAGTGGTCGCGCACACGACCCAGCTTGACCTTGCCCTGGAACTCGTCATGTCGCAGACATTCCCTGCTCACGGTGTCCTTGAAGGCGTCGCGCACAACGGCCTTCATCTCACCCTCGTGTCCTTCGTACTCGCTGTTCTTCTGGGTATCTTCCCGGGTGACGGGCTCCAGACCGATGACGCCGCGCGGGAAACACTTGGCGAACTTCTTCGCGTCGTCTCCGATAATGGGGCGCTGGATCTGGATGTCCGGCAGCAAGCGGTACGTCGCGGTCGCGACAGGAGAGAACTTGGCATGATCGGCACCAATGCCTTTAATGCAGTGCAATTCCATATCCAGCTTCTGTCCCGGACGAAGCTTAGCGACTAGGATGTCTGGGTTGACGGGCTGGATGGAATCGTCGCCGCTGAAGTACTGCTCCTGGCGACCGACGGGGTGGAAGGTGATGTCCTTGGCGTAGATGTGCGCATTGTTGTACAGCTTGCGGGGATCGGTCTCGTTGGGATCGGCATCGGGGTTCTTAGTGCATTCCGCGTCCAGCCGAAGAACGATGGTGTTGTAATCACTCGGGGTGCTGCCGCCTTCCGGGTCATCCTCGGTCGGCTTCTTGAACCAGCTCATCCAGTTGATGCCGTCAACGGAGCCCTTGAGCGGGATGAGACCCAAACGTTGTGCGAGCACCTCATCCTGGATGACGGAGGTATTGTTATGGACGAAAACGAACTCGATAGCAATGCTGGGGACTTCAGCCATGAGAATTCGACGGAAGGCATTTGCGATGGAGGCATCGAGGCCGACCAGCGAGAAAGAAGCTTCGAATCTTTCGTTCTGGTGGAATTCGACCTTGAAGCCCTGGAGATGAGATCGACGTGAGAATCTAAAGAGTACATAAAAACGAGGAGTATCAGACAGTGGCATACCTCTTTAAACTTGTCCAGCGCCCATTCGTGCGACTCGCCGGGCCAGTGACCGGGAAAATCTGTGGAGGCAAAGTTGGAGACAGTCTCGGGGTTGATACTGACGAGCTGAACATCGTATTAGCATAAACGAGAAATTTTGATGTGACCGAGGTTTGAGGAACATACCCTTCTGCGCTGCAGTTCCTCCTGCGAGGCCACAAGAGGCGCCATGGTGAACTAGCAATTGGCGATGAAAGTTGCGAGAATGGCGGGCAGAGTGAGTCTTGGGGATGGAAATGGAAAAAGTTCTGTAGAAAACCGGCAGTATTTCTGCCTGCCTGAGGCGGACATGCCACCCGGTTATTCTGCACCCATCCCGTGCGCGGTGTGGGTGTGCTGCAGAGTCTCGGGGCCCGATGGGCGGTGGACGGGCATGGCTGCAGGGGACTAGTGCGAGGGCAGAATAGACGGGAGTCCTCAGGCCAACCAGAGGCGGCGTGATGACCAGGCGAGGGACCACGTGACCGGCCAAAATGTCTCTTGCAACCTCCAACCAGCGTCAAGTCCGTCCGCATCCCCCCAATTCCACGAAGTCCCTCCATCCATTGCGCTCGGACTGAGGACAGTCAACCCCTAATTCCTCCTCGTCCCCCTCTCCTCTCTTCCGAATGGCTGCTTCCTTTACTCGCCTGGCGGGCAGCGCGCCCAAAAGGCTCTGTCTCCGCCCCTCCACCATCACCTCCAACACGACCATCCCCAGATCCCGTTCGATAACGACGTCTCTCCCTCGTCGACAGGCCGAGGCCACCAGCTATCAGGCGACCCGACTGGTTCCCACCGACCCGACCTTTACATCGCTGGCCAACAAGGGCAATGCGGGCGAGGCCGAGGTTCCCGCCGGTCTCGAGTCCGAGGATGAAGGGGTCGGCCGCAAGATCCGCCATTACACGGTCAACTTCGGTCCCCAGCACCCTGCTGCTCACGGTGTGCTTCGTCTGATTCTGGAATTGAACGGTGAAGAGATCGTTCGCTCGGATCCCCACGTCGGTCTGCTCCACCGTGGTACCGAGAAGTTGATCGAATACAAGACCTACATGCAGGCTCTGCCTTACTTCGACCGATTGGACTACGTCTCCATGATGACGAACGAGCAGTGCTTCGCGCTGGCTGTCGAGAAGCTGCTCAACATTGAGATCCCAGAGCGAGCCAAGTGGATTCGGACGTTGTTCGCCGAAATCACCCGTATCCTGAACCACCTCATGTCCGTCCTCTCCCACGCAATGGATGTTGGTGCTCTGACGCCATTCCTGTGGGGTTTCGAGGAGCGTGAGAAGCTCATGGTATGATGGACCCTGTCGCCTTACAACCAATTGAATGCATTGAACCTAACGTATCGATTGTAATCTAATAGGAATTCTACGAGCGTGTCTCCGGTGCCCGTCTCCACGCCGCCTACGTCCGCCCTGGTGGTGTTTCCCAGGACCTTCCCCTTGGTCTCCTAGACGATATCTACCAATGGGCTACCCAATTCGGTGACCGTATCGACGAGACCGAGGAGCTGCTCACTGACAACCGTATCTGGAAGGCCAGAACCCAGGGTGTCGGTGTTGTCCCTGCCGCTGATGCTCTGAACATGAGTTTCACCGGTGTCATGCTGCGTGGTTCCGGTGTCCCCTGGGATATCCGTAAGTCCCAGCCCTACGACGCGTATGACCAAGTCGAGTTCGACGTCCCCGTCGGTGTCAACGGTGACTGCTACGACCGTTACCTCTGCCGTATGGAGGAGTTCCGTCAGTCCCTGCGCATCATCCACCAGTGCCTGAACAAGATCCCCGCCGGCCCCGTCCGTGTCGAGGACTACAAGATCTCGCCCCCTCCCCGTGCCGCCATGAAGGAGAACATGGAAGCCCTGATCCACCACTTCCTGCTCTTCACCAAGGGTTACTCCGTTCCCCCCGGTGAGACCTACTCGGCCATTGAGGCTCCCAAGGGTGAGATGGCCGTGTTCCTGGTCAGTGATGGCAGCGAGCGCCCTTACCGCTGCAAGATCCGTGCTCCTGGATTTGCTCACTTGGGTGGTTTCGACCAAGTTTCTCGTGGTCACCTTCTGGCCGACGCTGTCGCTATCATCGGTAAGCTCCCCTCCCCCACCTTTTGTGCCAATCGTCAATCAAGTACCCTAACTAACATATCTCTTCCCTTCTAGGTACAATGGATCTGGTGTTCGGTGAAGTCGACCGGTAAACAAATAAGAAACAAAAAAGAGGTGGACAACCTGATCTCCCAACTTCTGTAAAAATATGCCCAACACGACTCAGAACACATCCATTTCAACCATCCATCCTTCTTCTAAATTGATGATTGCCAGCCAGAGAACAAACCAAAAATACATAATCTAGATCCGAAGAATCATTCATCCATAAATGAACAAAACAATCATATCCCCTTAGTTGATGTCCACCGTCCCTTGGACATCAACTCTGAGGTTATGCGTGAGCGCGCGCGCGTGTATGTGTGTGATGTCCAGCCAAGTCAAGTGAAGTGAAGCTGTGTCGAGTCGAGTAACAGGGCGAGAAAAAGAAAGTCATCATGGCGAATCCATCTCCAAAAGAACCAAGCAACCCCATCCATACACCTCCATGTACCAAGTACCTCTTTTCAGGCGTTGATTTGTCTATCTCTTTCCTTTCCTTTCCTTCTCCGTTATCTTTTCGTCATTCTAAACTGCCTTTTCTCTATTTCTTTTTTGATCTGTCTCCTGTTTTTGGTTTCCTTCTGTTCCTTTCTCTATTGTTCTGTTTCTTTATTTTTTGGCCATAACCCTGTGTGTATAGTGACACTTGAAGAAGTTTGAATTTTGAAAATTCTCGTTGCAATTTCATTGTGATGTATTAAGTAGTTGAGTTATGTTGTGTAGAGAAAATGATTGCTTGGTTTATACATTGGGTCTGGCAGAATATCCAGTGTCCTCTCAAAATCGCTCATCTCAGCAAAGACAAAATGAAATAATTTCTCTAAGCATAATTTACGACAGGCAGTTGTGTTGGTTGAGCATCGTGTTTAAGATACGTTGGGGATCTATAGTTGGGTGTTTAGGGATATCTTGTTCCTTAAATCCGAGAGCCAAGGATTCTCCAGGTTTAAAAAAAAAAAAATCAGACAGAGAGAGAGAAACGAGAGGGAAAATCAAATAAACTCTATGCACCGGAATGTGATGATATATAAAGATTAAAAGAAATAAGAAGAGAGGATCAATCGTAACCCAAATTAAACTAATCACCTCCGATCGACTCCAGAAACTCCCAAATGGAAATCCCAAGACAAGGTGCGCCAATGTCAATGCACAAAATACCGACAGGAAAGAATCAAAAACCAAGACACAATCACAACAACACTCAAGGATCGGGTAGATATGAACAACCACTTTGCCGTTCCTCGTTCCCTCGCCAATCTCCTATACAGTCAGTCCCGATTATACCCAACCCAGGCAAGGCGCTCAAGAACCACGATATACAGGACGTGGTTGTATGGGATATGTACGATGCCATGCGGCAATCCACCTGAAAAACTGTACAGCCCTCTCCTTTCGCTCTTCACTCCCAACACGTTCCCATCTTCTTGTAGGTACAGGAAGAGAACTAGACGTTATCATCATCGTACATGAAGTTGATGTCGCGTGGCCTCCGTCGATTATGGGACACGAATTCCCTATCGCCGGGGGGTCGTTCGTTGCGCGCGTTAGCGGTGAGCATGCTCTGGATGCTCATGCAGACACTCTCGACCGTCTGGACGGGTGACCAGCCGGCCGCGCTGAGGAGATCGAGACAGATGATGCCGTTGCTATATATATGGGGGTGGATGGGGATCGGACGCGGGGCGTCAGATGTTTTGGGCGACTCGATGAATTGGACTTCTGGGGGTTCTTTTCAAAAAAGATTGACCGTTAGATCTGAGTGTTGCAAGCTTCTTGATTGTCGGCTTGTGTCGGGATGAACGAGAGAGAAACATACCAATCGGGTACTTGGAGCTAAACGTGAACTTTAATCGATAGGTCTCGTTTTGGTAGAGAGGGTTGTCGTCGAGGACTTTGATGTCCATTTGCCATTCCTCTAGATTTTCCGACTTGAATATTGAGATCCCGGGTGGCATGTGTTCTTGCATCTGGGGGTGTATGCGATCAGCAATCGTGTCCGGTGTGCGTATGTATGCAAATGACCGGCTGACGAGGTGAAGGAATGGCAGGGATGAATTTGAATCAAGGTAGAACATGAAGGAGTGACCGAGAGTGGAATAATGAGGGTTGCAAGAATATAGGTACCTTCATAAGCTCCTAGAGAGTTGTATACATGTCAGCTTGAGCAACTTGGTTCCATGAGGGGTAGGGGGTAACGGACCTTGCTTAGGCGCTTTGTGGCGAACATGATGGACAAAACGCCTAACCAGCCGGCGCAATATGTCGTAGTCCGTTACTGTCGTAAAATCCGAGAGGGAGGAAAGGGTGCAGCCCGGTCTGGGGTCGGATCGTGAGACTGCGCCGAATGTATGACGTCTTGACACTGAGGCGGGGCGGATCACGGACGGAGTACAATCTGGGTATATAGAGAAGACCCTAGTAGGAATAGGCGGAGGTTCAAGGGAGAGGAATAATACGATAAGGATGAGGGTACAATCTAGGAGAGCGAGGAAGAATAGCCAGGAGGGGAGAGCTAGGCAGCGTGGTGAATAAATAGCAGTCGAAGTAAAGTACAGGACGAAGGGGAAAGTCCCTGGGCCGATCACCTGCTGCGCCGCCAGTCATCCGTGGCCTGCACGTGACAGCCACCGACGGCTGACCCGATTTACTTCCGCTTGGTCAACACATCTCATCCTGATCGGATTTAAAGACACGAAAGAAAGAAAAATATACACGTCGGTGGAATTATAGACGGGGAATCATGGAAATGATAAGTATTCACAGAACAATCCTGATAAATGAGCTGCAACCTAGACAAAATCCGTCAGGTGTAGACCCATCAAATTTACACATTCAACGCCTCCATATAACAAAGATTGGACTTAAGCATGCGTCCCTCGCTCTCGTGCTTCCCGTTCGATCTTCTCCCGCTCCTCGGTCTCCTTGGCCTCGCGCACCTTGGCAAGGACCACCTCGCGGAAAATGGCTCCACGCGCGATCTTGCCTAGGCTATGCTTCTTAGTGTGACCGGCCTCACCTTCAGGGCCCGACTGCCCACTGCCAGCCGACTCCGCAGGGGCGCCAGGCTTGTCCCCAGTTTCGGCAGAATCGGCCATATCGGTAACGCTGGGGATGTCTTCCTCGTCCTCTTCCTGCATCTTGAGTGCTTCGATGCGGTTGGCCAGTTTGATGATTTCGATACCGCGCTTGAGACGGGAGCGCGCGATGTAGGCGCGGATCTCGGGCAACAGATCGCGGTCGCTGGCAGACTCGCCGGTCAGCCAGGGGTGCTTCAGGGCCTCCTGCGAGGTGACTCGCTTGGAGGGATCCGGTTGCAGCATGGTGAGGATGAAGTCCTTGGCATCCTTGGACACGTCGCGCCAGTAGCGCTCGTGGAAAATGATGCGCCCCGTGCTACATTCCTCGATCAAATCCGACAGACTCTCCGATCGGAAAGGAGAGTAACCGCAAAGAAGGGTGTACGTGATGACACCCAGGGACCACATGTCGACGGCCTTTCCGTGGCCCTGTTTCAGCATGACTTCGGGCGCGGCGTAGCCGAACGATCCAGCCATACTGGTGAGTACTTCCGAGGGGTTGTCCAACATTTTGGCAATGCCAAAGTCGGCCAAGACGAGCTGAGAGGTGGGGTCGCGAGTAAGATAGAGCAAGTTTTCGGGCTTCAAGTCTATTTCCGCGAAAACGGAGATTAGCAGGTGGGAAAACGCAGCGACAGCAAGGTCGACTAACCTCGATGGACAATATTCCGGTCGTGCAGGTAGTTGACGGCATCCAGCACCTGTCGGATCGTCTGAGACGCATCCTTCTCCGTGAACTTGCCGTAATCGCAAATGCGATCGAACAGCTCACCACCCGTGGCCAGCTGCGTGACGATGTAGAATTTATCCTAACACCCTGTCAGACCAAGTCGCACCGGACAAGTGACCAAACGTAAGCCTACCTTTGATTCGAACCAGTCGACAAAGTGCACGATGTGGGGGTGGTTGAGCGCCTGCAACATCTCCAGCTCGTCGTAGACCATGCGCTCATTTCCACGGACATTTTTCTTCAAGATGATCTTGATCGCGACCTTTCCGGAATTGGAATCGGCCTCGCGAACAATACCGTACGTGCCAGCACCGAGGGTTCTTCCGAACTTGTATAGCGATCTAGAGCGGGGAAAGAGTCAGGAATTTGACGACGCAGCGAGGATGGGAGAGAGGTTGTCAGGGGAAAAGGAATGATCGTACTTTTTTTCGTAGCTCTCCGGCTGTCCAGACAGCTTGTTGAGCATGTTAGAGACTAGATAATGGACCACGGTCAGCGACTTCATGACGGTCGGTACGGCAAAAGCCGAAGGGGAAGACCAAGACTGAAAACCGATCGCAAGGTAAGAGCAGACCATGAAGCCATAGGGAAACGAGTAAAGCCCAAAAGCCCAGGCTCCTGGTCCATAGGACCACGACCGAGGTTGGCAACAACATGAGCGTGGTCGAATTGGCACCGCAGAGGCGCAGATAAGGCACCAGGATTCCAGTGGGAACAAAACCAAGTTGTCATGCAGCCGACGACATCACAAGATACAATTGGAGGATACCATGTCAAGAAGAAAAAGAAAAGAGGACTCACAACTCATGATGACCGAACGAGACCGTTATTGACAGGCCTCGGAGTACAAATCAAATTGCAGCGAATGTGTGCGGTGGGCTAAGGCCAGCGGTGATAGGAGACCCCGCACGTGAGGGGGGGAATGGCGGGGCGAACGTGAAGGCGAATCGAGAAATGCGAACGGAAAAAACAGATCGTGTTCCTTAGTTGAATGTTATAAGAAAGAACAAAACACGGAGAGAGAAAAAAAAGTTAGGCAGAGGTGGGCCAGGACAGCCGGATCATCAGAAGGGAAAAGACGGGCTGTCAGAGACAAGGCCAGCCAGACAGGCTAACTCACTTGTACTAGACCCGTTGTCTGCCTGATAATAAAAAAAAGATAGGGGGTAAACAAGCGGGGCCCGTTCTGTTCCTGGAGGATCGGAGAGAACAGAGAAGTACTCCGTACAGGATACACAGACAACGGAGAGTCGGACACGGCAATCTCGAGGCTCAAACACGACAGCGATCAAAGCACCGGAGAACAGACCAGCAACCGTAGTCGATAATCTTTGAGGAGACGAAGAGAAAAGGAGAGAACAAGAAGAGGAGAAGAAGTCTGGCCCCTCCGATCGACAGGCTGACTAACAGCCTTCCTTTCTGGCCCGTTTCCCACGCTCGGCCACCGCCCTTCAGCCTTATCCTCGTTCGCATCGCATCTCTTACTCTTTAAAATGTAGTGTCTATTTGAGGATGAATCCACTTATGGCCTGTCCATTTGAAGCGTCGATCATGTCTAATTGCCATAACCTCTTATCCAACCAATTCCATCAGACTGACAACTCCCACAATGGCGGCAGTAACAGCCCAGCTGCGCGTGCCACCCATGGTTCCAGCCCCATTCTCATCCCCGGTCGCACTGGGGCTGGCTGACGCACTGGCACTGGCACTGGCACTGGCACGGGTGCTTTTGTCATTTCCGCTCGTGCTGTTGCCGGACGTGCTCCTCGAGGACAGCGGAGCCTGGTCTTTGAAGGCTACCAGGTTGGCCGAAAAAAGACCAGTGGCGCTGATCTGCTCGCCGATGTTGGGCTTGCTATCCTCCTCGTCGTCACTCTCGTACCACTTGGGGCCGCAAAAGCTTTTATCCTTGCCCTCGGTGCAATGCTTCGCCGCCGCGGTGGCCGAGTCTTGCAATTTGGGCAGGATCTCCTCCGCCGTGTACGGCGCCACCAGGGCGATGGACGCCAAGTTGGACGAGAGAATGGCCTTGTAGGTCTGTTCGCTCTGGTTGCAGTTGCCGCTGACCTCGCAGGTCACTTCGGACATGGTGCCGTTGCGCTTCTTGGGGAAAAAGGTCTGAAGGGTGGTGGTGAGCAGACCATTGATACTCTTCTTCCACTCCTCTTGGCCGTCCGTCTGATCGTAAACAGTCCGGTTAGCACACATCACTTTCCTTTCCTTTCTTCTGTTCTCAACTCTGTCAAAACCAGACATACCACGTTATACATATACGCCGCACCTCCCAGGTACAGGGCGTAGTTAGCCGTCCATTGCATGTCCCCTGACGCGCGCTTGCAATTATCCTCGGTCACGACACTGTCGGCAACCTTCCACTCTTTCTCATTTATCAGCGTCTTCTTACTCCAGTCCCAGACTTTCTCCGCCCAGTCGGAATGCGTCTTGTTCCCCGTGTAGTGAGCCAAACGAGCCGCCAACTGAAACAAAGCGCCGTTAGCCGACGCCGATTTCATCGCGTACCCGCTCTGATACGGAAAGATCTGCCAGCGCAGACCACCCTCGCACGAATCTCCACCCCACCGCTGCACCAGGTCATCGAACACGTTCTGCGCCAGATCAGCCCATGCCGGCTGCTTGGATTTTGCGGGGAAATCCAGCTCGGCGGCCGTGATTGCTGCGAGACCCCAGTACGCCTGGTCGTCGTTGCTGATGTACGAGCTCCAGTTGGTCGGCATGTAGTCCGAGTTATCGCCGGATTGGTGGTACATGCCCTGGCTGACGGCGGCGTTGTTGGACGCGTCGCCGGTAAAATGCCAGTAGCGGATCATTGTGTCGAAGAGCATAGCACCTTGCCACCAGGTTTTGGGCAGTTTGCCGGGGGTTTCACCCGTCTCGTTGCCCTTGTAGTAGGTCATTGCGTTGTAGGAGGCGGTGCCGGCGGCGTCCTTGAGAGATTCTGCGGGAAGTCATGAGCTTGGTAATCGAATTGATGGTGTGGTCGATTGCACATACGATCATCGTTAACGTCCAAATCAATGGCAGACACGAAGGCCCCTGTCAGGACGACGGGGAGCGCCGACTTGAGCCAATTCACTCTCATGGTTCAAATGTAAGGAATGTAAGTTGCATGTGGTGATTGAAAAGACAGTAAGGAGATATAATCAAGAGCAATCAAGGGAATGACAAAAATTTGGTAAGTAAAAAAATCCACAAACAATTCCCTCCTGAATGCTAGTCCAACCCAGTGGGGTGAACCAAACTTTTATAACTCCAAGCCTCATGAATCTCTCTAGGAGGAACTAGCCGGGAACGGGAATCGCCTAGCGTCGTGGGGGCCTGGAAGGAGAGGCAGCAAGGCAATCAGAGGGCAGCCTGACTGGCCCCCAACACAGGCAGTGCTTGTTAGAGACTAACCGGGGCTAAGCATCTGATGTCACCGATCTCTGAGAGGGCGCTGTTGGACCCTGAGATTCGAGTTACGTGGATATCAAACGGACAGCCTGATCTTGCACATGGATATGTCACAAGGCGGTGTTTCAACAAGATTGAGATCTGCGCAGATTCTTCGAATGTGATGCCTTGACTCCATACTCTGTACACTGATCGAAAGAACTAAGAAACAAACAGAACCCATGACACGGACAGAAAATCAAGCTCAAGACTTGACCTAACCTAACATCAACGTCCATGACAACTCATCTTACCGATTGCGCCTACTCAATCATCCCTCAGGTAAATCTTCAACTCAAGGAACCCCAATTCGACCCCACAAGATAGCAATGAGCCGCTCGCTCAAGACTCAAGCCTCCAGATACAACTCATCCAACACATCACCACAGTACCGTTTGTAATACTCCGTACCTTTCCAGCGACTCGTCGGCGACCTCAACCCCACAGTCTTCCACCCATCAGCCCTCAACCTTGCGATTCTCTGCTCCTTAGTCTCCGTACCCGACTGTCTCGCCAACTTCTCAGACGCAGACCTGTTCTCTTCTGCTTCTCGCGCAGGGCTCTTGATAGGACTGAACGTCCAGAAGGAGCTCGATCGTCGGAAGTTCTTAGCCGCGCGACGCGTCTCCTGCAGGTCTGTGACTTCGTCGATCAGTGCGCGCAGCGAGGCGATGCTGTTGGTGATCTGCACGCGCAGGAACCGAAGATGGCTGTTATACCGACGGATAGCAGCCCCACGGGGCGGGGTGATGATGGGGATGGGTGAAGCAATGGGAGGTGCAGGCTGGGTGTCTTTAGGAACTGGCGCATGGAGTAGTTCAGATTCGTCAGCGTGTGAGGGTTCGGTAGGTCTGTTTCTGATAGGAAGGGGTGGGGGTCTGCGAGCTCGTCCAGAGTGGTGGGCCATCGGATTAGTAGAGGCTTGTTTGGACTCGCTGGCGACCTGGCTCGGGTTCGGGCTTGAGAACAGTGGATCCAAATCTTCCTGTGACCTGCGAACCTTTAAGGGAGGAGGCATGAGCAGAGTTTTGCCGAACTGATACGGTGAGATCAAGTCTTGCTTGCTGTCAAGCTCGTGGTCCGAAACGAAGGGGTCGTCTGCCAGAGAGTCAATGTTCTTGTCGATGATGTCTCGAATGACGGTGACAAAGCTGGTAATGGAGGAAGAATGGCCGGGCTCGTTGATTGCAGAGGTAGATCCCTCGTCGGACCGAGGTGTTTTGTCTTCTAGGCCGTCTGCGTCGTCTTCCTCAATAGGAATGAGGACAGGGAAGACGGCGCTGCAGGTGACGAAATAGTCCAGAGCTGTCTGCAGGAGGGTCACCTTGGTGGAGGAGTATTGGTGAGCCGCTCGGCCCATGCATTCATAGGAAATGGCGCTGTAGAAGTGTAGGTATGTCTTGTGAATAGGGTGGATCTATGGGTTGAGGTGGTTAGCGTCGCCTGAGAGAAAGAGCAGATAACTCGCCTTTTTATTTGCATTGCGTAGGATTTCAGCGGCGCGAGCGGCACATTGCTTGTATTGACGACGAATGTATAGCAGCTTGACGCCTGCGAGGGCCCGTTTCCACTGCTCGGAGGATCTGGGAGTAGTGGGGGACTCAAAGAGTGAGGTTCTTTCTGATATGGAGGCCATGATGAGGACAGGATAGGATCTTTCAGCCGTCCGAGGATAAGAAGATGGGGTCACATCGCTGGTGTAGGTGGACAAAGAAGGTGAGGATGGTAGAAGATGAGAGAATCCCCAAAATGAAAGACTTCAGGAGGATGAATGCGCTCTGGCAAATATACCGAAACGAGTGAATGACCCATGGGCGGCACCTCTACTACAGAAAGGAAAGACCCTATAGACTCCAGGCACTGGACAAACAATAATAGGTTACAAGTCAAATTCAATGCTTGACCTAGAGTTCTATATACTTCGGGTTAAGGATCACCGAAGCGAGGCAGGCACATGCACGCAGCATACCTCAGGCCTTCTTTTCATGGTTCAATTCAATCTGGTCAGGAACAACTCACATGCTTTGTGTGAGTTATCCTCTGCTCCCTTTCACACTCCCCCTCTTTATCATCCCCTCTCGGTCACTACCTCTTCATCAATCCCCAAAGCTCAAATCATATTCAACTGTTGAGAGATTGCCTTTCATTATCTTAGCAGAGGCCTTTGGTAGGTCTACAGAGTAGCTAGGGATCCTACGAGCCTCCTCTAGAGAATACACACACGTTGCACATCATCAACATATACAACCCAACAACCATGTCCAGGACCCTCGACGCCCCCATCCACCAGCCCTTCTACCAATTCACCAACGAAAATTGGGAACCAGTCAACCCCGATGCAACCACCACCACTAAAGCTAAACCCCTCCACATCCTCCACCTAGCAACATGGAACATCGACTACCGCGCGCCCTGCCCGGATAAACGCATGACAAAAGCCCTCCAATACCTTTCCACTCTCCACAACATCTTTAGCAACACCACTAGCAACACCACCAGCAATAGCAGCAGCACCTCCCCATCCATAATCTTCCTCCAGGAAATGATCCCCTCCGACCTAGATCTCATCCAACAAACGCCCTGGATTCGCATCCACTTCTACATCACCGACATCTTGCACGAGGAACGACAGCAGGGATCTTCATGGAGGGTATGCCCGAACTGGCGTTCCAGGTACGGTACCACCGCATTGATCGATAAACGAGTGGGCGTGAGACGGGTGTTTCGAGTACTGTATTCAACGTCGAAGATGGGACGGGATGCGCTGTTTGTTGATGTTTCGATTAACGGCAATGCCAATACCAATGCCACTACCGATATCCAAAGTCAGGATCAGATGGGAGAGGATGGTAGGCACGGGATAGAAGAAGAAGAAGAAGAAGAAGAAGCAGGGGCAGAGACAGGGAAACCCGAAACCTCCATCCTCCGGCTCTGCAACACCCATTTAGAAAGTTTTACGTCCAATCCCCCGATTCGACCAGTCCAGCTACGTCTAGCGTCTCACTTCATGCGTGGACGTGGGCCTAAGCATACAGGGTTTGTGGAGTCGAGGGAAGATCCAGAGCTTCCCATTCCCCATGCGGCGATTCTAGCGGGTGATTTAAATGCCTTTGCACCAGAGGATGAGACAGCGCCGGAGGAGTGCGGACTGCGAGATGCGTTTCTCGAGCTAGGGGGACAGGAGGGGTCCGAGGAAGGGTTTACATGGGGTCAGCAGATGGCGGAGTATGAGAGGGGTGAGTTTGGGTGCAGTCGTATGGATAAAGTGCTATTCTGCGGAGAAGTGGAAGTGCAGAGTCTGGAGAAGATCGGGTCTGGGGAAAAATTTTGGATCGAGTATCCTGAGGAGTCGGATTCTGAGGAGTCGAGTGAGACGGGGGAGGATTTGTGGGTGACGGATCATATTGGCTTGCAAGCGGTGTTTCGAATTGTGGGATAAGGAATGAGGTCTTCATCAATTTTCTTAAATTTTCTTCGCTTCTTCTGGTTTTGCTTTTAGGTAAGAATGCTATGGTAGTGATATAGTACATGAAAAGAAAAAGAAAGGAAAAAGTCACAGACGCAGGTCTTTCAATCGTAAGTCGTGATGGGATGGGAAAAACATAAGAAGTAAATCGCTGGACATAAAGAAAGAAGCAGATAAGAAAAATAATAAAAACCAGACAAACTAAAAACGAAAACAAATCAAATCACTCTTGTCCCTTCGAGGCCGAGTCCATGTCATGGGTGGACTCGGCCTCGATGGTTGTCTTCGCAAGCGCCTCCCCAGTCGCTGAGAGGGCCTGTAGAAAGTCCCCCAGGAGCCGATCCAGCTCCGCTGTCACCTCCCCCTCACCGGCCCCTTCAATGAGGACCTCGGGGCGAGGGGGCAGCAAGGTCGGGAACTGAATCGATTCAATTCCCGGCCTTGCTGTCAGCGGAGGCTCACGCCGAGCCGTGGGCAAAGGCTCGGCGTGAGCCGCTGGGAACGGCTCCTGGGGGCTCTCCTCTTCGTCTGGCCCAGGTCCATCAAGGACCGACGAACGGTCGTCTTCCGCATAATCGCTTGACTCGATTATCTCCGGGAACTCGTTGTCGAAGCTGGTCTCTGGAGATCCCGCGGGACGATCGAAGCGGAACGGATCGTAGTCTGTGTCCGAACTTATGGATATGCTCGACTTGGCAGACGCCGATGTGGACGGCCGAGAGTCGCCTGGCTCGCCGATGCTAGAAGGACGGATGGTGGCTGACGGCTCAAGTTCGAGCACAGGGGCTCGGAGGGTATCGTAGCGAGCTGGAGCCACCGCGCTGTCGCTGTTCTCCTGGCCATCCGCGGCCGCCGTCATGACGGGGAACGTCCATTCCATAGTTGCCCGCCTTGCCGCTAGGTCGGATTCAGTAGGAGCCGGCTCAGGCTCAGGAGGGGGTGGCGCCTCTGTCTCTGTCTCTGCTTCTGCCTCGACTTCGTTATCCTCTTCCTGAGGTGCTTGCATGAAGACAGGGAACTTCCAGTCCATAGTAGGAGGGCGTGGTCCAGTCTGGGGCTTGAAGGGAACATCTTCGGGGTCACGGTCACTGCTGAACCCACTACTTGAAGAGCGAGAGCGACTCTCGTTGGAATTGCGGTGCGCACGGCCACTGGACCTGTTGGCTCGAATGGTATCAGCGTCAGCGAGCTGGAACGGCTGGGCAGAAGAGGCCCCGGCAGCATAATGTGAAGAGTCGAATGCGCCAATATCAATATCGATAAAAGTCGAAGTAACAGAAGACCGATCGGTTTCGGTGCGAAGCGGCAAATCAGACACCGGTTTGTCCTCAAAGGGCACAAAGTCATTCTTAGTTTCGTATGTGTAGCTGGGCATCTCTTCGTTGAAAAGCCCTTCCATAGCCTCAGCACCACGACGGACGCGCTCATCAAAATTGACTTGATCTTCTTTAGTCATTGCAGTGACGGTAAGCTCATCAAAGGAGTCCTGGTTGGGCTGGTTCTTGGTAGGACTGATCTCTTCTTCCATTTCAGCCAGAGAGGCAGCGATCTGGTCCAGATCAATGATAGAGAATCTCTTTTCGAAACCATCCGTGGTGCTGAAATTCCAGTCTTCCTCTGCATCCGAAGGTGCATCGGGCATCTCTGCAGCTGCGGCACCGCCTGGATGGAACAGAGATATTCTCTGGCCGCCTCGCTGCGACCATTGGTAATAGATTCGTACCAGTTCACTAAGAGAGGATGTAGGATATTCTTCTTCCGAGTCGGCAATATAGGAATGCTGTTGCACATCTGCCATTGTAGGTCGACGGAAAGGATCGGATTCGAGGGAGAATGCGACAAGGCTTCTGAGACCATCGCTGTACTTCTCATTATCAAGCTTTGGTGTCTTTCGGTTTAACTGTCTGCCGATCTGCATTCTTTCGCGCAGGTTGGCATTTGGTGGGTTTCCGGTCGCCAGTTCAAACAAGGTACATCCGTAAGCCCAAACATCGATCTAGACAGGTCAGCAAGGAGCAAGTTTTATGAGCTGAATGCAAGATCTCACCTCGCTACCGTATTGGTGAGCCTGGCCACGAGTAGAGAACATCTCTGGTGGCATCCAGTGGGGTGTTCCTATCCAGGTTGATCGCTTGTCCAACTGGGATTGTAGAACACCAGCGACTCCAAAATCGCAGATTTGTAGACGACCTTCTTCGTGGATCAAGACGTTGGCAGCTAGAGCCCGCTGGTTAGTTTATTCAATTTTTATCGAACCCTGAAAAACTCACCTTTAATATCCCGATGAATGATACCTGCATCGTGGATGGCGCGTAAGCCAGCAGCAAGCTCGCGTGCCACTGGAATTGCGAATTTTTCGTCAAGTCGATCATTGGTAGCTCGCATCTAGTGATAAGTCAGCAAGAAACAGCGAAGAAGGTAAGTCCGTGAGAAGAAAAGAAGAAGAAAATGGCAAAGAAAAGCCAAGGGAAAGCTTACCAAAGTTCGAACACTGCCACCAGGACAGTACTCGCAGACCAACCACAGTTGGGAGTGAATTGAAATTGCTTCGATCAGTTCGTTGATGTTCTTTGCGCCCGCATCTTTGACCTGCTTCATAACTTTGGTCTCATGAATGAAATCCTTGATTGATTCATCCTTCATATCGCGGACAGACTTGTAGTCTAGAGAATCAATGTCCATGACTTTGATGGCAACAATTTTGTCTGATGAAGGCGAGTGGCCCTTGTACACGCGACCGTAAGTGCCTTTGCCAATCAACTCTTCGAATTCGTAAGGTGGAGTATCAGTTTTGGCTCGCCGGCACATTTCCTGGACCGCCGTAGCCTGCTCTCTGGCGAGCTTGATGGCCTCTGCTTTGTGTTTCGTGATGGCGCTGATGGCGGACGTGGGGTCCAGGAGCCGGGAGGTGCGTGGAGGCTCCATTGTGAGGTTTTGGTTTCTGAAACGAGCCGCTGGGATGCGGAGGGCGCGAAAAGGTCTGATTAGGTTGAGTGGTGGTAGTAGTGCTTCCTCGGTAAGATCGTCAGATGAATCGGGAGAGAATTGATGGTAGCGATGGTAGTTGGGGGTTGAGGTGGGCGGACAAGAATTGGCAATGGAGGAATTGGCGGGGGTGGGAGCCTGAGGAATAGACGGGAGTTGGGAGTATCTCCATTCACTTGCGCCACGTCGGGGGGTCAACCGTCGTTGGTCGCAACCAACAGTTCTGGTAGCAGAAATAGGATCGCTTGCTGAGCGTAGTTTCTGTTTTCTCAAACGATTCTGGGTAGATGGTTTGGACAAATGTGAAAAATGAGGCAGAAACGTTGCACTCCGCGGTGAGACTAGTGGTTGGGCACGGGTGGTCTCTGGCTCCTTTTCTTTGGACTTTCTGTGTCCGTGCAAGAAGTTTTTGATCGTAGAATTGAAACCAGCAGTGGAACCGGCCGAATTCTTTGAGCCTTTTGTGGGTTTTTTATGTGAACCAGCACCGGATGGATAAGAGCGGGCACGTGAGTGTGCGATGTCCCGGAGGCTTGGTGTAGACCAGGTAGCAGAATTATTATCAGCTCTGCAATCGGATACTCCGGAAATGGAAGAGGTTGATGTGGGCGTAGTTGGCCAACTGATGTTTAGCTTAGGCCTGATTTCTGCTGACTTGGAACGGAGCCGGAAAGATCTGAATGCACCGTGAGGCTTTCTGGGTTGGCATCCGTCTTCAGAGCTCGGTGAAGAGGTTTCTTGCTGGACAACTCGGTTGACGTGGGACCTATTTGATGAGATCAGCACTGTTTCGATGGAAGCTTTGATGTTTAAAAGCCCAACCCGTAGACAGGTCCACGATGCCCGGGAGAAGTGAGCTTATCCATCGAATGAACGGTTGGGGTAGGAACAATGATAGATGTGATGAACAGGATGGAGAGAAATAATAATGAGGATCAAGAGGACATGGGGGGGTCTCGGCGTGCTAAGCAGAAAGAGGAGGCAGGGCACGGGGTTCTTCTCAACTTACCCTTCAAGATACCCAGTCTATATCAAAAGTATTCACACAACCGAGGTTTGGCAATCACAGAGCGAGCCGTGAATTTAATAACAGTAGAGAGAAACACAACACAGTAGTACTATGATCAGCACCAGGCTAGTGATGATATTCACGCTCGAGTGTAGAATCTCGGTGTAGTGACGGTAGGTGGTCGATGTAGACGGCTTTCAGACAGCAAACCAGACAACAAACGTCAGAGATAAACTGAAGATACGTTAGTCTTTAATTCTACATTCGGCCAAGTACAATCACGGTAAAAAATGAGAATATTTGAACCAGAACAAGTGTAGGTGGTGAATGTCTACAGCATCGCTTTTCAAGTCACGTGGTATGTAAATCCAGCAGCAGATGCATACATGAACCCAGCGATTCCACAAGCTTTACAGCCGTTCACAAGATACAAAACAAGAGTAAATGGGCATATTTTGCATAATTGGTTGAATTCTCGACTTACCAAGCAAAGCTCTTGCTGATCCTTATAAACCAAGTAATCAGTGGGCCCTAGCAAGTACTAATCCTGCGGCGTTGAGCCGACCAATGCGAAGATAAGGCAAGGGCAAATACAAAGACAAGAAGTGAATTGAGAACATCAAGAGAGTCTTAGTTAATATGAGTTGACATGGTGAATTCGTCGGCCTGAAGGCTCTACCGGAAAGTGACAGGCTGGTGGCTTCACGATACTTCACCCGCAGACCGCGGGAAATCACAAGAAGCACAACGGGTCAAATTAACGTCCCATTAAAGTTCCAGATCGCTAATCACGTTACTCCCGATCTCGGTCGGATTATTATTCTCACGTATTCCGCCTTCGTGGCCGCTAAACTGCATTTGGCAAGGCGGCTAAGGCCCTTGCTTGTGCTGCCTGCCTATCTCCCATGCATCCACTCTTGAAACCACCAGCACACTACCTATGGTCGTATTCGAGTCCTTTCGTGCTTCATATTTCCTTGTCTAATATCCCAGCTCCTTTATAACCCGATTGACAACCTCCTCGCCCTTGAACCGCCTCTCAAGGTTGTATCGTAAGATCTTGCAAGCCCGCTCGTTGTAGTGGTTCGAATTCCCACTGCAATGGGGAGTAATGATGACATTCCTGTATCCCCAGAGCTTATGACCAGCCGGCAGTGGCTCAGGGTCCGTTACATCAAGGGCAGCTCCTCTTATTTGACCCTCATCAAGAGCGGCGATGAGATCATCAGTATTAACGATCGCGCCTCTGCCCGCATTACTAACAAAAGCTTTCTTGCCCAGCAGAGCGAACTGCTCTTTCGAAATCATTCCCCTAGTTCTCGTCGTCAATGGCAGTAGAATGACCAGCAAATCGAGGTCGGAAGAGAGGAAACTGTTCAGCTGTTCCGGGCCGTGGAACCACTTCGAGGGAAACTCTCCCTCAGGATCTCCAAGGCCGGGCTCGAAGAAGGACTTGTCCTTTCGAGACTCGGGCGTTGCTCGCTCGTGCAGGGTGTATGCGTATACTTCCATTCCGAATGCTTTTGCGACTCTGGCGCACTGCCGGCCAATGCAGCCGTAGCCGAGGATTCCACTATACGGACGGTCAGGTTAAGGTCTAAGGACCTAGCAGGAACACACAAGAAATGAAAAGAGCCATAGGACCCAAATATGTAAATACTTACACTCTCAATCCGACGGCATCTTCAGTGTCCTCATCCGATAGAGGATCGACCCATTTATCGAGTTTCTGATTCTCCAAATGCTCCGGAACTTCGAGAAAAAGATCAGCATTGCATTCTCCCAGTGGTTTCGATTAGTAGATTCAGCGCTTCTTACGATGATGTTGGAAGGCCAAAAACGTCGAAAACACCCACTCCGCGACCTGTGGCCTGCGTCCACTCATCTATTATTACCTATCCACATTTGACAAGAAATCACCAAAAATCAGTAACAACAGATGGTTCACTCACGGATGCACTCCATTCGACGTACAAAACGCAATATCCGTCTCCTCGAACAACGGAACTCCGAAGAGATGGTTACATCCCGCACTCAGTAGCTGAACGTACTGCAACTTCGGGGCGAGTTCTTTTGTCGGGAACGCCTTCCATGTAAAAAGGACCGTTACCTTACTCCAAATCTCGGGGGGTATCTGGTTCAGGTCAGTTGTCCAGGTATCGATCTTGTAGCTGTGCACTTGGATGCCTGGGCTGACGCGCTCTAGACTGGATACCCAGGAAGGGTCGGGTGTCCAGGGCATTAGGATCAAGAGGACGTCTTGAGTAGTCATGTTGGATTAGATTTACTGAATTTCAAACCGAAAGTTGAAAATCGATGATCGAATGACAGAGTCTCCGGGCATGCGTGCTTTTATAAGTCATGAGAGGGCCTGAACTCGGCCCAACAACTCCGGTCGATCTTGGCGTCATCTTGACATTAGAGGCCATAGGGCCGAGTCAGGCATATGCATTACTAAAACGCCTTATCTATGGCTGCATGATTTTTGGTTTTTAATCCATTTACCATTTTCATTGATGCACCAGTGCTACTTCTTGTTTACCGGGCTGCTTTCTAGGTTTGTTCTAATGTTCAATATTCCAGCTACATAAACCCTCCAGCAGCCCCCCTAATAATCTCATCGAAATAATAAGTCATAGTGCTCGTGGACGAAAAACTGTATAAAAACTCTATGCCATGAATGCAATATTATAAGATCTATATAACCCGCGACGATCAAATACCAAATTGCGCGCGCAAGGTCTTTCCAAATCGTGCAATCGCCTCGCCGACGTTATCCGCGCTGGCGGCCGCAAAGGTAGCACGGAAGAACATGTCGCCCTCGCTTTTACCGTCGGCCTTGAACCAGCTACCACGCGACACGAGAACTCCGTTGTCGATGGCTGCGTGGAAAATGTCCTCTTCGATGGCCTGGCGGGTCTTGCCGGCAGACAGACCGGGGTGCTTCTCCCAATCGATTTTCATCCAATGCTGCTTTTGTCAGATTTTGGTTTTCCGGTGGTGTGAGATGGTTCAACTTACAAACATGCCGGCTGCAGGGGCGTTCCAGCTGGCGATCTCCCGCGGCAGGTACTTCTCACAAGCGTGGACAAGGGTGTCCCGGCGGCCGGTGTACTGCATGCGCAGATTGATCAACCAGTCGAGGTAACCCGCATGACCCCATTGCTCTTCAAGAAGCTTGAAGAACACGAGTTGAGAAATACCGCTAGGGTTCTGAGAAGAGGTCTCGCAGTTGCGGATGAATCGCTCAACGACTTGCTGAGATCCGACAACCCAACCAACTCGAGAGCCGGGTGAAAGGACCTTCGAGAAGGACTCGAGACGAAGCACACGACCGTCAACATCGAGACTCAAATACGAGGGAATAAGGGACTTGATGAACTCGTCGTGGTTGGCGGGTGGGGGAACAGGCTCGGCGTCGGCGCCCGCGTACGGCTGCATCTGCAAGAAATAGTAGGGCTCGTCTTCTACGATAATGACATCGTGCTTCTGAGCGACCTTGTAGACTGCCTTCCGCCTCTCCACCTGCTGGGTAGCACCAGTAGGGTTTTGCCCAGTCGGGATGGTATACAGGACGAAGGGCTTGCGGGCGCCCTGAGCGGCCTCATCCCAGTTGCTCAGGACTTCATCCATGGATTCCGGGAGAAGGCCTTGCTCGTCCATCTTGATCGGCTGCACCTTGACACCCTGGGGAGTGGCGGTTTCTTGGGCGCTAGAGAAAGTGTATTCTTCCATCATGATGTAGTCGCCTCGTTCGCACAGCATTCGAAGCGCAGTGTCCCACGCATAGGTGCTACCTGCAGTCAAGCAGCATTGCCAGTCGGCATATGGGGGGTTGTGAATAAGCTGGGCGTTGTTAGTTGCGATCAACACAGGCGGGTTTACGCATCATACCTCGGTGTGTTCTGTGATGAATCTAAGCAGCTGTGGCGACCCAGTAGCCTGACCGTAGTTCAGAGCAATCTCCAGATCTGACGGGCATTAACACATGTTTTCGATTGAGGTAGCGAATGCGATTCTCCCTTACCGTACAGGCTCTTTCCATCGCGAATGTCGCTCTTTCCGGCACGCAGCACGGCACCAGTTTCGCGAGTCTCTTCCGGCGAGAATCCTGGCGGCGTGGGGACCTTGACACTGAGTTCCTCGAAAGGGAAATATTCCGGGGACGGCAAACCGCCACCCAGAGAAATGAGACCTGGGTTCTTGAGGTACTTCGCAGCACCCTTCAAGGTGGACTCCTAACCGCAACAACCCGTATTAGCCTCTATTGATTTCGAACCCCGAGTATACCCAACACGAACCTTGCGCGACCTCGACTCGAGAGAGAACACATCTAATGCACCAATTAACACATCGCCCGGATAGTATCATGGATGAACATACGGTCAAATCGCTTCGCTTTCGGCTTAGTATAGCAGGCCTAGAAAAACAAACAATAGATTAGCATTCGGGTTGTTTGCGATCATCGGGAGGGGCAAAGTCCCACTTACCGGGCTCTTGAAGAAATCACTGCTGGTAGCAGGCGCAACACCTTTGGGAATCGGCGCGCTGTTGGCTCTCAAAGCAGGGATAGCATCGACAGTCAACGGCCCCGAAGTGGGAGCCGAACCGTTCGTACCGTCCACGGCGGCGGCGGGCATTTTCGGAAGATTGGAGCTTGAATGTTTGGATTGGAGGGTAGGAAGTGGATAAATTAACCAGTAGACGGCTGTAATAATGTGCAGAGACCTGTATCTTGAGGTAGAAACAGTCTGAGATCGAGTTGTAGTAAGAATGGCAAGAAGTGGTGGTTGCAAAGGTGGTTAAAGGAGGGAAACCCAAGGACGAACGAGTCACACAGCCAACCTTTTTCTCCGCTAGGGACTAAGAGGCTGTTGCTCCGCGGATCGGTTCCGCCGAGTGACCACCACCACTTCGCCATGCGCCCTGTGGATGATGTATCCAACCACGAGTCCTGCAGACGGCTGTGCCAATTGGCAGGAGATCTTCTCACTGAGTTTTCGTTATCTAATTGCGCCCATGGAAATCGCGGTAGGGACTGCTAGACGCGGCTCTGGTCACTCACAGGGCGCGCGGGGACTGACAAATCCACCGGCAGCTCCCGTTCTATCCGACATCCATGATTGACGCAGGGTGATGGTTCTAGGGGGATGAGCAGCGATAGCTTCCACTGGTTCGGTTCTCTGCAAGGATTCCTAGTTCCTACTCCTCCAACCGAGTACTACCACTACTAACCAGTAGTAACTGTACTGCCCGCATCCCCGCGCATAGATAAGGATATCGCCGGCATCGGCTAGGCTTATCGTCTTATCGATAAGGCTCGCTTTCTCAGTCTCCTCCTTCTCGCCGTCCCACCAGCCACAGCCATTCTCGATCGTCTCGTACGGATAATCCACACTGAACAAGATCCTTTCAGGCCCGAGGTAATCACACACGTACTTCAGCGTCGGCGTCGAGAAGTGCCCGCTGGTCGTTACCCAGACATTCGTCTGGAAGTAATGATAGATAGCACGCTTGCTCATCACGTCGCCGGCCTTGGTCGCGAGCGGCCGTTCCACGTCCTCAAGCCAGTGGTTGATCCGCCAGAAGTCGAACGGGATGTGTTCTCCCAGATGACCCACGATGACCTTGAGGGTGGGGAAACGGTCAAAGACCCCGTTCGTGATAAGACCGAGGAGGTGCAGCGAGACGCCGTTGGCGAAACTCAACGGCGGTCCGACGAGGTATTTCCGCCCCGCATACTGCTGCCGGTAGTATTCGCCTTGCGGCGCCGCGGGATGGATGTACACGGGGACATCGAGCTCGACAACGACGGCCCAGAAGGTGTCGTAGGCGGGCTAGTCGTAGAAGAGGTAGGTCTCGCCGTCGGGGCCGGCGTGTTGGACGTCGTTTAGCAAGGCGCCGTGGAATCCGAGATCCTGGACGCAGCGACGGAGTTTGCGTCCGGCTTGTGCCGGGTCGTGCATGGAGAGCGCGGCGAAAGCGCCGAGCTTATGGCGGTGGTCTCGGATCTCGTGGGCGACGTAGTTGTTCACTTCGGTGGCATGGTGTTCGGCGGTTTGGGGGTCTGTGATGCCTTGAATTCCCGGGACCGTGAGGGACACGATGGTGTACCCGATACCGTGGGCGTCGGAGACCTGGAGGCGCTCGTCGGTCAGGGACTTGATTTGGCGGAGGTAGCGGTCGAGATCCGGGGGTGCAATGTAGAGGACTGCTTGGTCGCGGCTTTGGTCGGCCCTGGAGGGGATCTCGTAGGCTTCTTCGAGGGAGACTTTTTCGAGCATGGTGGTAGAATGTTGCTCTTATCTGTGAATACTAAGATATGTTTGATTGAGTGAATGCTGTTGTATAATAGAAGACAAGCAGGAGATTCTTGTTGTCTTTATACACAGCTCTCGGATGTTCATGACGTATGCATGTGGTACAACCCTCATCCTGGCTGTTGATATCCAGATATTTGAGTTCAATTTCCGATGGGATTCCCTGGAGGCATTTTCTGTCAGTGGCCATTTCAGCGAGCTGTCAATGCAATCGGAACCGAATCGAGGGATCGGATGGCTGCCAGAATAACCTACCCAGGGGATGTGCTGCCGTTGTGCTACCGGTGGATCCAAACGCTCCACCGTGGTAATGTCAGGCAGATGTGAGGGATAAATGCATGTAGCACAAGGGATGAACTTAATCAAATGTCATTCGGATAATGGAGCCATATTTCCTTGTAGATATGTTGATTTCGGTTTTTATGGTGCATGACTTTCGGAGAAGACGCTTGGATAGGAGGATTGGGGATATCCGATTGATGGTACCATATTGCTCTTCTTTCCGATTACATGGTCGTGGGAGCTCTCTGTTTTAGAAACCCAACTTCCGCGTAGAAGCCAATTGATGATACCGGGTATCGCGCCTCTGGACAATAGGTCTTTTACCGTTGCCATTGGATTTGATAGGGTTATGACCTGTTGCGCCTTCATGTACATACATACATACATGTCATCTCGGACGGCTTGCGCCGCTCACCATGACTGCGTTGGAAAAGTGGAAGACTCTCTTGCTAACTGACGACGGTCTTCCATCTTAGATAAACACGCGGTGATTCCAACACAGGTCGTACGAGCTTCGACAAGTCCTGACAAAACGAGGCTGGCTTCCGCCATTGATGATATCGAGCTGCTTCCAGCCTATTCTTCCTCCCAGTCACTATTCCCCGGTCCGAGAAGGCTCCGAAGAGACCGATATACCCTGGGAAGTCGAACTGGAGCGGATAAAATACCAACAGGACAAATAAATAGAGCGGTTCCGAGAGATTTTGCAAAGTGCAAAGGAGGTGCAGCAGCGCGTGCAACGGGTTCGAAGAGAGGGTAAGGTAAATGGGCGCAGTTCTCCTTTGAGCTCGAAGGACTTGACGAGGCTGTTCTCAAGACGCTTATTGGAGCCGATTACTTACGGTTTGGTTGCTACAGTTTCTGAAGTTTAGATGAGTTGATGTAGGAACGGATATTGTGATGATCAAGCGGATGAAATCAACTGACCCAGCTGGTCATATAGATAGTTTCCTACATGAAATGACCATGACTTGGTGAATTGCAACCTCGGACCTTCAAACCTTCCACATGACTGAGCAGTATACTGATAGATGTAAGAAAGGGGTCTTCCTTGGTGATGCATACATGGTAGACAGTCCAGAGGACATCCGAAATTTCGGATCCAGACAACAACGACGTCATACATACCAGGTTTCGGATGCTGTCTTGTCTAGATCTCGAAGATACCCTACCATAAGCTTCCAGCTATACTGTAAAAAAATGTTACTTTCTATCCTGCAGGGAATCCAGTTCATATTGTAATATGCGTAATATTCATTTCTTCAGATCATGTATCATCTATTGGGTAAGTATAGATCTTGACATCTAGTTCTTCTCAACATACTTCCCGATGGTTCCGTCCAACTGGGCTTCCAACACGGCCGAGGTGCCGTTCTGCACGGTCCGAATGGCCTCCGGCAGCAGCTTCGCCAACTGCGCCACGGTGCCTGCGTGACCAGCCCAGATCTCACCTCCAGACGCGGCCTTTGCGATTCCCGGGTAATCGGGGGTCGGGGCAAACGAGATATTCAGTTCCTCGTTGGTGGCGCGCGAGCCGTCCCCTTCGGGATGCACCAGGAGCATGCTCCGGCGCGGGGCGTTCCAGCCCTTGTTGTTCAGCACGATGGTGAGGATGGGGATGTTATAGCGGCGCGAGATCCAGTAGACCGAGCCCGGAACGGAGAACAGGTAGGTGCCGTCGCCGACGACCTGGCAGACGAATTTGCCCTTGTTCTTGCCGCCGTGTTGGTCGTCGCTGGCGAGTTTGATACCCAGCGCGCCTCCGCCAGACCAGCCGAGACCGCCGCCACCGCAGTTGATCCACGACTTGGGTAGGGTGGCGTTGATCTGGTCGGCGACGATGCCGGTGAGGGTCACGGATTCGATGGCCCAGATTGTGTCGGCGGGACAGCCCTTGCGGACCTCGGACATGAAGTACGATGCGTTCAGGGAAGCGTCATCGCCGCCGGAGGGCACTGCGGCTAGGTCGGTCACCGCCTGACGGGCTTTTTTGTATGCTTCTTCGCGACGCTTGCCGAGGGCGGTGCTTGCTTCGGACTTGATAGTCTGCTGTAACGAGGCGTTGGACGCAACGTATTCGTTAATCTGCTTGAACGCGGTGGCGGACTCGGCCCGGAAAGTGGCCATTGAAGGGAGATAGAAGACGGGGATTTGTTGCTTCAGGGGATCCACGTCAACGTGAATAACCTTGGCCGACTCAGAGGGCTTACACTGCGTCGGGATCCAAGGGACATCGCAGTCGGCGACCAGGATGAAGTCGGCCGTCTTAACGGCGTCGTGCACGCCAAAACGTAGGCCCAACGACGCCGGGTGGTCTCCGGGGAAACACATGTCGCTTCCACCGGTATCAAGGACGCGGATTCCCTTGAAGGTGTCGGCCAGGGTGACCAGCTCCTGGACACCCCACGCGACCCGACCGGAGTATCCCACGATGACCAACGGCTCTTTAGCGGCGGCGAGCTCACGCGCGATCAGCTCGACTCCGTCGGCGGGCAGAGCAGACGGCGCAACAGCACCCCAGACATTCTGATTCACCTGGTAGGGAGTGATCTCCTCCTCCATGACCTCTCGGGCGCCGGCCAGGTAGACGGGACCCTTGGGGTCGCTGGTCGCAAACTGCAAGGCACGGTTGACCATCTGCTTGACATTCTTGCCGGATCGGATTTCCGCCGAGTAGCGACAGTACTGGGAGACAATCTGTTTCTGGTCGGGGACATCTTGGATCCAATGGATGTATTCGGTGCGGGACCCGCGCATCTCCCCATCGATGGTGAAGGGGGAGAGACCAGCGAAGATGAGGACGGGGGCTCGACCGCAGGAGGCATTGTGTACGGCAGCCCCCAGCCCCTGCGTGCCGACATCGACGTGGACGATGACGCATTGCGGTTTACCGGTTAAGCGGGCGTAGCCATCGGCCATCGACAGCGCCACCATCTGGAGAGGGGCAAATGCGGGGTTAGCGAGACCGACAATATCCGACAGACATTCTTATCCCTTCAGGAATGTGTCTTACCTCATTGGGGCAGGTGATAATCTTGGGGAACTCGTTGGGTTTCTCCTTCTGTCCCTTGACCATGGCTTCCAGGATGGAAGGGTGGTCGGAGCCCAGGTTGACGAAGACATGGGAGACGCCGGCCTGGTCCTGTTAGTCGCTTTATCGTTGTATAGCAACACTATTGCACCACGACATACCTCCCAGAGGGCCTCGAAGAAGGCAAAGGATGCAGTGTAGACCCTGTAGTCCAGTTTCAGTCAGAGCCCCATGCAGAATTAGAAGGAGGTCAATCGGATGGCCCATACATGATAGCGATTCACCCCTGACTCTGAAAGGATGTGAGGGGATGAAGAACGAGGGCAGCGACAATGAACAGATAAAGGCGAGCTTCAGGCGAGCTTAATAACGGCAGATCGGAGAACAGGCCGATGGTCAACTCCGGCAAATCAGTTGAACAGGCAGGAAGTCGGGAGTTCTACCAAAGTTAACTCACTCCCTCGAGGCCAAGGCGAGTCGATTGTTGGTCGTCGAGTCCACCGGTCCACTTTTCTCCTGCAGTTCCCCGCGATTCGATTTCCGGCGCAATTCCGCCATCTCAAGGTTCAGTCTGGAACTCTAGATGAGCATACTCCGAGTATTCTGTATAGCCCACCTACTGTCCGATGCTCAGCCTGGGTCCCGACGGTCGAAAGGCCTCCCCAGTGGATCAGCTAAGATCTGGTAGGGAGATGATTGGAGATGGTCGAGGAATGTTGGTGCCTGCGAAGAGGGATGACGTCGACGGGTCAACAACAACCGGTTTGTCGTCATACGCGAAGTTGCTTTTCCTAGGGAAATCCATTGACTCCCACGAACCTCAGGCCAGATCGCATGGCTCCTGATTATCAAGTCCACCCAGAAAAGCTTCTTTCCTGCCCCGATCCACCCAAGGTTGACCAATTGTCCATGCACCCTCCGTCCTCTCAGCCCTACCAGCCCTACGTCATCCCCGGCCGCCTTTATTAGGTCCTTCCATTCTCCCATGCGGCCATGGCTCTCCCTCTGCTGCCCCTGCATTCCCTGCTGCATCTCTCCGGTGCTCTCTTTTCTGCCACCCTGAGCTCCCTGATCTGGTGGTTCTACCGGCAGCCTCCCAGTCCGAATCATTCCCGCCCTGACATGATCACTGCCCGCGTCTATCGACTCTGCCACGCCGATATGACTGTCAGTTCCGAACTTGCGCGCGACCCGACCCAAGTCCCATCCAAGATATTTCACGACTTGTACGAGCATCACGACTCCGAGAACCCGGGCTCGGAGGTGAAGAATGCCGCCAACGAGGCAGAGGCCTTGCAGCAAGCAGCTGAATGTGGGAATTGGGGTGCTTCGCAACCGAGCGAGTTGTTCCTGAAGGTTCGTTACTTGGCGGTCGTGATTGGGCTGGATTGATTTACAATTCTGATTCTCACGATGTTTGACCAGATCTACCATGACGCAGTATGTGCTCTAGACAAGAACCCACACTCCGGAGTCGTTTCTCCGCCCTTGATGGGCAGCCACGGCATCGTTCCTTTGACCATCGTGGCCCCTCTCCCCGACCTCTGTCGACACATGGCCAATTGCATTGTGCGCGCCGAGAAGGAAGTCTTCCTGGGAACCAACTTTTGGATCCACTCCGATGCCTCGACGCTAGTAACCAACTCCCTCCGAGAACTCTCCAGGCGAGCAGGCGAGCGAGGCACCAAAGTCATCGTCAAGGTGATCTATGACCGAGGCGATCCGCGTCAGGTCTGCGAGAACCGGCTCGACGTGCCCGAGAAGAAGTATACGAGCTCGCAAGTCCAATTCCCTCCGGTCGAGGAAATTCCCAACCTCGACCTGCAGGTGATCAACTACCATCGTCCGATCTTCGGCACGTTTCATGCGAAATTCATGGTCATTGACCGTCGCGTGGCGCTGCTGCAGAGCAGTAACGTCCAGGACAATGACAATCTGGAGATGATGATCCGGATGGAGGGCCCAATTGTGGATGCCATCTATGATACGGCGTTGGTGTCGTGGGGGAAATCCTTCGATCCGCCTCTGCCAATGATGTCTTCCCCTGCAGCAGATGCGCCCATACCGAGTCTCGATGCGAAGTTCCCGGAGGAACAGGGTGAGATACCTCCTGAGCTGACGAAGGATGATCCGCACTACGATGAGGATATCGGGCAGGAGGCACAGAGAGTCAACGGCACGGTTGAGCCTCGGGAAGGCGAATCAAGAACGCAGGCTGTAACCCGCCATCTCAGTATGTTCCTGTCGCTCACAGACATCGAATCCACGCTGACTTGGCAGACACAACGACGCAACAAAACACCACAGGCGATGCCTCGGACACTGACCACGAACCCCCTATGCGACCATACGTCACTCTCCCACCTCACAAACCCTTCCCCATTGCCATGGTAAACCGTGAACCCTTTGGAGGTAAGCACCATAGTCCATCTTCCTACATAATTCCAAACTAACCCAACCCAATTCCACAGCACCAAGCCACTCCAGCGTATACACCCCCCAAAACTCCGCCTTCCTATCGGCCATCCAAAACGCCCAAGAGAGCATCTTCATTCAAACCCCCAATATGAACGCCGAACCCCTCCTCCAACCACTCCTCGACGCCGTCAAACGCGGCGTCATCGTCACCTGCTACCTCTGTCTCGGCTACAACGACGCCGGCCAACTCCTGCCGTTCCAGAACGGCACGAACGAAATGATCTCGAACCGATTATATACGTCTCTCGAGACGCCGGAGGAACGCTTCCGTCTCCGCATCCACAACTACGTCGGCAAAGACCAGACGAAGCCCATCCATAACAAGTTCAAGAAACGGAGCTGTCATATCAAACTTATGATTATTGATGAGAAGGTCGCTATTCAAGGTTTGTCCTCCCCTGCTCCCCCCTCTACTCTAAAGAAATTCCCATAAATGTTAGGTATTAACGACTATCGACTCCTCCCAATAGGAAACGGAAACCTCGACACCCAATCCTTCTACCATAGCCAAGAAGTCAACGTCCTGCTTGACTCGCCACTCGTCTGCCGCACGTGGCTGGAAACCATCGACCGGAACCAGAACACGGCCAAGTACGGCGCCGTCAGTCCGGAGGACGGATGCTGGCATGATCCCGTCACCGGCGACATGGCCGAAGCGTCGATCGGTGTGAACCCGGGGCATTTCAGCTGGGCGAAGGGGATTCTGGGCGCTGTGCAGAGAGTTAGAGGCGCTGGGGGGTTTTAGGTCGATGGTCGGTTAGTTTGCTTTTTGATAGGGAGAAAAGGGATTGTTTGTTTATTTTACTGGAATGGATTAAAATTGAATATTATGTGAGCGTTTGAACTTGATAGGTTTGGTCAGGTCTGAGTAGTAATTTATTAATTGCAGTCGATTCCTTTTGTCTAAGATTTCATTCGGCATGAAGTAAGTAGCTAGTACCAGCTACTCGGGTGAGTACGCTGAATATGAATACCAGTGTATCATCTCAGGGTAAATATAACGTCAATACAAACCAATTAATCAAACCTTTCCAACACCCTGAAGAGTCAAATAGACATCCGTGCCCCAGCCCCAGAGACTCTGAACCGCAATACTGCCCCCAAAGTACTCCGCGTAGGCTCTGCTCAACGGCAACCCGTACCCTAGACCAGCGATGCTGCTCAGCTGACCGCTATTATTCGAAATAGCATTGAAGGCATCCATGTTCCCGTTCTCGGCGCCCTGCAGGTCGAGGTCCGAGAAGGTGGTAAAGCTGTACGACCATATGTTCGGCAAGACCTCGGGCGGGATGCCGTGGCCGCGGTCGCGGATCCGGATCGTGATGCTCTGCGACGACGGAGCAGACACTTTGATCGATTCGTTGGCGTCGGCCGTGCCGACGACCGTGTCCATCTGGAAGCCAACGTCGGAGTGGGATTGCGTCGGGGAGGAGCTGTTGGCGACGGGGGAGGGGGATTCGGCGCGCCCGTGATTCCGGGGGACGTCGGGGGCCGCGACGATGGTAACCTCGATCGGGTCGCGCTCGTTGCTGGCTTCGATCACGGCGCGGAAGGCGTTCTTGAGGAGCTCGGTGATGATGTATTCCACGTGGACGGGGACATGCGCGAAAGCGGCGTCGGGCTGGCCGCCGATCTGGAGGCGGGGACGGACGCCGTATTTTAGCTCGCAGATCTCCCCGACGAAGTCCTCGCAAAGTTTGACGATGCGGGCGGGCTGCAACGCCGTGTCGATGACGCCGATGTAGTTCGAGGGGGTTGTGCTTTGGGGCGCCGGTTGGTTACTGGTGTCGACGTCGCCGACTGGCTGAGACGCAAAGTGAAGGGCAAGGTGTTGCTCTGCGATGAGCCGGGTGCCGATTCTCGCCCGTAGGTGGGTGTCCAGGAAGCGAGTCACCTCGGTTGGATCGATGTATCGGCGACACTCGAGGAAGCCTCGCGCGAGGATGGGGATCGTGTTGGTGTGCGTGTGCACCAGGTCGGCCAACACCTCGGCGAATCGGTTTTCTTCTTCGAGGGTCGTGACTTGTCGCTGCTGGTATGGCAGGAGAGTGGAGAGCGAGTGAAGGTAGTTGTTGTAGATTTTGGAGATATGTGGGTTCGAGACGACAATGAAGGAAAGGTTCCGAAGGGCTTCAATTCGAGAGGCGAGTCGTGCGGGGAGAAGGGAAAGGGTGTAGTTTGCGGAGGCGAGAAGCGCTTCCTTGGATAGTGGCGGGCGACCATGTCTAGGTATGCAATGTTAGCAAGGTTGTGGTGAACAAACTAGCCTGTGGCCGACTCACTTCAGCAGGTCTGCCAGAGTCAGCGGTCGGCGACGACTGGCTGCAAGACGTGCGACTTCATCATTCGCGCCATAAGCAAAAGACTCCTGGTGAGCAACCCGTGCGATGTCGGAGAGCGGTGATGAAGAGAGTCGTCGGGTTTGAGCATGGAGTGATGTCAACAGAGAAGGGCCCTTATGTCGGAGGCTGCGCCTCGCAGACAGCGCGAGAGCCCTGTGTATAGCCATGGTTAATACTGGCCATTCTGCGCCGCCAGCAGAGTCATTGGGGTAAGGGTTGCAAGAAATATGGATCGTCTTCTCCGTCGAAGGGCCGAAGAGCTTCTTACCGAAACAGGATGAAGAACGTTCACGTGTACGCTAGTCTAGGATAGGCAGGTATGGCGCCACACGCACTGAAACCTCGGGTTCTCTTCCTCTCTCAATCCATATTTTTATGGCTCTTATAGATTATGTTTAAGACACAGCTCTTACTAATCACGGCCGGGTGGCGCAATGGTAGCGCGTTGGTTTTCGGTGGCCAGGTTTGCCTGGCAACTCGGAAGCTTACCAAAGGTTGCGGGTTCGAGTCCCGTCGCGGTCAAATTTTTTAGTTTTACTTTACTATACCATACCCTACGCTACCCCCTTTTTGGGAAAAATTATATGGATCTCAATCATCCATCATCATCTTTGTTATGAGCCTCAACCAGCCTGTTTACGTGCCCTGTCGGATCAGATTTCTTTGATTAACGCAATCGGTCCTTTCTACATATCCTACCTAGTAAGAACAGCCAACAGACACTACACTAGTTATATTTGCTGCTGTTATTAAGTATATATATATCAGAAGACCAGGGGGCAGGGCTATTTTCTATTTGCTCATACACCTTCTCCTACTGCCTACTGTCTATAAGTTAATGGGGGGGCGCGGGGGCACCTTCTCTGTTCTTTCCCTTTTATACTTCCTCCTTCTTTTCCTTATCTCTCCCACCCGCTGAAAGAACGAAAGGAGTGTAGGTGTCTAGTGGTCTAAGGTCATCGGGGTGGATCCTGTTGTGATTACTTCTTTTACCCCTGGGCCTTGATTTCCGAGACAGATCTTGCAAGTTATCGTGGTAAATTATGTGCTGAGATGAGGGGTGGGGAATCTAGTGCTATCTAACATAGGGACTACTTATTATCAGTGCCTAGTTGCACTTCGGAGCGAAGCCGACGATGACGCATTCGTTCTTTCTATCGAGACAAACACATGAGCCTGCAAGATTATTATCGCGGTCTATTGGGTCATATCTCTTCCCGATTACAGCAGTAGGAAGTAAGTTGTGGTCACCAGGTTACACACTGCTTATGAGGTCATTCTCCGCTATTATTTTTGCCGCCCGCCTCCATACGTGAGAGAGCAAAACCGAAGCACACGCGAAGACATTTACAGATTCCAGTGGACATTGAACATAACAATACTAAATCATAAAAGGACATGAGATTGTCTGCTTATCCATATTCCCCGCGCAGCAGGCCTAGAGTTCACATATGGTATTTATTCCCTCGTCGTACAGTAACAGAAAGTCCGTAGCCCATGCAGCTAAGACACGCTTGAATAGGCAGTAGTATGCCAGATTTGATGAAGCAGTTCACAGAAGGCAGCGCTTAACGGTCGTTAAAAAGGTGTGATATTCGGTCTTCCCCGAAGGAGGATGATGGCATATCACCCATTACTGGATCCTTATCTCGCCATCTTGCTCGACGTGGATGTGCTCGGATGACTCGAGCGTTCTGACCTGGTCATCTGGGTATTCGGCACTAAGTGGGGTCAGCTGGAGGGGCATTCTCTATACCTTAGTGGTTGTTGGCGGGTTTGGGGGGGAGGGAATTATTGCTGCCTTACGTGAAGCCCTTGATGAGGGTGTATTCGTGCTTGACGGTGCCGCCCTGCTTCTTCACTTCTTCTTTGGCCCTGGAAAAAGAGTATGGTGTCAGTGATCAAGTTGGGGAGTAATATTATTTTTAGAGGTATGACGAAGGCCTTACTTTTGCAGCTCATCGGGAGGAGAGTCTTTCTTCAGGGTGACCTGGAAGTAGATGTTAAAGTGGGGACTTAGGAGTCATAGTAGAAAATGCACCACGAACGTTGTAAAGCGGCATGTTGACGGAGTGGACGGTCTAGGTTTGACTCGGGAGGGACGGATGCGTAGGTGGTGATATTGGGGGGTAGTGTATAGTGGTAGAAAGGACACGGTAAATCGGAGGACAGTTGGACGTTGAAACTGGAAGAAACGTAGACTCGCAGGCGGGTGGGACCAGGGAGGTTTTATACCAGGGGGCGCGGGGCGAGTGATGGAATGTCACGGCTGATAAGGAAATAAGGTGGGAGGGGCTATTTTTTGGCCTGAATCCCTGGATACTCGCTGCCTTGGAATCGCGCCATTTGAGGCCATCCAGTGGTGACCATCTCGTTGGCCACGATTCCTTGCGATCTGATTTCTCCCGAGCGGCTCTTTGCTTCAACGGTACGGATACAACTCGATGACTGGATTTCCTCGGGATATTACTACCAGATTACAACCGGGCTTGGGGAGAGTCTGCTCTACTATCACCCCACTTGACTGTGGCTTTGCGTGGCCGTGCCTATTTATCCAGGAGGGGCTACATGCACCCTGCAACCGCGCACACCACGCAGGAGATGGTTTGTTGGTGAAACCCCTACTGTAGGTCTACTGACGATTCCTACGGGGATCGATGTGATATGACATCTCCATGCAGCAGGTGGGGGTGTCCAAGCCGATGACGCTATCCAAGGCGGGGCAGTCACGTGAACCCGGGCTGCGCTCGCCGCTTTCCCGCTTTGCTTCGGTGGCTTGACTGTTGGACATTATTTGCAGGCAATAGATGCCACAGTATTTATGCGGTAGTCTTCACTGATCTGGTTTTATTATGCTGGCTGCTATAGCCCGACATATCCAGACCCATCACTATCTCGCTCGGGCATTCTCAAGCCATGCATACCGGTATATTTAGGGCTTTCTGGTTGCTTCCACCCCTCTAGGACCTTATCATCCGTCAACTTATACACCTCCACACCAAGAGGACGGGTCGTAGCTCCCATAGTATCCTCCTTTCCTTCCCAGCCCCAGTTAGAAAGGTCACCTAAAAACAAAACCGTCAGTATTCGCCAGATATCGTAGGAACTGCAAGACACATACCGCCTGGACAGGCCGAAAGCGCACATAGGACGTCAACTTCCGCAAAGAATTCGAAGTACTCGCCCGGCTTCGCTGGAGAGGTCTCCATGAAGTATTTCCCCTCCTCATCGAGTCCAGTAACCTGGAAGACGTTCAGAACGTCGTGCACATCCAGCTCCGTAAGCCCATGGGGAACGACCGCGCGAGTCAGATTGGAATGACAATGGTAATCGAACGACTCCCCACCCATGAGCAGATTAACATAGGGATCGCACCGCGTACCCAGGAGGTCATGACACCGTCCTCCGAACTGGGTGGTGCCGAAGGTAGCTTTCCGCACGCCGTTGTCATTAACTAACTCATGCAGTTGACCGCCGGCCAGCGAGTCCCCCGTGATCGTCACAAGAGGCCGCAGGTATGGCAGGTTGGACCAGAGACGATCGCCAACAGACACATGAGAAGCATGGATTTGACGCGTGCGGGCAGCCCAGAGACGCTCTCGAGGGTTCTGCGCGTTCCAGATGTTCAGATCCCCGACCTGCGGGCCCTTAGGGGTAGTGAGGCGGCAAACATGTCCGGCTGGGACGACCCAGGCCTGTCCGGAACAAGGGTGGATGGTGAACGACGTCTCCAGAGCACGCTGCGAGGCATCTGCGGCCGTCTTGGAGATAGACTTGTAGATAGGGGTAGTGCCGTGGACGGTCGAGTCTTTAGGAGCCGTATATGCCGGCGGGGGTCGACCATGAGGAGCCATCGTGAATGATGTGCGGTTATTTGGAGCAGAGGAACCGTGAGGGGAAAGATGCTGTTAGCAAGCGGGTGATTTACAAAGCGCTACAGGGGTCGAGAGAGCTTGGTCCCTTTAATAATTGGCATTGTCGGAATTCATCCACTGATAATGGCAACATCTATATCGTATCTGACACCATTGGGTCCGCTTTAATCGAGGCTAATGACCTCCTGGGCCCTGGCTGTTCCAATGCTCGCCGTCACCGGCGATAAAAGGGAGCCAACAAGTGATGATAGGCCATCATCTCCGCCTGCCGTTGTCTTTCGGACCGACGACTTAGGGTGGAGCCCTTATCGGAGAGCGTCGGGCCGGATAAGTCCTCGTCGATAAGACCTTACGTAAGGAGAGCGGTTGGGGTTGGTGCCTGAGGAAGCAACTCAGGCTCAGAAACTTTTTTTTACGGATCGGCACGGATTAAATCCCGCTCCGACGAAGAAAATGGAAATAATAATTTTGGTCCGAGCAAGCTACCAGCGAGAAGCAGCTCACAGATCGCCATCTGAGTGCACCGTGAATCCTTTCTTTTGGACGGAAAGAAAGGGTTTCACACGAGGTCCTCGACCTCTTTTCCACCATGGAACAACAGCCAAACAGGGCCCATCGGGCCACCAAGGAGAAGAAGAAGTTCGATGGTATGTATACAGTTTGAAGCCTCCATTTTTTGATCGCGAAATCGCTACCCCGTTGGGAAAATCTGTTGTCGGCAAGGCTAAAATGCGTCGTTTTTCTTTCTAGGCCCTAACCCTAAGGCTTTCGCATACTCGAATCCTGGAAAAGGCAACAAGGCTGGCGCGCGATCGCATGATGTATGCGCCCTCTCCGATCTCAAATCACCCGCCCAGACGATCCGTTAACTAATACCATTGTGTTGTCATAGATCAAAGAGAAAAGGCTCCATGTGCCTTTGGTGGATCGCTTGCCCGAGGAGGCTCCTCCGCTGGTCGTTGCGGTGGTTGGACCCCCAGGTGTAAGTTCTTATGTCTCTATCCTTTGAAGGCTAATGCGATACGAAATGCGAATGGAAGGAACTGACGAGTTTAAAACGACCAGGTCGGAAAAACCACCCTTGTCAAATCTTTGATTCGCCGCTACACCAAGCAGACTCTTAGCACGCCGACCGGACCGTTGACAATCGTGACGTCGAAGAAACGCCGACTTACAATCATCGAATGTCCCTCCGACTCTCTTGCTAGCATGATCGATGTGGCGAAAATTGCGGATATTGTGCTGTTGCTGATTGATGGCAATTACGGATTTGAGATGGAGACCATGGAATTCCTGAACGTGCTGGCCTCGAGTGGTATGCCGGGAAACGTCTTCGGAATCTTGACCCATCTGGACCTTTTCAAGAAGCAGAGCACCCTGCGGGCTGCCAAAAAGCGCCTTAAGAACCGTTTCTGGAGCGAGCTTTATAACGGCGCAAAGCTATTTTACCTCTCCGGCGTGGTCAACGGCCGGTACCCCGACCGCGAGATACACAATCTTTCTCGCTTCTTGTCCGTCATGAAAAATCCTCGACCGTTGATCTGGCGTAACTCTCACCCGTATGCGCTAGCCGACCGCTTCCTGGACATCACTCCTCCGACCGACATCGAAGCGAACCCGAAATGCGACCGGACGATAGCGCTATATGGTTACCTGCGTGGTACTAATTTCCCCGCGCAAGGCGCCCGAGTGCACGTTCCTGGAGTCGGCGATTTGACTGTCTCGGGTATCGAGAGTCTTCCGGATCCTTGCCCCACGCCGTTCATGGACCAGCAGCTGGGCAAGACCGGCAAGGGCGTCAAACGCAGACTGGGCGACAAGCAGAAGCTCTTGTTCGCGCCAATGTCTGACGTTGGTGGTGTACTGGTCGACAAAGACGCCGTTTACATCGATGTCAAGACAAACAACTTCGAGCGCGAGGAGGATGAGGAAAGCGATGACGAAGATCGTGGTCTCGGAGAGCAATTGGTTGTTGGCCTGCAGGGTGAGCGCAAGTTGCTTGGTGAAGCCGACGGCGGCGTCCGTCTGTTCAGTGGCGGCGAGGCTCTTGCCAAGGCGGATGACGAGGACGATGCCGTGGGAAGAAAGCGCAGAAGGAACGTCCGATTCATGGACGACGAAGACAAACAGGATGCGCTGAATGACGACGACGAGGGTTTCGAAAGCGTAGAGGGCGATGAGGATGACGAGGAGATGGATGGCGAGGAAGTTGATGGGCAAAGCGACGAGGAGGGTCTGGACCTCGCTGCCCCGGCAGACTTTGAAACCAGTTTCCGGGAAAAGCAAGACGGCAAAGACCGCGGAGGTAAAGATGACATCGCATTTGCCGACAGCGACTCTGACCTTGGTTCTATCTCGTCTGTTGAGGACCAAGAACTAGATAGCGATCAGGATGAGGACGATATGGACGGCGAGGATGACGGTGCATTCCGATGGAAAGAGAACATGGCTGCGAACATCAAAGCTCTCCACGCCAACAGGCCTAAATATCGTGTCACCGACCTCTCGCGCATGATGTACGACGAATCCCTCGACCCCGCTGACGTGATACGGAAATGGTCAGGCAAGGACAGTGAGGAGGATAAGGAAGAAGAGGACATCGAAGACGAGGGAGACGACTTCTTCAAGAAAACCAACAACGAGAAGGAGGAGCAGTCAGAGTTCCGCTCTGTTCCCGAATTCGACTATGAAGCTCTGGAGCAGAAGTGGCAAGAGGAGGACCTGCTTGAGTCGTTACGCCGTCGATTCATCGCCTCCCATCACTCCGGAGATGGAGATGACGACTTCGATGGGGACGAGGATGACGAAGGCGACGGAGAGTTTGAGGATCTCGAGACGGGAGAGACGTTTAATGGAATTGAAGATGACGAGGGTGACGACGGCGATGATGACGCGGCCGAGGAAAACAACGGCCCCGTTGATCTGGAAGCTGAGCGTGAGCAAAATGCAAAGAAGAAGGAAGAGCTGAGACTGCGCTTTGAGGAGGAAGATCGTGAAGGATTTGCCAATTCCAAGGACAACTCACGGCAGGACGGTGGTGGCGGAGAAGAAGAATTCGGCGAGGACGACTGGTACGACGCTCAGAAGGCCAAGCTACAAAAGCAGCAAGATATCAACCGCGCGGAGTTCGACACCTTGGACCCGGCCTCCCGGGCCAGAGCAGAGGGCTTCAAAGCCGGTACCTACGCACGTATCGTTCTCGAGAATGTGCCTTGCGAGTTTGCGACGAAATTCAACCCTCGCTACCCCGTTATCGTCGGTGGATTGGCACCAACCGAGGACCGATTTGGATACGTGCAGATCCGTATCAAGAGACATCGTTGGCACAAGAAGATCCTCAAAAGCAACGACCCCCTTATCTTCTCGCTTGGCTGGCGCCGGTTCCAAACGACGCCCATTTACAGCACGTCCGACAGTCGGACGAGGAACCGCATGCTCAAATACAGCCCTGAGCACATGCACTGCTTTGCCACCTTTTACGGACCTCTCGTTGCCCCGAACACTGCTTTCTGCTGCGTGCAGTCCTTCTCCAACAAAGCGCCGGGCTTCCGAATCGCCGCCACGGGAACGGTATTGAACGTGGACGAACATACGGAGATTGTCAAGAAGCTGAAATTGACTGGTATACCCTACAAGATCTTCAAGAACACCGCTTTCATCAAAGACATGTTCAACTCGTCGCTTGAGATTGCCAAGTTCGAGGGAGCGTCCGTTCGAACCGTCTCAGGCATCCGCGGTCAGATCAAGCGGGCCCTCAGCAAGCCCGAAGGGTACTTCCGTGCTACGTTTGAAGATAAGATTCTCATGAGTGACATTGTCTTCTTGCGTGCCTGGTACCCGATCAAACCGCATCGATTCTACAACCCGGTGACCAACCTGCTCGACCAGGATGAGCAGGATGGATCGGGCGACAACGGATGGCAGCGCATGCGTCTTACCGGCGAGGTCCGTCGTGATAAGGGCATCCCCACCCCCCTGAACAAGGACTCCGCCTACCATAAGATCGAGCGACCCAATCGTCACTTCAACCCTCTCCGAGTGCCCCGACAGCTGGCCACCGAGCTACCCTTCAAGTCGCAGATCACCAAGATGAAGTCCCACAAGGACAAGACGTACATGCAGAAGCGTGCCGTCGTCCTAGGAGGCGAAGAGAAGAAGGCGCGGGACCTCATGCAGAAGCTCACCACGATGCGTAACGACAAGCAAAGCCGACGAGCCGAGAAGCAGGAGGAGCGACGCAAGGTCTACCGGGCCAAGGTTGCCGACAGCCTGGAGAAGAAACAGGAGCGGGAGAAGAGAGAGCGCGACGATTACTGGCGTCGCGAGGGTAAGAAGCGCAAGAACACCGGTGACGAAGGAGGTGGCGGCGGCAAGAAGCGCCGTTAGAACCGAAATTGGTCTGATTTTCCTTCTGGTTCTGTTCTCTATACCTGGCGATTTCTTTTGTTTTCGATTAGCTGGCAAAAGTTGTGTGAATAATGTCCCTATGTATCTATCAACCTGTTGCATGGTGGATGGCGTTGAAACAAAAAATATACATGGTGTTTTATGAATACTCTCTGGATCGATCTGATCGAGAGTTGATGTAGTATTCCTTGGACCTATTCATACCTCGCAGGCTCTCCCGTCGACCACGTGACCGCGCCGCGCACGCGTCGCCTGGAGACGATCGACTTGACATGACAGTCGGACTTGTCTTATCGCATCAATCCCCACCACCTTCCCTGCCCACCTCATGTAGGCTGTCTTCCATTTTCACGAGCCTGGGGTCGTTTTCTGTCCTTTGATCCTGCAATTTATTTCGAATCAAATCCATTGGTCCGAGGGAGAAGAGGTGCTCAAGCCGCGCAGCCCACCGGCCGACCACGTACCGATTGCGCGTGTAGATTCCGGCGAGCCGCTCCTTGCAGGAATCTGCAACGCGGGGATTTTCTCAGATCGAGGGTTTCGGTCGACTGATTCGCTTCAATCGTCCAGTGGACCTGTGAAGCCTGGAAGCGCTTGAGAGATCCGCATCGGACAGTCCCGCACCCAACTCCCTCTCTCCCTCTACATCTAGACCGGGGGATCTCCTAGGCGCCCGCTGTCGGGGCAGTGGTGGGTTCCCTCGTTTCAGGACCCTCTTCCTAACCTGCCTTCCCTGTCTGTGACCGGGCTGCAGATAAAAAGAGTCCTTCTGTTGGGTGAGCGCCCATAATCTGACCCTAGTCCTTATTACACAGCCGCGCCCGGCGGGAGTGCCGCGTTGGCTAGTCGACCATCATGGGCGGATCGCCGCAGCTGAGTGAGCGCCAACACGTGCAGCACGCGCCGTTTCCTCCGCCGCATCTTAATTCGCAGTACCCTGTCTCGGCGGCTCGTGGAAATGGACTCGTGGACTCGCATCAAGCCCCGGACACCGATCGACATGTCAGCCGTCCAGTGCCAGCTGCTCAAAGCACAACGTCACATCCTCGCGCCGAGACGGACCCTTCAAACTTGCCTTATAAGTTGAATGGCCAGCCAGACAGCTCGGTGTCCTCCCAAGCCCTCGCTCCCCAGTCACAAACACAGAAAACGCCAAATTCGTCGGATCATTCGACCGTCCAGAGTGGTTATTCGCCCAAGCGGCCACAACCGCAACCACAATCTCAACCCATAGGATCGAGGAACCCCCCCACGATAGATTCACATGAGGCTAGACCCAACCAAAATCCACCAGACACCGGTGCCCAATCGTTTACAATACCCAAAAGTCCACCGAAAATGTTAGTGGGTCAGAAGCGAACGGCGATGAGCGTGGCCAAACCAGGCAATCCGCAAGATCCATATAATGCAGGTCAGACGAGCTCCGGAAGACGGCGCTCTGAAAGCATTGGCTCGCTTTCGCATGGAAGTAGGATCGCAGCTGTAAGTTGACAGCGCATAGCTACTTGGCTGAAGTCTTAGAAAACTGATCTCGAAGAAGTTGTCCGTACATCTCCGTACCCGCCTCTCTTATGCTGCCTCCAAGATCGAGAAAAGCCGCCAAGCAAACAATGCTCGGTTCCCAATGGAACTGCTAGAAAATGGCTCTCGAGCACCTTCCACGGATCTTGACACGCTGAAACGCATGGGGCTTTATCCATGCCTCGACGAGTCATCGGAATCTCATCAAATAATGGACATGAACTCCCCCGATGGCACGACTGTATCCGCGCCGGATCCGTCAGCGCCCTCTCAATCCCATTTCCAACAGGACTCTTTGCGAGCGTCGCCAATAATCCGCCCCGGCTCGTCCACACCGTCCATGCCTCATCATGATCGGTCAAAATCTCATGGCTCAACGCCAACGATCCCGAGACTAGCACCGCCGGCAGACATCATTCCGAAGGGTAGCAATTCACGCCGAAGAAGGCCAAATCCCAACGAAGCATACAACCCTCGCCGATACTCTCCCTTTCCCCTCCATCGGCGACACCACTCGCAGCAAGAATTCGGTGTTTCAAAGCCAGCCACCAGTTCGGAAAGAGTTCTGGTACCTGGGACACCTCCTCAGCCCCTACCTGGGGTAATCTCCACGCCGTATGGTTCCTTATCTAATAGACATATACAAGGTACAGCCATGGAACAGGATGCCATCGAGACACTCCTTTTCATGTCCAGTCCGGGACATTCGGGCTATTATTCTAATTCCCAGAATTCTCAGCCTCAACCGAGTTTGATACAGAACAGCGTTAGCCACTCAATAGATTCAACGACTAGCTCGAGATGGGGGCAGGATTCGCACCACAAGGATGAAAGCGACCGGTCCGGTTCCCATGGGCACGGCTCGAATGCAGGCTTAGAGTCCCAAGCAGGTGATGAGATCGATCGTATGCTAGACCAAATGGACAGCGACAGTGAGGATGAGAAGGCCCTCCCTCGGCATCACTCCGACAGTCTGAGCACAAGTTCCAATCAGAAAAAGAGCACCCGCGAACAGAAGACTCCTAAGGGGTCGTGAACCACCTGGCTGTCTATGAGGTTTCCATGTCATAGACCTAACCAAAAACTTTGTAATCCTTGTTTCTTGCTCCATGACTTTTGGTTACATTGCTTGCATCATACACCGAAGACTTCGTTCCGCATATATATCGCAATTCTTGGGGGCCCTTGCATAGTCCCATAATGACACATAAAGTGGAGGATTTTTTGATTCTGTTGGATGTCGGCGTTGGCGAACCTTTAAATACTAATCAGGATCCCTGGTACGATTTCATAAATCAATTGGCAATAGCTTGAGCAATTGGATTGGATTGGCATGCCGTTGGAGACGTCAGACTGCAGGACGGTGGAGATCCTCGGCAACATCGTTGTTGATCTAGGAAATACACCGACCGTCTCGCTCCTTCTATCTTCATCCTCTTTCCACCTTTCCCACCGACCTCAGTTTCTATCACCATATCAAACATGTCTTCCAGCAACAACCCCTCTAGCAATCCATCTTCGGCACCCCTGGATGATTTGCCCGGATACCGTCGTGATATCATGAGCGTGGCCAGCGACAGTTCGTCCCCGTTCCGTCAGAAGTGGACCAACGGTACTCTGCTTTACGACATGCCCCCGGAGGAGGTTCTCACCGTACTGTCGGAAAAATACCTGGCACTAACTCCCAAGGTGATATTCCTGGACAAGTTGCCTAAATCGGAGCTTCCCTTCGTGAATTCTGAACTGGCCGACCCGGAAGTCTGGGAGCGCGAGCTGATCAAGGACCACCGTCAGGCTACACTGGCTAAACTGGAGGGAAAGAGTGTTGGCGATGTTCGACGCGAGGACGACCGGGCGCCGGTTGAGCGAATACGTCAAGGAAAACAAATGTATCTGTCGTTCTAGCCGCACTTGCGCCTGGGATTGCACTTTGGATCCGGAGCGCCCTTGTCCCTGCGCCGAGAGACAGATGCGCGTTCTGCTCGTCAAGCGCCGCAAGGGTGTTAGCTCCCGTGAGTTCGGTGCCCGTTGCAGTAGTCTCGCTAAAGCGACCTTCCAGGGAATTTCTGCCTTCGTCGTGATGTCGAGGACCAGGAGATTGCGAAAGAGTTTGATCGCGCGCTTCTGCTGCTCGTCGAGGAGATCCAGAAGCAGCGGCTCACGGCTGCCAAGGCGAACGGGGTGAAATGCCTGAGTGATGATTGAGCGGTGTTTGGTATGGACTACCGTTTGGGTGGTTTAGGTGTAGCTTGAAAAGGCGAAAACCGGCACGTTACGATTTACGAGGTTATGACCAGGATTAATGACCATGGGGTGGTGTTGTTTATGCAAAGCAAGTTGAGGTTGATCTTTTGTATCTACTGGCAACAGGAAAAGTCAAGCAGGTGGAAATGTTGATGGAAATATTTACTTTCGAGTCATACGCATACTAGGTCGAATTTGTGTACATAGATGACTCAGCACTCCAGTCGGTGAGTTATGCTGTAATAATGCCAAGGCAGGGAGGGCATTTCTTTGTATTGTTCTCGTCTCTCTCTTCCTGAGAATCGAAACCAATCCCCAGGCAAACAGAAGTCTGGACCCTTTCTGGCAAAACACGAGACGACACAAGATAATACAAAAGTCGCCGTCTTGTCCGCCGGAATAACCTCCGACGCCGTCAGCGCCCGACACTTCCACAGGCCCCAATCCCAACGGTTTACGAGCATCGCTCATTCCTCTTAGTCAAACCGGGCGATGACTGGCTGTCAGGGCTTCCCTTGTGATCCGCCTCAACTTATCTCAGCATGAAAAGTAGCGAGAGCAGATCACCCCAATCCACGCTGGAGAGAGAGCAATCCCCTCGAGGTCATCTCAGGGCTACTGAGAGACTGTGGCGGTTCACATCATAGCGGGCATGGTCCCCAAGACGTTTGCATCTGCCTCGACTGCCGCGTTTACCTCCCCGTCCTTATCGTCGCCGTCGACCATAATAGCCTCGCCCCTACGACCTGGCAACCCACAGTGGATCGCACGCTCCGGGGGACGACCCAAGACGCTGGTCCGGGGGTACCGCGCTGTCTGGCCCTCCTACGGCATCACCACGCCGGTTCCCGATCGGCATCCACAGTTCCCCATCGCTCGTTGCCCCTTTTACTTCCAGACGGGGTACGCTCTCTGTGCCAAACGTCCCTCGCGCCCCTTCCCCCCACCCTTCCTCTCGCCGCCGTCCTCCTCCTTTTCCGACCCCTTGACCACCCACTATCTGAGTCAGGATAAGAGATTATCCGTCCGGGGAGAACTCGTCCGAGGGTTGAACAACGGCGACGATGCCGTCCTGGTTGCGGAGAATTTCTTGGCCGTCAACGATGGCGTAGGAGCGTGGGCTACGAAGCCGCGAGGTCATGCTGCGTAGGTTTCTTCTCTGCTGTTCACGGAAGGCCGAATACTGATTTGTCTCCCGCGGTGATCTATAGTCTCTGGTCCCGATTACTTTTACACTTTTGGGCCCTAGAAGTGGAGCGAGAAACCGCGGACTGCGCGCCGCTACACCCCATCGATTACCTGCAACGCGCATACGAAGAAACATTACGAGCCACAACCTCGCCGAGCGAATGGCTGGGCACGACGACCTCGGCTACGGCGCTCCTACACTGTCAGCGTGACGATGCAGGACATACGAAGCCGTTACTCTACGTGACCAACCTGGGAGACTGCAAGGTGCTGGTGATCCGTCCGAGCGAGGAGAAGGTCCTATTTCGTACCAAGGAACAATGGCATTGGTTTGACTGTCCGATGCAGCTGGGCACCAACAGCGTGGACACGCCCCAAGCGAACGCAGTGCTGGACTTGATTGATCTGGAGGAAGAGGACGTCGTATTGGCAGTCTCGGATGGAGTCCTCGACAATCTCTGGGAGCACGAGGTCCTGAGTATTACGCTGGAGAGCATGCGAAAGTGGGAACAGGGCCGGTATGATAACACCGATTTGGACTGGGCACCGCCTGCTGTTCTTGCGGAGGAGAGCATGGTGTTTGTGGCGCGAGAGCTCCTCAAATCTGCTCTGGCGATCGCACAAGACCCGTTTGCGGAGAGTCCCTACATGGAAAAGGCGATCAACGAGGGTTTGGCCGTTGAAGGAGGTAAGTCCCCATCCAGAGGCCCAATACTAGCCTCATGATGAACTAACGGGAACAGGGAAAATGGACGATATCAGCGTAGTGGTTGGTTCTTGCAAGAGACGAGCGTCCTGATTCTTTGCGATATTTTTTCAACAACAATTAGGGCAACGCGACCAATCTCCCTCACACTCACATGGAACAGACAGTACCCGGCACTCGAGCGCGACTGCTTCGATCGAGCTTGTTCCTCGCGCTGCCTAAACAACTAAGGGCACCTCCAAGATGGCCTTCTCTTTTTTGGTCAGGGTGAAAATTCGTACTGCGCAAATAAACGAGATGCTTTGAACTTATGCATGTGGATTTGCTGTCGCCCATTTACATACTCCGTAATGGGTGATTTTCCTTTTGTGCTTAGAAAATAAGCCCAATTTCCTTGCGGCTTGATATGTTCTATTTAATATTCTTCCTATACATACTTTGTTATTTCCAGCGAGTTACTTTTTATACACTCACAGCAATTGAATGCATTTTCATCTCTGTTGTTACTCCCTTTGGAAATCCTGGTTTTGTTATCGAGGGCGATGTAGATAACGCACAGACCACAGCTAAAGCAGCGCAACTCCGCCCGGCAAAATCAGAAAGAAAAAAGTTTCCCTTCCAAGCAGCTTTCATCTTCATCGACACCACACCTTTACTTCCGCTCTCCCTCTCGGTCAATCAATAGTCACAATGAGAGCTAAACGTTCCAAGAAGTACCGTAAGCTCATGCACCAGTATGAGCTTACTTTCGGATTCCGTGAACCCTACCAAGTCCTCGGTATGCGCTGCTTGCCCATCGGTGTCTCGTAATGATATCTTGCTAACATAGTCGATGACACCAGTGGACTCGAACCTCCTACGTGCCGTACATTCTTTCAAAATGGAACTGATCCCTGCCCTGGAGCGTACCCTTCAAGGAAAAGTCAAGCCTTGTACGTCTTCCACTCGACTCCTTTCCCTTTTCCTTTACCTCTCAACAACCAAAAATGAACTCCGGATTCTAATCTATCCTGCCTTCTTCTTTACAGTATTGACAAAATGCTCCCTGGAGAACCTTATGGCCGGTCAACCTCTCCACCCGCGAACCAACAACCCCATACGTCCGGAGTGCCTCCCCCCGCCCACGACACTGCCATTGCGTCACTGTTCGCATAACGAAGATTCCACGCCCATTGACGAAACTGAATGTCTTCTCTCGCTCCTATCGCCGAGCACCGACTCGAAAAAGAACAAAGAACATTACATCCTCGCCACGGCGGATCCCCCGGGCGCCGAGAAAGCTGCCGCCAGCGCGAATGCCAATAAGGGTGGCGTTGGGCAGAAGAGAAAGCGCGGCCCCGATGAAGGCGAACTCGCCTTGCGACGGGCCCAGTCGCTGCGCAGACAGGCGCGGAGTATCCCCGGTGTGCCGATTGTGTATGTCAAGCGGTCGGTGATGATTCTGGAGCCGATGAGCATGCCGTCGGATGAGATCCGGGAGGGCGTGGAGAAGGGCAAGTTCCGGGTTGGGTTGACTGATGAGACGATTAATAAGAAGAAGCGAGAAGGCGCGGGTGAGGCGAAGGATGCGAAGAAAAAGCCGGGGTTCAAGAAAGCCAAGGGTCCTAATCCGTTGAGTGTGAAGAAGCCGAAGAAGAAGGTTGCTGAGACCGTTGGCTCGACGAAGCAGAGACCGGCGAAGGAGGAAGGGCAATCAAAGCACGACAGTGCAGATGAGGGCCCTGGTGGTGCGGATGGCGATTCGGCGGCTCCGAAGCCGAAGAGAAGACGGCGTCACCACAAAGGAGCGAGGCGAGATGGCGATGACGGTGAACAGGCACCGTCGCTCGGGGCTGAGGCTGTTGCCTCGGTGGATGTGATGGAGGAATGAGCTTCCGTCAATTGGATGGAAGAAAGAAAAAAATCATCATTTGTTTGTTACCTGTTAAGGCGTTCCGGTTGGGAGCAGAGGCACAAACGTCTCTCCATGATCAAGTCATGTACTGTACATTCAATATCCGGAATATGATACTCCAACAATCGATCAACGTAACGATTGATAAGTACATTCTTGAAAAAAAGAAAACTGCCTTTACATATTCATATTCATACAAACACCCCGCATACAATGATAGATCCCTCCTTAAAACGCCGTGTTAATAGTTTCTCTTCAACCCTCCAATGCAATCGATCAAATCCTATACATTCCTGCATACAACCCCAGAAAGGGAGCTGTAGATGTAGATTTATTTCTCCCCCCGCTCCGCAGCCTTCTCGTCCGCCCAGATCTTCTCGATCCGTTTCCGGTTCTCCCGCGCCTGATCGCGATTCCGCTTTGCGCGCGCATACCGTTCTTGCGACAGGCACTTGTTGACGTCACGCTTGATGTCGTTGCAGTTGCCCAGGGCTTTGTGCAAGAATCCACGCGCGTGGCATTCGTCCAATGCGGTCATGATCTCTTCGCAGTCTAGTTTTCGATAGAGTAATGGTTAGTTCGGGGACCGTGGGATGAGGGTCGAGGTGCTCGGTGGGGTTGCGATTAACGTACTGGCATTTTGCGGGGTGTGGAGGTGAGAATGCATCGTTGCTGGCTTCGTGGTATATTCGAATTTAAGGTTGTCTGAGGAGAATGGGCCGGGATACTAGGTGCTCCGTAGTACTTCTTCCATCTTCGGCCAGTTGAAATCCCCGAAAACCCAATCAAGGCGGTGAGTCTGGGGCCCGATTCTGCCGGGCGGAAAGACGCAGCACAAGAGGGGCTGCGAAGGAAAAAAAAAAAAAAAAGATCGAAGTTGCGCTTGCGGAGTGACAATTCAATCTATCCAACAAAACCTCGGTGAGTGAGGTGTTGATTTGACTATATTCCTTTGGTTAGGTTTCTACCAGGAACGTCAGATTAGATATTTTCTACTTGATATTTCTTTTTTCCATCTTTGTTAAGTTACTCGATAATTGTGTTTTCGAGTCCAAAAGTTGCGATTTGATTTGATTCGTATTTAAATTTTTTTTTTTTTTCTTTTTCATCTTTTATTTCCCAGAAAAGTCCTCACGATGTCTATGATCACTACTACCGGTTGGGTGCGACGAGGTGTCGCTGCCCAATTCCCTACGAAGTATGAAATTGACGAAGAAGAAATGGGTCGCATATCCGAGTTGGCGAGGATGCAACTTGAAGATGCCAAGGGTGACTTGAAGGCTGCCCAGGAGGGAAACGAGGGCGAGGACGAAGCGATGGACGAGGATAAGAAGGAGTCTGGCTCAGATGCCGTGGCCAAAGGTTCGGACAAGAAGGACGCCAAGGAGTGAGTGCGATTTGAATCCCCCGCCGGGCGAGAAGACATATAGAACTAACTCGATCTGCGCGCTGCAGGGACGATGACCTGAAAGAATACGATCTGGACCACTACGATAGCGACGAGGTTGACGAGGATGGCGAGCAGATCACCATGTTCGGTAACGTCAAATCGCTGGCCTACCACCAGCCCAACGAGGAGGATCCGTATCTGGTGGTACCTGAGAACGAGGACGACGATGAGGAGAGAGAGGAGTTGCAGGTTCTTCCTACGGATAACTTGCTCTTGGCCGGTAAGGTGGAGGATGAGGTTGCGCATCTCGAGGTTTACGTGTACGAGGACCAGGATGCCAATCTCTACGTGCATCACGACATCATGCTGCCTGCCATTCCCCTCTGTCTCGAATGGCTGGACATGCCCGTCGGCAAAGTCGCCGAGGGCCGCACGACCGGAAACTTCGTCGCGGTCGGTACTATGGAGCCCGACATTGAGATTTGGGATCTCGACGTCGTCGATTGCATGTACCCCAACGCGATCCTGGGCCAGGGCGGTGCCGACGCGGACAAAAAGTCCAAGAAGAAGAAGAAGACCAAGACCAACGATGAGTTCCATGTTGACTCGATTCTGGCCCTGGCCGCCAACCGGCAACACCGTAACCTGCTGGCCTCAGCGTCGGCGGACCGCACCGTGAAGCTCTGGGACCTGAACACCACCAAATGTGCCAAGTCCTACTCCCACCACACCGACAAGGTGTGCTCGCTGAACTGGCACCCTACGGAATCCACCATCTTGCTGACCGGTAGCTACGACCGCACCGTGGTTGCGGCGGACATGAGGGCCCCCGACGCCAAGGCCCGCTGGGGAGTCGACGCGGATGTCGAGAACGTGCGCTGGGATGTACACGACCCTAACTACTTCTACGTGACGACGGACGGTGGTATGGTCTACCGCTACGACGTGCGGAACATCCCCGCGACGCCGCAGGAGTCCAAGCCCGTCTGGTCCCTGCAGGCGCACGATTCGTCGGTGTCCGCCTTCGACATCCACTCGGCCATTCCCGGATTCCTGGTCACCGGCTCCACCGACAAGCAGGTCAAGATCTGGAACGTCGAGAACGACAAGCCCAGCATGGTCGTGTCGCGCAAGCTGGAAGTCGGCAAGGTCTTCTCCACGACCTTCGCCCCCGACGCCGAGACGAGCTTCCGATTGGCGGTGGCCGGTAGCAAGGGTACCGTGCAGGTTTGGGATACGTCGACCAACGCTGCGGTGCGCCGGGCGTTTGTGTCGCGCATGCCCGCGCTGGAAGGAGAGGTCCAGGAGCGTTTTGTGGGACTGCAGGCGGATCAGAATGAGTCGGACGACGAGGAGGGTGGCACGGAGGTTGGGGCTGCAGATGCAGCCGGGGGACCGGATGGCTGGGAGTCGATGGACGAGGACTGAAAAGCTCCGCGCAGTGATGCGAGCGGCAATACGGAGAACCGGAGACTCAATTTGGACGAACAGTTATTGCATGTACGGAAGATTGACTCGATCTATTCTATATAGTATTTGTGTAGTCCCTGCCGGCCTCGGATTGGCATGCAATGAAAACGTTGATACCCTCAAGTCAGCTGATCGTCGATCGCCGTAGAACTTACCGAATGTAGGGATCATGTGATTCACCTGACCACACCCGCCACGAAGGCGCGTTGGGGAGGGCCTCGGCGACCCAAGGTTCAGCTGATGATGGACCGGGACAACCACATCACATTGGATGTGTGCGAAATCTGTGGATAGATGGTGGATGAAATGTTCCCGAGCCCACTGTTCGTGGGCTAGAGACTCCAGATCGATCGACTGTTCAATTTTCAGCCCTGAGCAAAGTTTAATGCTCGGAAGAGAGTCAACCTAAGATTCAGAGTCAGGAACAAAGAAAGAGGCGGCAAATGAAAGGAGCCAGCGGGTGAAACTGCAGTAGGGTGCCGAGGAATATCCGGCGTACTAGTGATCCCAAGTCAGGAACAACTCCGGCAGCAAAGCCAAAATAGATCTTTCCGACATCTGTGATCTCATCGTCGAGGATTGTCTCTTCCTGCGACGAGGTGCAGTTGCCACGGACAGCGGGTGCCTCAGGCCAAGACATAGAGATTAGAGTGCGACCCCGTGACCCACTTGGGGGGAGCCACAAATGCTTTGTCCACCGAGTCTTTTGGTCTTTGCGACTTCGTCCCCCCCACCTTCGCCTAGAAGTCGCATGGATATCTTCGATGCATCATCTATCGATTTTTCGCCCTGTGATCGAACCGCATCAGGAAAGATGAAAATAAAAAAATGAACTGCATCTGCACCATGCGGGCCTGTACAGGACAGCAGTGTCCCAAGACCAGACCGCGATCCTTTCCACATCATCCATCGATGTCATAGGGTCCCGTCCATGCAGCCGTGATCACACATCCTGAGACAAATCGCACGGCATGATTGTTTCATCCCCACTCGGTCAAGGCTTTCTACAGGCTGCCGCCTTGCCGTTCCTGGCGCCAACTTCGACACCGTCGCTTGACCATGCCTCCGCGAGGATGATTAGGCTATCGTGATTGCTCTGTTGTCCGGTCGGGTGTTGGAAAATTATTAACTACGCGCCAGGCGGAGACCTGGGGGGACCAATTGCCACTCGTTTCTACTTGTCTGTCCTCAACCAATTTTTTCACAGGAGGTTCGTTTGGAACTTTGAGTTCCGGCGGTATTCCTCCTTTGTCCCTCCGAACCCCCCTAGGAAGAGAGAGCCATGCATGTATGAATGTAGGTTCAGTACTCCAGACACAAGATCCCCTCGTCGTTCGGCATGTACGAGGGAGAGGGAGGGGGAAGGATTCTCGGACCAGAAGGATGATTGATACCTGTCCCCCAGCGTCACATCAAATGGTCGGCCAGAAGTAACCGCATGGTACATCCATCTGTCGAGCATCGGGGCTTGGCCGTCGGGGGGCCGGATCCATCCATTCATTTACAGCTGGATGATGTACAGTGTACAGCTGCATCGTAGGCTTTTTCTAGGAAAATAATCTCATGGCTGGAAAGTCACCGGCGGGGGGGGGGGGAGAGCCGATCAGGGCGACGTGAGAAGTCTAAAAAGTCAATAATATTAATTAATTAATTAATAAAAGACCCTGACGCAGCAGTCTGCATACCGTGGATACGTGAATTCTGGACATCTTCTCGTAGTTGTTCTCGACCCGTTGCTACCACGGTCGGTGACTCAGTCTACGCACTGGAACCGAAGAGAGCGAGAGGCCGAAAAGACAGGAACCGGAGACAAAGCGAAAGGAAGAAAAGTTTGACGGTTAAACCCGTTGAAGGCATTGGAGAAGAATTGCGGGACGAACTGGCTGGATCCAAGGGTGGACAAGAAAAAGCCCAAGTTGTGTGGTTTTTGGGCCAGACCGAAGTTTGACCTTTGACCCTTTCCCCCTCTTCTGTCTTCCCTTCCTTCTTTTCCCGCTCGTCGTCTTCCTTTCCCTCTTTTTCTTCTTCCTTCCCATCCACTGCATTCCTCCCTGGGGGATTCTTTCGCAGACAGGCTGATTCACTTCTTTCTTGATTGTTATTTTTGCTTTCCTTCCATTCTCTTCTCCTGGATTTGACCATCCTGGATTCCTTCCTTTCAAGCCGATTTGAGATATTTTATTCTTATACTTTACGCATCTCCCCCGTGGCGAGTCCTGGTTGTCCGCCTCGGTACTTCAGCTACTGCAGCAACTCCCCCCTTGAGTCAAGCAACCCGCCCGTCTGAGGCGAGACTCTCCCATCCTTCCCATTTTTTCTGCTGTGCATGAAAAAGAAAGATAAGGGAACACTTCGGTCCCTCGTCTCCATATTCATTGTCACTTATTCCAATCCTTTCGACTGAGAGCAAAAGGAAGAAAAGAGTTGCAAGAGCGCAACCGACTCGTTATCTGATATCGGCACATTCCGGTCATCGGTCTTCCATACCTTCCTTATACTCCACATCCGCGATCGTCAACCACACATTCTTTATCAACTCCGCAAAAGGCGACGAGAACTGTTGCGACCGAGGAAAACGGTTATCTCTAAAAATAGGCAAAGAAGAGAAGCAATACGGTTTCGACCCCAGAGATCGAGAAGAACGGCAACAATCCTCGCAGAACGGCATAAAGAAACTATATCTATTGGAGGCCGACCGTTTAGAGTTTCTGCGCTGACTCTCGCCATACTTCCGTCATCATGTCGACCCTCACCCGCGCATTCACCAAGCGCAACAAGCGACCCGAAGTCTCTGCGCCCATGCCCTATCGCGAGGGCCAGGTGAAGTTCAACGCCGGTACTATCAAGCGAGGGAACATTTCGGCACCCGTCGAATTGTTATCGACTACGAACATGCTGGCTTACAACGCCCCCGATCTGCACTCCGCCACTTCATCCTCGACTTCATCTTTGCAATCCCCCGACGACTCGGAGTTATCGTTCTCGCACCAGAGCTTCGGATCACAGATTACCACGCCGGATGATTCACCAGTCGATTCCAACCCCGTGCCGTCTTACTTCCCGAAGCGATCGGCCACAATCACCAGTCATCCCCGCTCATCGACATCGACGTCATCGTCTACGGAGGCCCCATTGGTTCCCAAGCGGGCTCTCTCTCACACAAAGCGATCGCATCAGGAGCTGGCTCGCAAGCGCTCCCTGTCCAGACTGTCCCCTCCCCCGTTGAACTCCAGCCGCAGCGGCCCGGCACTTCGAACGACGCAGGACTTCTTCCAGCCCGAGCCGCATCCGTTTGGCAAGGAGTTAGAGCAAGTCAACGAGGTGGTGGAGGAGTTTGGTGGTGGCCACCGAGTGTTGGACGAAGAAGAAATGCTTTTGCATAACAAGGGACTCAAGAAATTCACTGTCAATGATTACCTGGTGGAGATCGAAGATCTGTATGGCAGCATCTTCGATGACCAACTCGGCCCCATCGGGACTACCTCCTGGCTTTGAAATAATTGATTCTCTTATGCTACGAAAACCATGGCGTTTTCTCGAGCAGGCCGAAAGAACTGGATATTCTTTCACATCTCCTGGAGACGTTCACTTTTCACGACCCACTAATATTCGCTCTTTGACGATGTCATCTAATCACTTGTTCTTTTTGAACTCACACACTCTCTCTCCCTCTCTTTCTTCGTTTTATCATATGCTCTATACCATTGGGAGGACTGTCATTTCCCCATGCCGTGTTTTTTTCTTTTTCTTTTTTGTGTTTCCCCTATGATTTCTTTTTATTTTATTTTGTGTTGGAATGGGACATGTGAGGGTACATTATGGAAGAGCACATAACGAGTTTCCCGGATCTGTTTCTCTTGTAAATTCAACAGCGTGTCTTAAGATTCAACAAGAACGTATGACCCATTTCTTTGCACCACCTTCATCGTCGTACAGACAAACCGAAGTAGGGCTTCATCTGCCCCGAAGGGGAAAAGCGCACTGTTGCGCGTTGGTCGCGCGCCGGTCACGGGTCTGGCAGCCTCAGGCTCCACGTGCCCCACAGTAAAAATTTCACGGAAGGTTCTCCGCTTCTTCACCCTTCAAGCCGACTGGTCTTCTTTTCCTCTTTTCTTTCCTCGTTTGTTTGAGTCTGGCATCCCCGGCACTCTCAACTCCTTTGGTGGATTTGATTGATAGATATCACGGGAATTCAACATCTTTCTCTCCCTGTCTGCCTGTCAACTGTAGCACCGCAGCGGACCACTCGCCCTCGATAACGCCTTCGCCGGTGTCGTGTGCTCTGCTGCTATTTGTGGTTACATTTCCATAGCACAATACCTATCTCTGTTGCGCTGAAGCATCAAATGACGAGAAGCTGGGCTCAGTCTCCGTTCTCCCCAGCGCTACATTTCACTTCAATAGAATATTCGACCCTGTCATGGTCTCCCTCGCCACCCCCTCGCGCAGCCCAGCGACGGCAGCTAGACCGACCAACCCCTCCAAAATGAGACTTCCCTCCTCGCCAGTGTCCATTTTGAAGAGGTCTAAAACCGATACTACCACTCCCGGACTGAAACATCGAATGGAGGAAATGGACCTCTCGCTCTCTCCGCCGTCCAACAGTCCGTCGCCGGACTCGACCCCGAGTCCCCGCAAGCGACCTCGAGTACAATTCGCCGACCTGCGGCGGGCTACCTACGATGGTCAACAGTCTAGGACGCCAGAGAAGAGCGCGGCCCTGGTACGGGAAGAGGTGCGCCGAGCCATCCAGCGACATGTCTCGGACGGCGGCAGCGAGGCGTATGACCGGATCAAGGAGGTGTTCACGGCGGACCCGCGCAAACACGATGACGGCATCGATATACCTACACACACGTCTTTAAAGAATCATCTCCTGGGACTTTTGTCCAACGTGGCGGCCTTGGATCGCAGTTGCAACGGGCTCGTCACGGCCGTTCTGGACAGCCAGTGGCTCGGACGCGATGAATCGTACGTCAAGCTATATATCCGCTTCCTAGGTAATTTGGCTGCTGCTCAAGGGGTCCATCTGGGGTCGGTGCTCCGAATGCTCGTGAAATACCTGCGCGAGCTTCCTCGCGGGACCGGTAGACTGCCTGGCTACGCGCGCGTCCATGCGAAGGAGCTGTATCCCCGTGTCCACATGGCCCTTCGGTATGTGATAGGGTTGATTCCGTCTGGCAGTGGGGCCCTGTCACCCATCTTATCCTCCGAATTCCCCTCCCCCGTGGATTCGGCCAAAGCCAATGTTGCGTATACTCACAATCTCCTCCGAGTGATTGGGTATGCTCCTGAATTGCAAGCCGACATCCTCGCTCTGATCACCGAAAAGCTCGTCAAGATTGACGTTCAGATCCAGGTCGACCTGGAAGATCTCAAGGACGAAGAGGAGGAGGGCGTCCTGCAAGATGTCTCGCCCGAAGAAATCATGTACGCCGAGGGCGATGATGAGGACGATGAGGACGAAGATGACGACAACGACTCGGTCCTGAGTGAGGGTTTACTGGACAGCGAGGCGCAACACATCAAGACTATCAAAGATAACACTCTTAAGCTTGATGGCATGATCGACTCTCTCTTCGAATACTACAACCCTCCATTCACGACGGGTACCTTGGACGACAAGAAAAGCGCTCTTGATACTTTAATCAACCATTTTGAAAGCATAATTCTTCCCACCTACAAATCCCGACACACTCAGTTTATTCTTTTTCATTTCTCCCAGTTTCATCCGGATTTGGTGGATCAGTTTACGGGCATGTGCATAGAACTCATCTTCGAGATGAAGAAGCCGGTCATCACACGCCAGTCCGCCACCGCCTACCTTGCGAGCTTCGTTGCGCGAGGCGCGCACGTTTCTGGAGATGTCGTGCGAGATGTGTTCGAGATGCTGGGTATGCACCTGGAAGACCTCCGCACCGACTACGAGGCTACCTGCCGTGGACCGGATCTTCGTCGCTACGGGTCATTCTACTCGGCGGTGCAGGCGTTGCTATACATATTCTGTTTCCGCTGGCGGGACTTAACGACCGCGGCGATGGAGGGCGAAAGTGTCGACCAGGTGGACGAAATGGACCCGGACGACATCACCTTCCCTCCTATGGTCAAGGAGGTGCTACACCAGGCCATCCACTCCAAGCTGAACCCACTCAAGGTGTGCTCGCCGCCCATTGTGTCGCAGTTCGCGCGCATGTCGCAGCACCTGAACCTCATGTACGTGTTCAGTATCCTCGAGACCAACAAACGCGTGCGCATGTCGTCGTATCGCAACCTCTCGGCGCTCGCGGACCCTCGCTTCGCCCAAATCGAACGTGAAACGCGTGCCGGCGAAGAACTTGGGAATCAACTGGACGCGTACTTCCCGTTCGATCCGTACCAGCTCCCTCACAGTAGCCGCTGGGTGAAGGATGACTACGTTGAATGGCGAGGTATCCCGGGACTCGACGACCAGGAGGACTCGGACAGCGAGGCGAACGGTAGTGAGTCGGAAGACGATATGAGCGAGGGCACGGGAACAGACGAGGAATGATTTCAGCTCTGACTTTGATGATGCAGAGGAATGACGGAAGAAGAAAAAGAAAGAAAAAACCATTTCATTTGTTTGCAGATCTTTTTGCAAATGCTCAATACCCCTTTACCATTTGATTGATTGATTGATTGATTCATGCATTTCCCCCAAAAAAGTGACTGACCAATTCGGTTGTGCGAAGCGTGGCGTTCGGGTTTCCTAGCAGCAGCGATTTGATGTGTACATGCTATTGAACGATTTAGGGCTGAAAGAAATGATCCATCTATAGTTATATGATATAAGGAACAACAGTCTACCCCTGTATCCACCATCAAAGCTTAAGTCAAGGAGACCTCATCGACAACCCACCCTTCAACGTTGGAATCTCCACCCCCAACACCTCCCCCGTCGCCTCATCCACCGCGAACACCGCCTTGTCATCGCCTCCCCTCTATACCGCATCCAATCTACCACCTGCTACGACTTAACAGTACGCATTTATGCTCCCCTGTCCCTGTAGATCCGACACCGCGGCCCCGTCCAGCGGCAAGATCTCTAGATTCAACGGCTTGATGACGGTCTCGTGAAGCAGCTGCGTATAATTCTTGCAGATGCTTTGTTCTAGACACAACGAGAAGAGCAAGAACGAGAGTTGCGAGTAAACGGGCTTCGAATGCCCAGGGCCTTCTGGCTCCATGGTCTGTAGGCCTTGGAGGATCTCTAGTACAATCCTTAATCAGGGTTGACGGGGGCAAGATATTGCGAGGCGTTCAGATGAGGGAAACCCAGGCTGCTCTCGTGGAGTGGCTGTAGAAGGTAAAATCCATAGAGAATTTTAGTATTCAATCTTGGCCTTCAGATTTGTTTTTCTCTTTCTTTCTGTACAAGCAACCCGCTAGAGAGAAGAGCGCAAACGATGTAAAGGGAGAAAAATATGGAGGCATATAAGAGCATGGTGGATGTATATTTTTACAGCACGAGGAAGCCGTGTTGCGGATATATTACTATGTTTCCCCCTCGTTGATCTGTTGCATATTTAAAACGCACACACTGCGTACTGCTACTAATATGATTCTCTACCACTAGCTAGACCTCCCCCAATTCCATGACTTCACCTAAAAATGGATATCAAACGATATTACAGCGCCCTGGAGACCCGCCTGGGCAATTGGGTCCTTTTCGGCGGTCGCGCCCATCTCGCCTACTACGAGCCCAGCACCTGGTGGCCCTTCCCCATCCATCGAGCCCTGCTGGCCATGGAAGACCACATCTACGACTCCCTCAGTGTCAACGACAACCGTCGCGCGCGCGTGCTTGACGCCGGCTGCGGCGACGGCCAGGTCGCTATCCACCTGGCTGCCAAGGGCTTGCGCGTGCATGCAATCGACGTGTTGGCGCAGCAGGTCCAGCGGGCGCAACGGAACGTCCGTCGCGCAATCCTCGCGCGGTCGCAGTCGCAGTCGCGGACCCTCAAGTCCAAGCAGGACGACGATCCGGTGGCGCTGGACATCACCGTTCGGCAGGACGACTATCATCATCTGGTCACTGTTCAGACGGCTTCGCTGGATGGTATCTATACCATCGAAACGTTGGTGCATGCGTCGGACCTGATTGCCGTGTTGACGGAGCTTCGCCGCGTGTTGAAGCCCGGCGGCAGGGTCGCTTTCTACGAGTATGACCACTGGGCGGCGGCGGCGCAGGAGCGAAAGAGCGAGGCCGAAAAGACGTCCCAGGCGGATGAGAAGGTGCGGGAGTACGGCGCCATCGCGTCCGGGTCGACTGAGCAGCAGCATGAAAGCCTGGCGCGGAGTCTGATCCAGGCGGGATTCTGCGATGTCCAGGAGACGGACTTGTCGAGGAACGTGCGCCCGTTGCTGCGGGTGTTGGTGACGCTGCTTTTCATTCCGTGTATGTTAGTTTTGGCTCTCAGGATGGAGGCCTACTTCATTAACACGATTGCCGTCGTTGTCAATTATCGGCGCGGATGGAAGTACGTGGCGGTGACGGGGAGGAAGCCACTTGAGTCGGAGGATCAGTAGCCATGAGGTTTAAGTTGCGTAGGAGATCTGAAATGATTGGGTTTCGGGGATGCGTTCGAATTTTGTCAGTATTAGCTGTGCTCGTGACGAATCGATGCCAGATGAAATGGTTGGGCAAAGAAGTATAAAAACAGTAAAGACAGTGAGTAGCCCCTGTCATCAAACTGTAGTCCATTCAGAAATATGTGTCCATGATAAAATAATACACACCAAAGAGTAAAACAATATGTACAGTCTCTTGGCCAGGTGGAAATCGTCTCGTCCGTCGCTATGCCGACGTTTATAATATACAGTGTCGCACCGCTCTACGCCAGAAATCAAGAATATAAATCAACAATCAACGGGGTCAGAAAAAGGGACGACTCAGCCAAGAAGAACTACGCATTGAAGATGGCCTTCATGTCCGCACAGGCGTCGCGGTAGAGAATGTCGACTCGATCTTGATCGCGGAAGGGGTTCGGTGACTTGTCCCAGGCATGCGGCACCTTCTCGATCATCATGGCGCGCACGTGCTTGTTGATCCCCTCCAGCCGGCGCACAAAGTGCTGACCTTCTTTCAACAGCATGTCCCACTCGCAGATATATAGGAAGATGTCATGCGGCAGGGATTCGGCCAGCATCTCGTCTCCAGCTCGCACGGGTGACGCGTAGGGCGACCGGCGGTCGGCGTGGTCGGGAAGATAGGACTCGTCGAAGAGATCGGTGAAGAAGGCTGGAAGGGTCTTGTTGGGGTTGATGCTCATGGCACGGCGATGATCGCGAGATTCCTCGAAGTCTAGAATGGGATACCAACAGAACAGGCCGACGATGTTGATGTCGCAGGCGGAGGAGTCGACGAGCTGGTCGGTCGACTCGATGCGATCCACCCGAAGGTTGACGATTGCCTGCGACATCAGACTACGCAGCCGCAAGGGCACAGTGACGGCCAAATTCCCGCCCGCCGAAAAGCCACTCAGCACGATGCGTGAGACATCGAGGCCCAATTCCGGTGCGTTGGAGGCCAGATACTCCAAGGCCCGGACTCCGTCGTCGACCGCCGCCGGGAACGGATGCTCGGGCGCACGACGATATCCGACGCTAACGACAATGGCGCCCACTTCGTCCAACACGGACCGGCACCAGCGACCGTCATCGGTGGCAGAACCCAGCGTGAAGCCCCCACCGTGGAAATTCAGCACAACAGGCCACCGGCGACCCTCCTTCCGACCCTGGTGGTAATCGGGCGGACAGTAGAAGTATAGGTCAACATGCGAATCGTCCGTCGGAATGGTTCGGATGAAGGAACGACGCGGAGGCCGAGGCGGCGCAAAGTCATGGATGAACATGCCGAGGCGCATGCAGCAGCGCCAGAAGACGGCCTGAACCAACAGCCACCATCGAGGGGAAGGGGAGGCGACCATGGGTACGGGTGAGACTGTTGGAGTGAGGGATTTGTTTGTTTTTTTTTGGGTTTAGATGGAAAAGGTAGGAGGATGTGAAGATCCACACTGAGAAAAGAGAACAAAGCGAGAGTGAGAGGGCGGGAGGGGGGAACAGAAGAAAAATCCGGAGAACGAGGGAAAGAGGGAGATAAGAAAGAGAGTGGGAGAGTGAAAGGAAGGACGGATGGCAAAAAGAGGAGAGACGAAGAACAGGTGATGATCTCCAGGACCAACGTCAATGCATTGAATCACGGTGGAATACGGTTAGTCTGCCGAGAGGAGACAGGACAAAAAGCCAAGCAAAAGACAAGACAAGACACAAGGAACGAGAGGGTCTAGAGACTAGAAAGAGAGAGGGGAGGGGAATGATTAGTTATTGATAGACAGGCAGAAAACCGGGTGCATTCTGCATCAGATATCGTCATGAATAGCTAATGAGACTAAAAATGAAAGGGATTGACTGAATTAACTTGTTTGGCGCATTCTCAGTGCCTGGCGAAAAGCAGAAAATCACTCGGGAGCGGATGACATCACGGGATTCCCCTTCCGGGCTCATCTTTTTCTTCCTTCCCCTGCCGCTTTCTTCTACTCCTTCTTCCTTCCTCTTTACTTCCTTCTCTTCCTCCTCTTCTCTGCTGTCGGACTATCAATCAATTATCTTTCCGACAACTGTTATATCTTTCTTCCCTATCCATACTACCCATACTACTATCCACTCTGATTACCCACTTACTTGCCTTCCAATTTACCCCTCCGTATATGATCCCGCCCAACGGTTGCCATCATGTCCATTAAACGGGCTCTTTCGAAAATCACCCCGGTGGTAGGCCAGTCCGATGATTCCTCCGGCCATTCCAAGAGTCTTCCCAGCTCCCCTCGTCGCAGCATCCTCAGCGGCTTCCTGCGGGAGCGCGACTGGGTGTCCTCGTCCGACGACGGCTCCGACGACTCGTCCCAGGGGACGATGAGCAAAAACCAACAAAAACGGCTGGCTCGTCAGCAACGGCGACAGGAGCGATCGCGCTTGAGCGAAGACCGTCGTTCCGGGGAGTCCGAACGCCACAAGGAGGAGATCGCCGAAGCCATCCGGAGCGAGACGCCGGAGATGAAGGGGCGCTACGGAGATCTGCCCCTCATGCAGTCCCGCACCCGTACCAACGAAGTCCGCACCCGCTTCGACGATATCTCCGCCGACCAGGTGGGGAAGCAGATCTTCTTCACGGCCCGGTTGCACATCATACGTCGCATGAGCGCCAAGTTGGTCTTTCTGGTCTTCCGTCAGCAGCTCACCACCTTCCAGGGTGTCCTGCATGAAGAGACCGGCGTGAAGTCCATTGCTATGGTGCAATGGGCCGAACATCTGCGGCTGGGAAACATTTTGCAGGTGCGCGGCACCATTCGGGCACCTCAGGTCCCTGTGCTCGGCTGCACGATTCATGACGTCGAGCTCTTCATCGACTCCATCCACGTTGTGGTGCGTCGCGAGGAACCCGTCCCGTTCAGCGTGTACGAGGCCGAGATCCGCACCCCCGAAGAAGACCGCGTCGAGGGCCGCCGCAGTCGCATCCCCGACCGCACGCGCCTGACCAACCGTTTGCTGGACTTGCGCACTCCTACCTCGCAATCGATCTTCCGAATCCAATCCGCCATCGGCAACTTGTTCCGATTTGCGTTAGATGGCCAGGGATTCATCGAAATTCACTCTCCCAAGTTGCAGGGCTCTGCCACCGAGTCCGGCGCCAGCGTGTTCGGAGTCAACTATTTCGCGCGCTCCGCCTTCCTGGCCCAGAGTCCGCAATTAGCGAAACAGATGGCCATTGCCGCCGATTTCGACCGGGTCTACGAGATTGGAGCCGTGTTCCGGGCGGAGAACTCCAACACCCACCGCCACTTGACCGAGTACACGGGTTTGGATATTGAAATGGCGATCGAAGAGCACTATCATGAGATGCTGGACGTTTTGGACGCCGTGATCAAGAGTATCCTGGAGGGCGTCTACGGTCGCCACCGCCGCGAAGTGGAGATTGTAAAGCAGCAATTTCCTTCAGAGGATGTGGTTTGGCTGGAGAAGACGCCCGTCCTACGCTTCGCCGACGGCATCAAGATGCTGAACGACTCCGGGTGGCGCGACGAGGACGGTAACCCTCTCCCGGAGGACGAGGACTTGTCCACCCGTGACGAAATTCGTTTGGGCGAGCTCGTCAAGGCGAAGTACGGCACCGACTACTACGTCCTCGACAAGTTCCCCGTGAGTGCCCGTCCGTTCTACACCATGCCCGACCCCGATGACAGCCGCTTCACCAACTCGTTCGACATCTTCGTTCGCGGTCAAGAGATCGTATCGGGCGGTCAGCGAATTCACGACCCTCACATGCTGGAGGATAACATGCGCCGGTCGGGCATCAACCCGGAGACCATGGAGGAGTACATGGAAGGCTTCCGCTGGGGCGCACCCCCTCATGCTGGAGCTGGTGTGGGCCTGGAACGTTTGTTGATGCTTCTGTTGAAGTTGGGCAATATCCGCCTGGCGTCGCTCTTCTATCGTGATCCCAAGAGCTTCCCTGCGAAGCCCGAGGTCGTGCAGTTGCGACACCCTGAATCCTCAACCCTCGAGCCCCAGTGGGTTCGGGACAAGGTGGCCAATCTGGCGCCGGACGACGCGTCCCTTCCGCCGCTCGAGCATCTTATCGCGAACTATGGCGACGCCACCTCCACCTCTTTCGGCGATGAGCGGTTTAAGATCTGGCGGGATCGGGGCACCGGTGCCGCGGTTTCCTACGTGCCCAGTAGCAACAACTACGTGATCATTCCGGGTAACCCTCTTTGCGACTCCAGCCAGTATTCACGCATCATCAGCCAGTTTTTGCAGTGGCTGCGTCGTGAGACCAAGTACAAGCCAATTTGGCTGCTGTGCTCCCCTCAAGTGGAAGACGTTCTGGGCGAGAAACTCGGCTGGCGCAGCTTGTCCTGCATCGCCGAGGAGCGCGTGGATCCGTCACGCAACCTGGCGGCGTCGGACGGCGAGATTGCGCGCAAGATTCGTCACGCGGAGAGCACCGGAGTGAAATTGGTGACTTTGAACCAGGGCGAGATGGTATCCGACGAAGTGCGCGGTAAGATTGACAAGCGCCTCAAGGACTGGCTGGATAACCGCAAGGGCACCCAGGTGCATCTGTCCGAGATCCGTCCCTGGTACGACCACGAGCACCGGTGGTATTTCTATGCGCTCGACAAATCGGGTGAAATCTGTGCTTTCGTCACTCTGGCCATGTTGGCACCCACCTCGGGCATGCAGGTCAAGTACAGCTTCGATTTCCCCGGCTCCCCGAACGGCGTCATCGAACATATCGTGACCCATGCCATTCAGACTGCTGCTCGTAGCGGAGTCAAGAGCCTCACTTTCGGCGCTGGAGCCACCAGCAGTATGACCCCGGGCCACAACATGCACGGCACCAAGGTGAAGATGTTGCAACACACCTACGAGACCCTGGCAAAGCAGTTCCATCTGGTCCGCAAGAGCGAGTTCCGCGCCAAGTTGGGCGCGCACGAGGAGCCCCTCTTCATTTCCTACCCTCCTCACGGGCTGGGCTCCAAGGGCATCCGGGCCGTTCTTCACTTTTTCGAAGATTAAGTTGGAATCAACCCTTTCTACTCTAGTGGACATGTAATGGAATGATACCCCCTTATTCTTGGTGAACGATAAAATATACATTGATGTGGTTGACATGTGTTGTGGCTATGTTGCGTCCTTTTCGTTTTCGCTTTTATCTTTTGATTGGCTTTCACTTCAATTCCCCCTTATGTTTGGTGCTTTCGTGTTGTTTAGATTCATCCACCCCCCTATAATGTTGTCATGATTTGTATGTGACCATGCTTGCGTTCTGTGCACCGTGGTCTCTAATATCTAGTGTATGCTAAGGAAATATGTGTATATGGAGTTCCCATTTTGACATAGAGCATGATCCCAAAGATGTTTCATCATTACTGCGTCTTGTTGCATCGTCAATAGAAATACAGTTTGTCGCTATCTTACAGACCCCGTCCCGGCGATATATACCTTCTCGTAGCCATTTACCGTTTCTTCTTCTCTTTGCCCACCTGTTTCGTGTATGCTGACTCTGCAGCCTTAGTAAACTGGCCTAGTATCCACCGCCCTAGCACGGCCGCAACACCCCCCACGATAGCCATATAAAATGCCGTCGGCACTAATGACTGCGGGAAAACGTTCAACAGAAACGGGTCCAGAATGATATCTGCCCGCACAGGTGGTACAGTCTCCATCAGCGACGAGTCAAGCGAGTAATAGTCCGCCGCAGCCCGGATGCGCAGGAAAAGCACGGAGTCGGAGGAGTGGGATGTGTCGAAGAAACTTGAACGAGGTGTCAATCCTTGCGGCGGATACTCTGCCATCCGCGCGGCGGAATAGACGCCAATGGAGGAGAAGAGGCCGGGATCCTCGATCGCATCGGGAACCGTATATGTGGTTAAAGTGAAGTCGGTGGGTTGCTGGATTGACAATTCCTGGTCAGATACATGGTGGGATTCCTGCCTTCGGGAAGGAGGATGTAGATACCGTAGCTAGCCAGCAGATTCGGACCTCGTAGCGTTGCCCCGGAGTCAGGTTCTCCAGGAAATACCACGAGTCGGTCCCCGGTGAGTCGTCGGTGGGAAAGGACGCATTCAACTGCGTGCGGAGGGCGGGTTTCGCGGGCGTGAGTCGTTGGAGGCCGAGGTCGTCGAGGGACGGGTCGACGGCGGGGATCGTGGCCGCCGAAGGCGCCCGGAAGATGGTTTTCTCGACGTTCGCGGTGACCCTGAGAATGAGGAGCGGGAGGAGGAGCAACAGGAAGGAGCGAAGAAAGGTCATGGTGGGTGGGTAGATGGCGTTCGATTGGAGACGGAGTAAGTCGAGGGCTCTAAACTAGGTAGCTAAGTTACACCTATAGACCCGTTAGATTGTAGCAAAGAAAAGATGAGCGAAGGGTGCTGAATGGAAAACAGTACTGACAGTGGATGATGCCCGTGTCTCTCAGGGCAAAAGCAAAAGAGACAGACGACGGGGACATTGCCGATCGTCGGTGACGTTCAGGCTCAGCAGACTGGCTCGCGGTGGTGAGTGACGAAGTAGATCCAGATCCCAGATCCCCATCCCGCCGGATCTCCCAGACGCCCATGCCGTCATGACCCACGTGACCGCCAAGCAACCGAGGAAAGTTGCTGAATCAGCACCGCTCTGATCCGGCGGTCACGGGCGGGTGTCCACCAATCAGGGCGAGCCTCAGACCGACGCGACCCAAAAAGGGAACGGCGAGTGACAGCGCATGAAGAGAGCGTCTTTGTTGTTGTTGAGGTAAATAGAATCATAACAAGAAGAGTTACGACGGGCTTCACGGGACTATTTAGTATTGCAGTCTCTGATCTGATCTGTTCTGGTTCTTCTGTTTATTTTCCCTCCTCTCTTCTACTGTTCACCATCTCCTGAGTGAGTTGCCCTCCCCTCTCTCTCCCCATCTCTCCTGCCCACCCGTTTGTTTTCCCTTTTCCTGACTAAGGCACTAAGGCCTGCCGGAAAGGAAACTAAGGCAACTAAGGCTAACCAACCAACCCCTGAACCTTCCCTTCCCTCCGTACAGCAGATCGTCTTGGGCACGTACACAACGAATTTTCCCACCGCCTCCCCTCCTTTCATCTCCCCCCTTCCACATTCCCATCTTCGTCTCACATTTTTCTTTCTTAATTCTTGCTTCTTCACCACTCAATTCGACCCGCCACCATGAGAGAAGTTATTAGTTTGAACGGTTAGTCCCTTCGGATTACCCATGTTTTGGTTTTCTGGACTTGGGTGACTAACGTGTTTTTTTTCCCTCGGTACAGTCGGTCAGGCTGGTTGCCAGATCGCCAACTCTTGCTGGGAGGTATGGGCAATCGAATCTCTAGCCTTAAATTCTTGAGGAATGCACAATGTCTGCGGGGCATAGCGTCGATGGAAAACGGAATGAAAGAGGATTGAAAAAATTGATGCTAATCGGTTGTTGTGGTGTAGCTTTACTGCCTCGAGCACGGCATCCAGGTACGTGATTTTGTTTGGAAAAACAGCGAGACCTCGCTACACCGGGATCACAAACCAAGGAAACTGACCGCTGGTTACCATAGGCCGATGGTTATCTGACCGAAGAGCGCAAGAGGGATGACCCCGACCACGGTTTCAGCACCTTCTTCTCCGAGACTGGTACGTTCTTTCTCTACCTCGCTCGTATTTCGATGCCTCCATCAATTTTCATCAATTGGCATCGATCTTGAACCACTCTGACCGCCGTGATGGTATCTTTTTTCAGGCCAGGGCAAATATGTTCCTCGTACCATCTACTGCGATCTGGAGCCCAACGTTGTCGATGAGGTCCGCACCGGCACCTACCGCAGCCTCTTCCACCCCGAGAACATGATCACTGGCAAGGAGGATGCCTCGAACAACTACGCCCGTGGTCACTACACCGTCGGCAAGGAGATGATCGACCAGGTTCTCGACAAGGTTCGCCGCGTGGCCGACAACTGTGCCGGTCTCCAGGGATTCCTGGTCTTCCACTCCTTCGGTGGTGGTACCGGTTCTGGTTTCGGTGCTCTGCTCATGGAGCGTCTTTCCGTCGACTACGGCAAGAAGTCCAAGCTGGAATTCTGCGTCTACCCTGCCCCCCAGAACGCCACCTCCGTTGTCGAGCCCTACAACTCCATCCTGACCACCCACACCACCCTGGAGCACTCCGACTGCTCCTTCATGGTCGACAACGAGGCCATCTACGACATCTGCCGCCGCAACCTGGGCATTGAGCGTCCCAGCTACGAGAACCTGAACCGCCTGATCGCTCAGGTCGTCTCGTCCATCACCGCCTCTCTGCGTTTCGATGGCTCCCTCAACGTGGATCTCAACGAGTTCCAGACCAACCTGGTCCCCTACCCCCGTATCCACTTCCCTCTGGTGGCCTACGCCCCCGTCATCTCCGCCGACAAGGCCTCTCACGAGTCCAACTCCGTCAGCGAGATCACCATGTCCTGCTTCGAGCCCAACAACCAGATGGTCAAGTGTGATCCTCGCAACGGCAAGTACATGGCCACCTGTCTGCTCTACCGCGGTGACGTTGTCCCCAAGGAGACCCACGCTGCCGTTGCCACCCTCAAGACCAAGCGTACCATCCAGTTCGTCGACTGGTGCCCTACCGGTTTCAAAATTGGTATCTGCTACCAGCCCCCTCAGCAGGTCCCCAACGGTGACCTCGCCAACCTCGACCGTGCTGTGTAAGTTCCGCCATCCCCCCTATCTCCCTTGATTTGCTTTTAGAGCTGCCCTTTATCGGGAAGGAAAGAAGAACAAGGATGAATCAACGAGGCTAACATCCCCTGATAGTTGCATGCTGTCCAACACCACTGCTATCTCCGAGGCCTGGTCCGCTCTCGACCACAAGTTCGACCTCATGTACTCGAAGCGTGCTTTCGTCCACTGGTACGTTGGTGAGGGTATGGAGGAGGGTGAATTCTCCGAGGCCCGTGAGGACCTGGCTGCCCTCGAGCGCGACTACGAGGAAGTCGCCAGCGACTCGCTGGAGGATGTTGAGGAGGCCGAATACTAAACCGGCACGGCCGTGTAGCCGCAACAAACCGGCTGATGGTGACGGACCATCTGGCTGGTCACCTTTCGTGATTATTTCCCAATGGTTGGGACAATGGGGACCGGCGTTGGCCCAGGCTGTTAGAGTGAGTTGCGCAACCGGTGTGGTTTGCAAATAGGAGAAATGCGTTGGCTTAGCACAGACTACTATGTTTTCTTTGATATATGTTTAATATCCCTGAAGCAGCGATGAATTTACCGCTCGTTCGCAAGACCAGATTTTTGCACTTAGAAATTTGTAATTGAGAGAATTTTTGTTAGCAGGCTGGGCAGGTGGATAAGAGAGGGCGATCGTTCGTAAACGTAGAGAAAGCGACTCGTGCGAGGCGGATGGTGCAGTAAGGAGAGGGAATCTGCCGGGGGAAACGGCGACAGGCCGACCCTCACCGCCCGCATGACGGACCCAACCGCTTCTCCCCTCGCCCAAAGCCTCCAACCCAACAGCTCGTCGCAAGCTCCAGGCAACTAATTCTTCCCCTGGCCGTCCCTCTTCTTCTCCTCCAGCACCCCCTACTCATTCTCCTTTCTCGTCCTCATTTTCTGTGAGGGACCCGTCTCTTCTCTGCGGCATCCCCCGTACTTCGAGTTCTCCCCCGTCCAGGAGCTAGCGCTTTGGCCATCCATGCCCGTGGCATCTTCGGGATAGAATCGACTACCAGCCCGTCGTGTTTCCGAAAGAATTATTATTACGGGGACGAAAACCATACCTGAAAGGAGGGGAGGAGCATTGCCCCCCTCAGACTTATAATCATGGCTGACAGTGGTGAGTCCTCCCGACAAAACCAGAGAGTCCCAGGTGGATAAGCTCTCAGGGGACGAACTACCCGGCCGGTCGGGATGGCGATGATGAAACCAACGGAACTGACGGATGCGCCCCCCTGAATTCATACAGCACGACATCCCAACCTCAATTTGACGCCGGAGGAAAAACGGGTCTTCTACCAACTTTTTCAGGCTGCGGATACGACAAACCTGGGCGTTATTACCGGCGAGGTCGCCGTTCCGTTCTTCGAAAAGACCCAGCTGGCCCCGGAAACCCTCGGTTTGGTACGTGGATGGACTATTCCGTTGAAAGGACCTCGTTCCTTGAAGCGCGAAGCAGCTTTGGCTAACCGAGTGGTGGTTCTGGACCTGTAGATATGGCAGATTGCGGACAGGGAGAATAGGGGTCTCCTGACCCCCTCGGGCTTTGGCGTCGTGCTGCGATTGATCGGACATGCCCAAGCTGGTCGCGCACCGACGGACGAATTGGCACTACAACGTGAGTTGTTTTCGACGCTGCTGCCCGCGCTTATAACGGGTTCCCTCCGAAGCATAAATGACGTTAACCATGGTGTGACAAACCAGCCGCCCCTATACCTAGGTTCGATGGCATCGTAGTCGACCCTGCCGCCCCTACCCCTACCCCTGCCCCTGCCCCTGCGCGTGAAGCCGGTGCAACTAGCCCGCCCCCGGCCCCAGGAACACCAATTCGCGTTCCTCCGCTGAACCCGGAAGATATTAATAAGTTTCTTTCGCTGTTTGAGAAATCGGATGTCTCTCGGACTGGAGTGATGCCAGGTGCGTATATCATCCATCCCCGAGAATAAGCTTAGAACTCTTCAACTAAACAGCTCTATGTTTCCAGGCGAGGCCGCAAAACAAATTTTTGAACGTGCGAGACTTCCGAATGATATCCTTGGTAGAATATGGAACTTGGCCGATGTCAACCAACGGGGTGCTCTTGACGCGACTGAGTTCATCATCGCGATGCACCTTTTGACCTCTTATAAAGCGGGCACGATGAGGGGCATCCCCCAGACTCTTCCGCCGGGCCTGTATGATGCTGCTGCCCGACGGGGCTCTACGCGATCGTCCGTCGGCGGCTCGCGAGGCCTTGATGTCCCGCCGGTCCCGGCGATCCCTAAACAGTTTACTGGTCCTCAACGTACTCAGAGCCCTATCAGCCGGCAGCAATTTGGCTCTCCTCTTTCGGCCCAGTCAACCGGTAGCGACTGGCTGATCACTCCCCAGGAGAAGGTTCACTTCGATAGCGTGTTTGCGACCATCGACACAGCAAAGATTGGTATGGTTAGTGGTGATCAGGCTGTCGGATTCTTCATCAAGGCGCAGCTGCCCGAGGAGACGCTGGCTCAGATATGGGACCTCGCCGATATCGATGCCGATGGACAGTTGACGAAAGACGAGTTCGCGGTGGCCATGTACCTCGTTCGATCGCAGCGTACTGGAAAGGAACCACTTCCACAGACCCTGCCTCCGGCTCTGATCCCGCCCAGTATGCGCCGCCCCAGCTCTGGATACGTTGCTCCCGCTGCCGTTCCCGCTCCCGCTTCCGCTCCTACGCAAGCCCCGGCGCCCCCTCCACCCCGCTCGGCCGCAGACGACCTTTTTGGCCTGGATTCGCTCTCGGCTCCTGTCCCTCCAGCAGCGCCATCTCAGATCCCTCAATCTACTGGGGGTTCGAACGTGCCATTCCCCGTTCCTGCATCGCCGACTTCCAGGGCGTCCCCGCCGAGTGCCTCGACCACGTTTAAGCCCTTTGTTCCCACGTCCTCGTTCGGACAAAGTATCCAGCCTCAAATGACTGGCGCTTCCGCCGGTGCGCCACCCCCGGTTCGATCGCCTCCGCCGCCGTCCGATGATCTTCTTGGCGACAATGACCCCGAGGAGTCTAGCAAATTGACGCAGGAAACCACGGAACTGGCAAATTTGTCCAACCAAATCGGCTCATTGGCAAATGAGATGCAGAATGTTCAAACAAAGCGCACGGTTGCTGAGCAGGACCTTTCGCAGACCTCTCAGCAGAAACGCGATTTCGAAACTCGACTCGCTCAGGCTCGGACGATGTATGAGCAGGAGGTGAAGAACTTCAAAGCTCTCGAAGAACGGCTGAATGCCTCCAGAGCGGAGACCAACAAGCTCCAGCAGGAATTTTCCTTGATTGATGCAAGCAGGCAGGATTTGCAAAACCAGTACGAACAGGTTTCTGCGGCATTGACCGCCGACCAGCAGGAAAATGCTAGCCTCAAGGAGAAGATTCGCCAAGCTAATGCGATAGTTGCGCAGCTGAAACCCACACTGGAGAAGGCCCGCTCCGACGCCCGGCAGCAGAAGGGTCTCGCTGCAATCAACAAAAAGCAGCTTGCCACCGTGGAGGGTGAACAAAGCAAGATCCAAGAAGAGATTGACGACCTCTCCAAAGACCAACCCCAAGAGCCAGAGGAGCAGCATGAGGCTCCAGTGAGTGCTCCTGCCGTCGCCAGCCCCGCCGCCTCGACAGCTAGCCAGAACACAAACCCCTTCTTCAAGCGCACCGCAACCGGCTCTAGCGAAGGTCACCCGCTGTCGCCTCAAATTTCCAATGACCAGCAACGCGCGTTCGACAGCCTCTTTGGCCCGTCTTTTACCGCCCAGTCCCCGTCAAACGCGGCCACACCACCGCCTCCAACCTCATTCCGAGCTGATTCACAGCCCACTTCGGTCAGGTCTACGCCTAGGGCCCCGACTCCATCTGTCTCTCCGCCCCCCTCCGCTGCAGGAGCTCTTTCAGACCCACCGGCGCCGACTCAGTCTAGACAGCTTACGCCTAGTGGTCTTCCCTTTGGGGACTCACAGTCTACCACGTCTTCGACTATGGTTTCCCCCCCAGCTAGTAGATTTGGCGGACCGGACGCTGTCTCACAAGCAGACACAAGCGACTCTGGGCCCACGCCTGTTGATGTCGCTCCTACCTCAGCCCCTGCCTTTGATGATTTCGAGGAATCCAAATCGAAATTCCCCGAAGTTCCCAGCCCCAGTGACCAGCCAGTAGAAGGTGCTGCTTCGTCCGCCAACGAGTCTAACCAACCCGGTGAAAAGGATCCAAGTTTCGATGAGCTATTCGGTGGTCCCGCACATCAGCGGTCGACGTCTCAGAATAAGAGCGATTTCGAAGAAGCGTTCGCATCCATGGGAAAAGGCAGCGGGCCAACCAAAACCAACGGTGCCCCCGAATCGGAATTTCCGCCCATTCATGAGATCGATGACGATGATGACGACGAGAGCACGGACAGCGAGTCACACCTGGGCTTTGATGACAACTTCACCCCGGCGCAACCGGCACAGAGTCAGGTCGCAACCCAGGCACCTTCTGAGTCTCTTGAGCCCTCTCAACTAGCGGCCTTCCCATTCCCTGGAGCCGCGAGCAGCCCGGCTGAGCCTCCTGCGCCGGAATCCCAGAAAAGCCCCCCAAAATATGAAGAAAGCACGAAAGATCAGCCTGAATCTGCAGCACCCGAATTCAATGGCCTCTTGCCGCGCCGGGCGGACCCCACTGCTTTTCCGGACGCCCCTCACTCAGTAGAAACAGCCACAGGGGCACCGATCGTGGGCGGGGAGCCACAGCCCAAGGACGCAGCAGCAGCAGATGATAAAAAGGCCAGTGCGCCGGATTTCGAGGCGGCCTTTGCCGGCCTCAATCTCGCGCCTGCCAAGGAGAGCGATGATGACGATGACGACGAGTACGAGACACCGGGCCAGAAAAACAATGCTGATTTCGACTTCTCGTTCGATACCCCATCCCAGCAGAAGCCCACTTCTCCAGGCGCTGGTGCCGGTCCTGCAAACCCTGCTTCCTCCGACTTCTTCAATTTCGATCCCCAGGCTACCTCGTCCCCTGGTGGCGCCGCTCCTTCGACCAGCCCCAATGGCGGGACCAACGCACAATCCCACGACTGGGAAGCACTCTTTGCACCCCTGGACAATGTTTCGACCCCCGAGGCTGGCGCCAACGGCGCTAAACCCGACTCCGATGAAAGCACCAAACCCCCAGGCTGGGCTCTCCAGACCGGCACCGAGGATGACCAGTTCCTCCAACGTTTGACTGGCATGGGCTTCCCCCGCGAGGAGTCCCTGGCGGCGTTGGAGAAGTTCGATTACAATCTTGACAAGGTATGCTCCCCTCTTCGTCTCTTACGAAATACTCCGAACATGCAAATCAACTAGTTCAAACTAACACATCGAAACCCAGGCGGTTGATTACTTGACATCCAAGTCGTAATCCAAGAGTCTCAATCTATCATGATGGCCCTTTCCTATCGCTATTCTTTCCTTTACCATTGCACATAGTTTCTCTTTTTTCTTTTTTCCTCTTCTTTTTTCCTCTTCTTCTTTCTTTTCATCATTGAGCCTCGCACTCGCTTGATCCCATTTCCTTTTTTCTTATCCACCCCCCTTCTTTCATCCCTTATGTACTCATTCGATTTGAACCTTTGCATATCTATCTCTATTATTGCAATGTATATCCCCCTACCCCTGACACTACTACTCTCATCTACTTCTCTGTCATTGATTGGCAGAGTGTTTGTTCCATGTAATCTACCTCCGACTACGAAACTTGGCGATAAAGAAGGGAAGGACTCCGCCAATGGAAGTACGTGGGAAATTCATTTTCCTTGCCAGTTATTTAGTATCAGGACTAGTTTATAATGCACTACCTTAATCTATTGAGATTTGATGATCGGATGCTCTATTTTGTGTGATGATGGCGTTTGTATAAATCAAGACTTGGAATGTGACAAAACTGATAGGAATTACGACAAGAGTGTCTTAACGTCAATTATCAAACTGTGGGACAAGCTGAGGTACGTATATAATGTTAATTCATGATGAACCTTTCAAGCTAATTGACATAACATAACATCGCACGAAGCAAAGCAAAGAGACCGGATGAATACCTAGAGGTCTTCAACCCCCCAATCGGCTGGTCCAACAACTGCTTCATAGCTGCAGGGACATACAGTATGCCTTTCTTGCGCAAATATGATGTACATTAATCCCTGCGAGACCCTGATCTACTTTCCGTGCTCGTCAACGAAGATTTTTCATGTTGTGACGATATTCGTTGCATTGACGCCACTAGCGGGAATTAGCTTAGAGGGCCAAACCGTGTATATCGAGGACGCTCCTTACTAAAGTCTTCTAGCTGGCGCTGCTTGATCGTGTGAGCTCGCGGGCTTTGACCATGCATGATGCGATCGAAAGCAATGGAGCCCTGCAGCAGATAATAAAGTCCTCCCATGATGCAGAAGACGCCAAACGAGAACACCCAGATGCGCACCACCGCCACGATCGACGTCTGGCCGCCAACAAACCATCCAAAGAGGCAGAAGAAACTCGCCACCAGGTCGACCACTAGAATAGCACCGGCCAGCTGCCATGAGGGAATCGACGACCAGAACGGCCCCTCGGCCCGTGTGATGAATATAAGCCAATTCTCCGTCAGAGAAATCTCCAAGAACAAAACTTCGTCCCGTTTCCCATAATTTTGCACTATGCCTCCATCCTCGCCCTCTGAAATCATAGTGGACAGCGCAACCCATGTGCCGATAGCTAGCACAATGCCGAGAAGGACAGACATGCCCCAGAGCTTGGGAAGATTCCATTTCACCGGCGTCTTGGAATATGGTGCATTGTCGTATGCAATTGCCAGTGTTGCGATGTCGGCAAAAATTGCAATGAATACCACCAGTTGCAGATTCAAGCTCTCGTTCATGATGGCGATCCACAGTCCTAGGAAGATCTCGAGATGTAACGATAGGGCAATCCGATAAATTACGTAGGCGTGCATCCGGTGGAAAATCTGGCGCGAGATCTTCAAGGCGTCAATGATGGCCGACAATCCCGGGGCCAGAAAGACAATATCCGCCGCGGACCGCGCTGCATCCGAGGAGCCTTCGACGGCAATACCAGCGTCTGCCTTCTTGAGAGACGGGGCATCGTTAACACCATCGCCTGTCATGGCCACCAAGTAGCCACGCTGTTGGAGGATGTCTACAGCGTTGTACTTGTGCTGGGGAAAGACTTCCGCAAATCCGTCCGCAGCCTCGACGAAATCATAGACTTCCGATCCGGACATGGTGGTGCCTTTTCCACCCAGGCCCAGCCGCTCGGCATTGTATACGTTGGTACCCAGCCCGAGCTGCCGAGATGTCTCTTTAGCAATTCCCACAGCGTCTCCCGTCAGCATTTTGATGGATAATCCCAGGGTCTTGGCCTCGTGAATAGTCTTTGCCGTATCATGTCGTGGAGGATCCGAGCAAGGCATAATACCTAGTATTTCCCATTGGCCATGGCCGCGTTTGCGGGCCACCCCGAGTGAGCGGAAACCACGCAATGCAAATTCGGAGATTTTGTTCTTGTACGCTGCCTCAAGCTCGTTTGGGATGGGATGATCCTTTTCTACTGTTCTCAGCACGAAAAGAGGGGCGCCCTTGACACAAATTATTCGCTCCCCTTGAGGAGATCGTACCACTGCTGTGACCTTCTTGGAGACGGGATCGAAAGGGTGGAATGCCAGTTTCTTATACTGAGTAAGAGCAGCTTTGGCTCTGGGGTAACCAGACAGCGCGCGAATGAATGCTTTGTCAATTGCGTCCAATCCTTTCTTTTTGCGCGAGGCGGCTAAGCAGGCAGTGAGCATGAGATCTTCGGGATCGACACCAGGTACAGTATAGGGCTCGGACAGGGAGAGTTTATTCTTTGTCAATGTGCCAGTTTTGTCGGAGCAGAGAATTTCAACGCCGGCAAGAGACTCGATCGCAGAGAGTCTTTGCACAATTGCCTTCCTTTTTGCTAGGTAGGCAGCACCGACAGCCATGGTGGTGGTCACCACAGCTGGCAAACCGACAGGCACGCCAATCATTGTAATGGCCAAGGTAAACTCGAGGATAGTAATGATGCTGTTGGATCGATAGAAAGAGGATACCCATACCACGAGCAGGGTCAAAACCACAAGGATCAACAAAACAATCCCAATGCCATTTAGAACTTCGGTAAAGTGGCCTGTACCAGAGGAGGCCGCATGCACCAATGCAGCAGCCCGTCCAACATAAGTGGAATCGCCAATAGCCGTGACCACAAGTCGTGCTGTCCCGTGCTTCACGGCAGACGAGGCATAACAAATATCATTTTCGTGCTTGTCAACCGCCAGAGATTCGCCGGTTATTCCAGACTGGTCCACTTGAAGAGCATTGCTTGACAGCACCCTTCCGTCAGCAGCAATGATCGTTCCCTGCAACTAGTCAGCCTTGAAGTGACACAGCAGTCGATGTCCATATACCTCTTCTATCTTCAAGATATCTCCTAAAACAACATCCGAAGCATCGATCTCTGTCAGTGTACCACCACGCAAAACAACCGCTTTGAGAGCCAGTGTTTTCTTCAACTCGTCCACAATAGAACTCGCCTGAAATTCTTGAATGAAGCCAACGGATGCATTGAGCACCAGCAGAGAACAGATGACTCCCAAATCCACCCAATCCTGCAGCCCAGCCGCCAAAACCGCCGCAGCCTGTGATTAGTGTTATTCAGCAAGAAGAACAATACACGGAGCATCTAGTCAACCTACCTCCATGACAAACTGGACCGGACCCACGAAGTAGGAGAGAAACTTCAGGAACAGATTTTGCTTCTCTTCTTTCATTCGGTTCAATCCATATTTTCTACGTCGTTGTGAAACTTCGTCCTCACTCAAACCGATGTCTATGTCTACCTCGGGGAAGTCCCGGGGTATGCCAGCAGAGGAGCCTGCGTCGTTCAGAACCGGACCGTCCCCGTCGCTGTGGCCATCGAGTGATTGGAGCTCGTCAATGAGCGTGTCGATGTTCTCGTCTTCGTCGTCATTGTCTTCTTCGCTGATATCGGGTAAAGAGGTCTTCTCGTTCGTAATTGCGGCGGTTATCTCGTCTTTGATCTCTTCAATCTCCAAGTCGTCTTGTTGGATCTTTGTCCTGCGATCGCGAGACACCCTTGAGGGAGCTGTCTTGGCTCGGGATAACATAATGGTAAAACCGCAGTAAATAGGTGAGTTGAGAATTCTGGGCAGTATAAACTATAGTCAGGTTCTAAATAAATGACCGAATGACAGGAGTAACATAGTCGCAAGGAAGGCAGAAAAGTGAAATGTTATTGTGTTTGAGGCAATACAGATGGAACCCGGGGACCGGACAGGAAGGAGAGACGGGGACGAGCTCGTCACGGCAACTGCTCTAATCAGAGCGAATTGAGCGACGGGTAAATAGAATGTTCCCTAGTAAAGAGTTCCTCGGGGATTTCTTTACTGATCGGCTTTTGGTAGAAGTAGAAGTCAAGTACCTAGGGCAGCCATTCTCACCTGACATTGGTGCCTCAGGCAGTATTCCTCTAATTTCCACCTTCGGCTTTCTTCGGCCCTCTTCTTTTCCCGCGCTTCTCTCATCATTCCTGTCTCCATCCTCGCCAATCAGCCACAATTGGGTCCCATGGATCAAGAGCAGCCTCAACGGCGAGGCCGGCAAAGAAGACCACGAGTTCCCGACTCATTGCGCAAGAGAGCTGCGCGAGCGTACGTCCTTGGTGTGAACTCTCCTCTAGATCCGCTTCCGCTGACTACGTCATTGGGGGTTTCTTCACAGATGTCTTCCATGTCGACAACATAAAGAGAAATGTATGGTTTTTTAGGCTGCGAAGAATGATCTGACATGGTTCTAACGTAGACCTAGGCCAAGGTGGCTTGCCTTGTGCACGCTGTCAGCAGTATAAGAGAACATGTCGGTTCGAAAGCACTCGGCCGCCCACATCTCAGTCATCGGAAAGGGCCTCCCTGCCAAGGTAACCATTGGTCTTCGCAAAAGCACATCATGAGGAATTCTATTTTGTTTTCGGAGCTTACGTGCGCTAGCGAGACCGAAACATCAAATCGAGAGCAACAGATGCAGCGAATCATCCGGCATTTTATGGGCGACGTGTCATTCACTAGTAGGAATCTACAAGAAATTGCAGATATGCTAGAGAAAGACCGTGACGACTCTAGATCACAAGATGCAACTGTTTCAGATGAACAGGCTATGTCGGAAAGCTATTCAATCGAGCCGCTATCCATGAGCATGATGCGTATGCGCACCTTTGTGTGAATTGCATTTTAGCTGTGACTGATAATTCTACAAGATTACTCTGGCGAACTATCCCACTGGAACTTCTCTAAAGCGATTCGTCGCAGATTACAAAACCTCAGTCATGGACGTGAGCAGCCGGATGCATGTTCCCCATACTCCGATTTCCCAGTAACCATCTGCTGACAGCGGCGCAGGACTCGGAGACTACCAATGCTTTCTATCGGGCCACCAGTCTGCAATCATCCAATTCATTTGTCACTTCATCTAGGATATACTTTCCCCCTAGGGATGTGGCTGAATTCCTGACGGACACATTTCTGCAGTTCGCGCAGACCAATTATTTCTATTTCGACGAGACCACTTTTCGCCAGAAGATGGATTTTTATTATACTACCGACAGACCTTTCAAGATCGAAGACACGGGTTGGATCTGCACGCTTCTCATGGCCTTTGCCATTGGAACCCAATTTGCCTACATGCAGACGATGCCAACACAGAACAAGCCTCCTCCAGAGGAGATGCCAGACGATCATATTGGCCTAGAGCTTTACCGGTTCTCGTGCCGGTTGATTCCAGATCTTATCACCATCGCCTCGGTGGAAAGTGTCCAGGCCTTTTTACTTTTAGGTGTCTACACCCTTCCCATTGATACGTCAGGTTTGGCGTATACATACTACGGACTTGCGATCAAAATGGCCGTTCAAAATGGCATGCACCGCAAATATTCCGGAGTCTCACTGGATCCCCTATCCATCGAGTTGCGCAACCGCCTATGGTGGACTGCATATTCGTCAGAAAGGTACAAAATATTCCGAATAATGTTCGATTGATGCCCGGACTTACGCTGACTATTCCTACAAATAGCCGGATCAGTATACTACATGGACGACCGGTATCTGTCTCTAGAGCCGACACTGATACTGATATACCTACCGAGGTCACAGGTCTACCACCGTTTAACGGGATATCCAACTTACCGAACATCATCGCCAATATCTATTTGACCAATCAACTAGGGCGACTAGCGCGGGTCATTCTACGCCTGCGGAGATGTCCACGAACTAGACAAACGCAACATCTCCAGGAATTACGGTCCGTCCGCACTGAGCTTTGTGACTGGTGGGCCTCGTTGCCTAAGGAGATTCACTGTCGGGATCTTAACCCCAAGGGGCCTCTGTTTCGCTGCAATGTGCATCTTGAGCTCACCTATACTACTGCGACCATATACATTGGCCGACCATTTCTCTTTTTGCAGCCAGAACCGTCCACTCGGGTGCCTACCAGTGACATTCGTACTGAAACGGCGAGACTTCTATCGGATGATTGCATACAAGCCTGTCTTCGAATAGTCGACCTTTGTCAGCTCTTGCAAGATTCTGTGGGTTTATCTCGTGTCTCATACACAGAATTTAGCTCTTGTCGAGTAGCATTGTTGGCTCTCATTGCGCAACGGCTTATCGATATTAATGATTCTTCGGAAAGGCTCTGTAGTGCCATAACCCGAGGCATGACACTTATTAGACAAATATGTGCGGGGATCGAGTCGGCTCGCTCGGAAGTGGCTGTAATTGAGGCACTTGAGCGTGCTCGACTGCAACTCGACCGTCGGGGCAAGACAGAGCACGATACTATGGCTTCAGACTCTGGTTATGATCAGTTTCAACAATGGGCCCAACTCTGGCGTGGGGAGCCTTTGACCTCCATCTACCTTCCTGGACTTGAGCCGGAAAACGTTGATATCCCTTGGGCTTTGGACGATGAAATGCCCTCATTTGATGGGTTTCTTTCTTCTTTTCCTCAAGAACTGAATGCGTTTGCATCTATTCCTGTTTCCGATGAATTTGACTTGCCATCAGAGTGGCCGTGATGAACTAGGCCCAGAAAACCAACTAAGGCTCAAACCCTTTAAGCCTTATATCTCCTAGCTGTGTAGTTTACACTACTTCGCTGGTTGACAAGCTGTTGGGTTAACAAGAACCCGCTAAGACTCTTTCGCCGAAACCTGATCGTTCGCGTCCCCCTGGTATGAGACAAGGTATAAGATTTGAGTGGCTACTTGGAGTTGAAGAGTTTATCTATATTCCAAACAGGCCCTCAGGACAATAGTGTCTGCGGTCAATGTGTCTTCTACAATGTAAACAGCAGGCAGTCTTCATTGAACGGAAGGATGGGATGCGACCTTTGGAAGTCGAACAACTCCTAATCATGGACAAAATACTTCTCATATTCAAATGCGTCATTTCATCCGGGAAGAAACAATTCTACCTAGGAATGCTCCATGACCAACATCGTGGTGTCTAGCAAATAACCCGGGAGGATCTCCGGCAGCTCGGGTACATGTACCCGAGTGGACTCCTGCGGGGAGGGATATAAACCCCGCAAAACTGCGCTGACAAGCCCAGCGAGACTCTTACCATTCACCAATTTAACAATTTATTTTACCTCATCAACTCCCAATATCCAAAATGTCACTGCTTTCTGACTACCGTCTGCTCTGTTTCGATGTCTACGGTACTCTCATCGACTGGGAAAGCGGAGTACTGGCCGCGTTCGAGCCCACTCTCAAGAAGAATAACGCCGATTTCTCGCGCGAGCATCTCCTCAAAACCTACTCTGAGCTCGAGAAGGCGCAGCAGACCCTGACTCCGGATCTTCCCTACTACCAACTCCTAGCCGCCGTGCATCCCCAGCTGACCGAGCGGCTGGGTCTGAGTACGCCCAGCGAGGAAGAAAGTCGCCTATTCGGCGAGTCTGTCGGGCACTGGCCTGCCTTTCCAGATACAGTCGACGCTCTGAAGCGGTTGGCAAAGCACTATAAGCTAGTGGTGCTCTCTAACGTCGACCGGGGGTCCTTTGGGAAGACGAACGCCGGCAGTCTGCAGGGCTTCCCTTTCGACCTTGTCATCACTGCGCAGGATGTTGGCTCATATAAGCCAGATCTTCGCAATTTCCATCATATGTTACAAGCTGTTAAAACGCAGTTCAATGTGGAGCCGGAAAAGGTACTGCAGACGGCGCAGAGCCAGTTCCATGACCATCACCCGGCCCGAAAGGTGGGCATTAAATCGGTTTGGATTGAGCGACCAGGTGCCGTGATGGGTAATCTGCCGGAGACGCTCTATGATTGGCGGTTTGATACCTTGGGGGACTTGACTGATGCTGTGGAGAAGGCTTAGGGGATAGGAATGTCAAGGGACTTGGTTGACGGGGTGTTATTTTATGTTTCTGCTACTGTTGCTCTTCTAAAGAGCCTATATGTTAAACCATAGAGTGCCTGGAGACTGCAATCAACTCGAATTTCATATCCCTATCTACCCAGTAGATACTAGTAGATCGCCGTCTTAGGGCTTCCGGGTACATGTACCCGGCTCTACAAAAAGCCTCCGAAATTTGCTTTTCCGCTTCACAATAAAAACGTGTCGTTTAGTATCCATCTTTTGCCTCCGGAGTCGACTTGTCGCTCGAAAAACGAATTCCCAGTTAATTAATCTCCTGCTTCACTCAAGTAGCGGGCGAATCTGCACGGAGCTCACGATCAACAATCTGGCGTTCGCACGATCCTTGAACAGCCTGAAGGGTCCACTTCAACCACCTACCACTAGCCAGAGCCAGACGACACTCCATCCATTCCTACCGACAGAACAAATTGCAATCCAACATGGCTCGATTACTCCGATTTGCCGATGTTGGTCTCTTATCTCTCCCGATTTGCTCTTTTTGGGGGGGTTGTTAACGTTGACTTCCGATACAGGTTGCTGTGACTTTCACCGCAGACCAATTCCAGGGCATCTACCGCGGCAAGCAGTACCATGAGTCTGACTTTCACGAGGTCCTGAAACGCGCGCAAGACTATGGCTGTGAAAAGATCATGCTTACTACCATGACTCTCGCGGGAGCGCACCAGAACCTTAAAGTAGTAAGGGAGTTTCCGAACATGTGCACGTTAACGTTAGGCGTGCATCCATATCACGCGGGGGAGCTTTACATCAACGACGACGCCAAAGATGGAGAAGGAAGAGGAAAAGATGCGTTGCAGGAGCTCGAAGATCTCGCCCGGACACTTCTGGCCGAGAGACCGTCGCCCCTCGTCGCGTTCGGGGAAATCGGGCTCGACTATGAGTATCTGGACCGTGCGGATAAAGAGTCGCAGAAACGGGCTTTTCGCGATCAGCTCGAGGTAGCGACGAAGTTGGATTTGCCGCTATTTCTGCATGTACGTGAATCGTGTGCCGATTTTGTGGATATCATACGGCCGTATCTATCGAGATTTCCGCGCGGAGGACTGGTTCATTCGTTTACTGGCTCGAGGGAGGAAATGCATCAGTTGGTGGATCTGGGATTGGATGTTAGTGTGAACGGGGTTTGTTTTCGGACGGAGGAGCAATTGGATATGGTGCGCCATATTCCGTTGGAACGCTTGCATTTGGAAACCGATGCCCCCTGGTGCGAGGTGCTCGCCAACGATCCGAAAATCGCCCCGTATCTGGCAGATGCGAGACCGTTGCCGGCATCTCGGAAACATAACAAGTTCGTGGTCGGTCAGATGGTCAAGACGCGCAATGAGAGCTGCACGATTGAACGAGTGGCTCTGGTTGTGGCTGGGTTGAAGGGCATTCCGGTGGAAGATGTGGCCCGGGCAGCATGGGATAACAGCGTCCGCATGTTTGGACTGGGCGTTCGTGAAGGTTAGGGCTACCATGGGAGATAGAGACGCTGGAAACAGAGTACTTCATGTTGAATATAGAAATGGGCTTAGATGTCATTGTTTAGCTTGCCCTTGGGGGATTTTATATAGATCCAATGTCTTGGAAGGGAGGTTGAGAGGAGATAGAGTAGAGCAGAAAAAGCGAATTTGGGGAATAAGGGGAAAAAAGCGATCTTTGCCCAAGGCAAGAGGCTATGCAAAACAACCAAGCAAAGGATGATGCTGGTAGTTGAGTCCCAATGTTGCTATCCAACTCGAAGTTCGGGGGGTCAAATTTTTATGGAGCATACACAGTGTAGATCCCTTGCATCTCACAACCTCCCCTCAAGTCTGACTTCGAGAAAATAGAAAAATGCATTGGCTGACGTCAGAAAGGAGGAAGAACAGATGAAAACATGAAGAGCCAAGGTTTCTGGAACTTGACTTAATCGATTTATGCCAGGTTAATGGAATCATTCCTCCATCTGGATGACAACTGTCAAGTAGGCCCTTGCAGATAAAAAGCGTATTTCTGGGGAAATGTTATCTGATGCAGGATTGTATATGCAAACAGCCTAAACTATGCATGTTCATGCTTTTACACCTTATGACACAACATGATAATTGCCTGTCTGGTACGTTCTATATCAAATAACCGCTGACATCTATGCGAGCAACTGGACATGGAACGGGTGATCTCATGCCACAGAAACCAAAGGCAAATGATATCAAAGTGTGCTCTCTGTGAAGCCTATAATGCATATGCTTAATGGATATTGTCATATGATGTATCGTCCGCAAGTCGCTTACGTACCCAGCTTTGTCAAACTATTCCCTGCTCCTGATAGATATATAAGGTCCCAGGTCCCAGGCCCCAGGTTCACAAACAATCAGGGCCAACCAGCCAAAATGGAACAGATCATAGAGCCCCTATGCAACCGGCCTATGGCCAATCCTCAAGAATTACTCGTCGAGAGTCTCAAAGGGCAATCCAACCTCCAGCAGCTGGAAATCCTTACGGAGATATTCACTGCGGGGGCTGTCACCGACGAGCGCTTTGCAGAGACGGTATACACTGCCTGGGAGTATTTATTGCAGAACGACTTGTGGTCCTTCAAGTATGAATCCCTTGAGCAATATCGACAACTGATCAGCTATCGGGATATCATCAAGCCCATATTGCAGAGATTTAAGCGGTCAGACCGGTCAAAGCTAGTCAACATGCAGATTATCCAGGAAAACTGGAGCCTTCAAATACACCAGGTGGTTCCCCCTTCCATGGCTCCTGCTTCATGGAGCAAACATCTGCTAGACCTGTTGGCAATCCTAAGTCGGACTATCAAGTGCAAGGAGCAGGCCCTGGATCTTTTGAAGAAGGGTATTAGGGAAAGACCGCGCAGATCTCGCCTGGGAAGCACCCTGTTGGCCAGCGATGTTGAACGTGTGCTTAGAGATTTACCTTTGGTAAATCGAGCTCGTAAATCTTATTCTTCTGGTACGTACGCAGGTCTGAATCCTTCTTATGGAGATCCTCAATTAATCGATTGTCGTTTCTTTTTTGCCTTCCCCACAGCTCTGCGAGATCGAACAAGCTCTTACCCACGCTCAAGCTGGAATAACCGAAGCGCGCAGACACCCCGCTCATATTCTAACGATGAATGTGAAACCATGTCCTCGATCGCCGACTCGGACTGCGCGTGTGCCCCGATTTGCCTCCCTCTGCGCCTTGTCGTGCGTCCTCACTTTAGCTCTTTACGCGATGACCTGGTGATTAGACTCTTCAAGTGGGCCGAGTCAATCGGATGGTCCAGCATTTGCGACCTTCATTTAAGAGGGCTGGTGTCTCTCCGGGCTGGGTCGGAGCCGGAGCGGTGGACGCGAAATGGGATGATCGCGCATCTCGAGGGTATCTTACTAGAACCCGGCGTGACCGAGCCTGCGATGGCACTCGGGTACCCCAGCAATCTTCCCGGTGACTTTCTTGAAACCGCAGACCCTCAGTTGCTTCTCCACTCGGGTTCAGTGCCCGCATGGCCAGAGTTTCTTGGCTAATGGTGCTAGAAGTGCATACTCCGTACTCGGGTTCCAATTTATATATATAATCAGATCCATTCCAACAGATTGTTAAAGGAAGAAGACTTACTTTCAGGATGAAGAGTAGATAGATGAGTGAGATGTATTCTGGACTGCATCCGATGTGTAAATAAATCCTGAAAGTCCTTCCCAAACGGGACGAAGCGAGCACGGGAGCTGCTGACATAAGCGGACTGAGGACGTCATTGCCGCCAGAAGGACTTTTCAATATCGCACATCCCCGGACGATTGCTTTGTTGCTGCTTCCTCCTCCTTGGTTCATCGTCCATTGGTCACAAAGTGTCCGACACGCTCTCATTTCATCAATACAAACTCCCCACAAACCCGTCATGTCACCCTAAAAAAGGGTCGCGGATCCCTGACCCCCCACAGACTATGAAGTTAGTCGCAGCCCATTTACGAGAGCTTCAGCGTCACATGATTATGCCGTACAGTTGACCGATAACGAGGAACTCCTCTAACGTGTATAGCTGAAAAACATATCCCCTGGCCATATATCTTCTTGTACGTAGTACACACATACTGTATCCTCCTTTGTATAGGAATCATGAATCGAGAGATCCCGGGCTTCTACTACGGTCAGTCCTTCCGCCGAAATTTGGCCTTGTGTGGATTTGCTGACCATTCGCCAGACCCGGAGAAAAAGAAGTACTTTAAAATCCAGGCGAGTCACAAAGCTGCGCCTGGATCTCAGTATTCCAAGGATGCTGTAAAGCGGAAACGCGTAGATCAGGAGGTCGTTCCCCAGAAACTACGTCCTGGAATCTAGAAGCGCTCAAACACTAACCCGAATGCTGTGCGCAGAGAAATCAGAGGAAAGTCCACCTGTCCAAGAGACTCACTAAGGAAAAGATAAAGAAAGCTGCTTTCTTGGAGAACCCTCTCCTGGGAATCGGAAGGGAGATCGAAGGTCGGCCTGTCTCGAAGAGCGTCCGCCAGGAGCAGCGGGGACTGCTCTATGCAAACCAGTTTCGTCGGAATCAGTTGCATCAATTTGAACCCTGGCCGGATGACTATTCCATCAAGCATGTCCTGCGCAACAAGCGCTCTGGAATCTTGGTTGCCAGTGCGTTCCCTACCACCTCGCCTGTATTCTATGGTCTTGTGTGCCACTACTGATTGCACTCCAAGGTGGCCATCGTGGCGGGGAATCATCGGTCTCGTAAGTCAGATGGGTTGAACTAGATTTGTTATTTGTTTTGCTGATGGGAATACTAGAATATGCTTTCCCGACTGTGACCAAGAGGATTGGACATACAACCGCACTATGGAACGAGTACTTTTCAAAGAGCCGTACAGAGTGCGTCCTCATCCTGGCTTTCCATGAATCGTCTGATCTCATAGATCTCATATGAGCTGACCTGGTCCTTTATAGCTTTCGTCGATATCCTTAAGCCATACGGGATACCTCCTGTAAGGCCTTTTCTCTTCGAGCATGCCATTTCATTCCCTCTAACCATTGTCTAGAGCAACCATGGATAGCGGACCGAATGGCGACTCATTCCTTGCCCCTCGAATGCTGCCTGACCCTGACGAAGGGGGAGATTATCGATGGCCCCTGTCATGTATGTGTCTTAATTCTCATCAAAGACGACGATGGGCCCGTGGTTGTTAACAAACCCTCAAGTTTCGCATCCCATCCGCCTCCGCACAGCAGCCTCACTATGGTGCTCCGCCGCCTGCCCAGAGGGAAGCAAGCCCGTCTTCGCTATCGGCACATCCGATGGCCTTCACACTCTCGAGGGCTTCGGGAGTTACTGGGCTCTGTCCAAGAAGCCCTTCGCGAGCGATGTGTTCACAGGGAAACCCGTCATGCACCGACGAGTGGATTCCTCCCATGCGCTCGTCAGCAGCGTCGAGTGGCTCTCTTCCGACGTCATTGCCGCGGGCCTCAAAGACTCTGCCATCTTCCTCCATGACCTTCGCAGCGGGGGAACGGCGACCCGACTCCAGCATGATCATGCCGTTGTGAAAATCAAAAAAGTTGATGAGTATCGTCTTGTCGTTGGGGGGATGACTTCAGTTAGTTTTCTTTCTTTCTCTCCTTTCCTTCATGCATCTCGTCCCCCAAAACACCGAAAACCTTTGATCATCCTTTCCTCCCTCCATACCCCCCAACCAAACCAGAAAGACAGGCACAGAATACTGATCACTTACTTCAGCTCAACATGTACGACATCCGCTTCCCACCCAACGGCCTCCAACGCAACCCAAACCCCCATAATAAACAGCACACCTCGACAAAACCCTACCTCACCTTCCCTGAATACCGACCCGACTACATCCCGGACTTTGATATCAGCTCGGAATTGGGTCTCCTCGCAAGTGGTAAGTCGAATCTAACTCTGACTCCTACACTTACCCTGCAGTCCTCACTCAACTCGAATCTTTGCCTCTTTTTTCGCTTTCTTCTTCTCTCTCTCTTTTTTTTTTTTTTTTTTTCTTCGACGCGCTACGGACAGGTATTGTTTACTCTGACTGACTCCGATTGCCATTGGCAGCTTCCGATGAGCGTAAAATTCAGTTATTTTCAATTCGCACGGGCGCTCAGGTTCTTTCGCCGTTATCGAAATATCAATATCAGCATCCGATCAGTTCTGTTTGCTTTGAACCGGGCGATGGATCGGTTCATGGGCCTCAGACGCCGAGTATTTTGGTTTGTTCGAAGGCTACGGTGGATCAGTGGACATGGTGATTTCCGATCGGTCAGTCTGCTTGTTTCTGTAGGGACACACATCTACTAGTTTGAATGTATATCCTCTGCAAAGGCAAAAAGAAAAAGAGAAGAAGAAATAAGCTAGCCAGTCTTGGATGACTCAAATTCAAATCATTGCTCAAATTGATATCTTCATTACAAGGTCTTTAGAATTACAAGATAAGATAATATATGATATGATATATCTCAGGATGCCGATGCTTTTCCGATCCCACTCAATCCAATCCACCCGCTAACCACTCGCCGACCTCGACTCCAATGCTCTTGGCCACCTCGCCGATCCAGTCCCCGGAGACATTGACGCACCATTTCTCTCCGGCGTCGGCCGTCGTGTTCCCGCTGCTGGCTCCGCCCGATCCTAAACCCATGCGACCACCGCTGTCACGACCGGAGGCGGGCACGACGAGTCGTAATCGACGGAGCGTGGCAAGCTCGGAGTATATGGCATCGGCGACGGCGGCCATCCGGATGGGATTCGCGGGCGGGTTCGGGTTGATCGCATGATAAATCGCGATGAGTCGTTCTAGGGGGAAAGGGCGTGCCGTGAGGATGGTGGACGGGCCCGTGATACCGGCAGCTCCGCCGGCGGCAGAGGTGGTTGCGGATGTGGTGGCGAAGGCGTTTTCAAGGGTGGACTTAGTGATGCGGGTCTTTGTTCGTTTGCCCTTCTTGCTAGGCGTGGCTGGGCCTTGGCTGGCTTCTCGAGCGTCTTCGGCCTGGGCCTGAGACAGGACCTTTAGACGTCTTCGGTGGTGAGCACGCTTGTTGCGCGCCGAGAGCGAGGAGGAGGAGAATTTGGAAAAAAAGATGGTGTCGAGTCGTTGGGGAATGTGGGAGGCCAGGTAGGCGGAGGTCAGGATCAAGGTTGCGAAGTATGGCAAGGTCGGAAGGGGAGAAGGGGCGGATACGGCCGCTAGAGACGGTTTCGCAACCGATCCGTTGAGAGACGGCGCTGATTCTTCTGTGACGATGTGGTGGACAAGAGCGGCCTCGCCTTGGTGTCGGAACAAAGCTCGATTGCGGACTAGAAGCCGGGAGAAATCCCACTCGGCGCCGGATCCAGGCGGCGCTTCACCATTGCTGATGGGGGATACGAATTGCGGCCAGAGCTTGTCACATATCGACCGGAAATTGGGGATCGAGCCTGCCGTCGGTCCAACCAGAGAATCGTAGATGGTGGACACAAAGTGTGGATATAACCTCGAGGCTATTTCGTCGGAGAGATTGGCGGCCGTTGGTGGTCCTAAATTAAGAATAATCGTAATCGCTTCCTTGCGCGTATACGGCGGGAAGCTGATGTGCGGAACACCGGCAGCCTGTAGAAACAAGGGTCGTGGAGTAGTGCTGAGGAGTAGAACAACGCAGAGAGACGGAATCTGTCCGGTCAGCCATTCGGATCAAACAGATCCTGCAGAAGCAGGCGCTCGAAAAATACTCACAATTTCTCCGAGTCTTGCCAGCGCTGCGAGCAGCGTCGGAGGTGCCTCGCGTTGCTTGTCAATCCCATCCAGGACCAACACGAATTTCTCTGCGCCGCTGCTCGTCGATCTTGACGCCAAACATTGGCCTAGAAGCACGACAAGGCTGCTCACATGTTCACATCGCCCCTTTCCATATTTCTCCCACTCACTTTGTTGACCAAGCGCCTCCAATGCGCCCCAAAGAATCTTTGTCAATAGATGGCGACCGGTGATACACTCGGTGCTTCGAACGATGGCGTGAGGGGTTTCGAGGGAGGATAAAACGCCGCGGACAACGGAGGACTTGCATGTCGCAGAGATGCCATGGACAACAACGGTTGGCGGATTAGGGGCATTGGGCTAAATGTGAGGCGAAAAATGAGTAGGTTCATCCTGGGATTATAAGCCCTTGAGAGAGCGGGAGGGATGGTGGCGCATAATAGAAACATACAGCGAGAAGAGTGACGAGTTGCTTTATTTGAAGCTCCCGGCAGGGCCATTGCTGGCTCAAAGACCAAGATAATTCGATCGGAAGCATCAGTCACGGCGAAAGCGCGGTAAATGAAGGGACCGGTCGATGCAGAGGGAAGGCTTGACTTGGAGACTATTCGGAGCTGATCTTATCGCCGGAACAACGCGAGCTTCACATGCGAAATCACGTGGTGTTCCAGACCGCCTTCCGTGTTCTTCTCTGTACTCCGTACTCTACTGAGTATGGCTATCGTTGAAGGTCTAGATTAGAACAAGCTGCTGGATAGAGCACTTTGATTGATAAACGTATGAGTACATCTATTCTACCGAATGCTGTGGGGACAGGTTCCAAGCACCATGGTTCTCAGTCGCCAAATGGCTGAGAATGCCAGCGCTACCCACCGAACGGGTACCAGTTTCCAAAGAATTAAGCAAGGCATTGAACAGTACAAACGAAACCAGAAAAAGAAAATTCCATAAAAACACAGTTTCGTTTCAATTGTCCGAAGAGTCTGAGTGAGGAAGATGACAAAGAAAACTATGGGAACATGGGCTCCACCATTGTCACCTTTGGCAAAAGCCAGGATGATTCGGGGGGCTGAAGAGCAATTGACAGGGGGACTTAATGAACGAAGATTGGGGATAAACACAGAAATCAAGAAGACATAGAATGAGAAGAAGAAAGGGGGTAAGATAGCGTGCAAAAAATTCAAAAATTCAAAAAAACATGGCAGACATGATCATTCAAAAGCGTTGCAAGAATACAAGACGTAAGGCATTCAGATCCCTGTATCATGAACTACATGGTTATAGCTCTTATGAATCCTCCAAAATGCAAACCAATTTGCATAAAAGATAAGAGATCTTGACATGGTAATGTGTTACGTTGGCCGTGAGTCATGAAGATCGTAGCGTCATCTCGAATATGAGTACAAATCAGTGCCCAACAACCCGCATTGTTGACGCGAATAAAAACGCTCAAAAGTATGCATACAGCGGGCCCTGCGCACCAAGGCCGCCGTTAGTTTGCTGAACAGGAGGTGGGAACATAGCTGAAGAATTTTCGCTTGGTCCACCGGACGGGGTGTTCGAAGCGGAACCAGTTCCGGAAGCAGGAACAAAGTTCTGAGCCCCAAACTGGGAGCCCATAGGGAAGGGGTTTTGTTGATACAAGAATGGCTTCTGCAAAGGTCCTGGGAGCTGCGCTGAATTCATTTCGTTGGGGGTAGCCTGTCCACTGGTCGACGCACTTCCTCTCCCGGAACCCTCAGAAGCCATCATTTTACCGGCAATACGGCGGCCATGAGGAGTCTGGCGAATTGACGGAAGAATGGGGCGAACAGATTCCACGATCCGAGTTCGAGTATCGACGTCCGCGAAATCCATGGCTGTCTGTACGACATAGTTTGCGAAGGAATCACGCAACATCTTCTCAAGCTCAGCGCCAGACAACATCTCATCGATCATCTGGCGGCGGATTGGGAGCTCCGCAGTTCGAAGACATTTTTCAATCACATTGGAGCTGAACTTCTGCTTGGACAGAGCTGGAATGTTTCCTCGGAAAGTTTGGCAGAGTGGCTCGGTGAAGTGAGGCTCAGCCAGGTCAAGAATGTATTGTACCACATAATTTCCGAAGGGATCCTGGACGAGTGCAAATGCGTTGGAAGTGATCTGGGCAATGAGCCTAGCCCGCTGCTCGCCCGAAGCATGATCAATACAGCGCTGAAGGACGCAGCACCCATGACGGTGAGTTCCAACGACGACACAGTTGCCACCAACGGCGTCATAGATGAATTGGGCATCCTCGGCGGAAAGACGGTTCAGGCACTTCTGGATAACGTGATTGCCATTCAGGTCCTGGACCAAATCGACGACGTGATCTCGCAAAGCGTGGATTACTGTCTGTGTTTGTTCGGACGTAGAGATGAACTCGATCATTTTCTGCAGAGCCCTGGTGCCGTGCTGGTTCAGGGCGATTTTGACGAGCTGATGGGCTGCATTGTTGATCAACGCCGTGCGCTGTTCGTCGTTGGAGTATTCAAGCAATTTTTGGCATAGATAGTTACCGAACGGGTCAGTCATCAGCTCCACGACGTGCAAATGGGTCTCTTCGAAGATCATCTGTACATGCTCCGGGTTGCGCTCCTCCAGCTTCCGTTGCAAGTATCGGCAACCATGTTGATCTTTGCACAGTCCATACAACTCTCCCCGGTAGTGCTCAAGGGGGAAGTTGGTGAAGCGTGAAAGCTGGGCAGAGTCACTTTCGGTGGCTCGGCGAGACGAAGCTCCCTTTGGTGGATTCTCGGCGAGCCGAAAGTTTCCATAGGGGGGGTATCCGCCGTAGGACGCATTGGGACTATAGTTCTGCATTTGCCCATTGACAGGAACCGGGGCTCCCATATAGGTCTGAAGACCATAGCCGTAGAAAGGTGGCTGGAAACCAGTCGCCGGAGCAGGGGTGGTGGGACTCGTTCCGGGGGCTGTGGCTGCAACCTGAGGCCCAAAAGGAGCCGCGTTCGCTTGAAGGGCGGTTGTCTGGGCTCGAGCACCGTTTAGCTTCGCGTCGTCCCGCTCCGGGGAGTCTCGCTGCTGGCGAGGGGTGGTAGCAGCAGATGGAATTCGTCCCAGACTGGCGTTGTGCTGATGGATCTGCTCAGCGTGTGTTTTGGGAGGCGTGATAGCCGGGTTAAAACCATCTCCCTTGACGGTGGGCAGGTCGTTCGTCGAGTAAGAAGACTGGAGGGAGTTAGGACGACCCGAAGAAGCATTTGACGCCATGTTTTCATGACCTCCCTCCGAGTTGTAGAGAAGGTTGGCTTCCAGCGAGTGCCGGGCAGCATGTTTCGCCGAATTTGATGTGTTAGCGTTGGAATCGTTGGAGTTTCCAATCTGGTCGAGTCGAAACATGTTGAGCGCGTTTTGAGGCATGCTTTGGTGAGAAGTGCGATGGCGGCTATGGTTCCAATTCTCCGGATTAGGAGTCTTGGAGTTTGCAAGATCCAACGCGTCCGAGTTTGCAGACAACTAAATGGACTGTCAGCAGCAAGAATAAAACCAGAGTCAGCAAAGAGCAGTCTTACCAAGCCCGAGTCATCTCTGCGAGACAGAGTTGGGAATTTGTCGTCAGGGTCGGTAAGTTTCAGATAGCTCTTGATGTCAGGGGTTGGGATCCGATCCTCTTCTTTGAGAGTGGCTCTGTCGTCGTCATTAAAGAGAAACTTGGCCGCGTTGAAGGACTCGAGCCCTGAGTTATTGGAGAAGTTCGAGGAATTTGGGCGAATCTGCGACCCCAAGCCCGCTGAAGGCATTGAGTAGCGGTGAATCCTACTAGACATGGTTAATATTGTTGACGAAAGGTATGTCGGTGTGAGATGTGGTAGAAGAAAGACGGCAGGAAAGTCACAAAGCGAAAAGACAGCTGAGACAAGGTGAAGCACAATAAGAACAGGCGGAGTGAGTCACTCGGGGCAATCAATGAATGGCAAGTGATCAATGTCTGTCCTAGGCAAGAGGGGAGGATGTTTTCCAACACAGTTCAAAGGCACAGAAAACCAAGTGCCGGTAGAATAGCAGACATGTAGGAGTTGGGGAGATGAGGGGAAGAAGAGGAAGGTGGGAAGTGAAATGGTGGAGAGGGGTGAATAGGGAAGACGAGAAAAAGGTAAGGTCAAGCAAGTGAGAGAAGGAGCCGACAGTGAATTTATCTGGTGAACTTACGAAGGACCTGGACGGAAAGGTGAAGCAGGCTCCTGACCAAAGTCTTCCATCTCAGAATTTCTGCGAGACCCTGGGACAGAGTGAACCGAGAAACGGTTGGTTGAGGTATGAGAAGCGGTATTGTCTGCCTGGCCTGGGGGGCTAGTCACTTGCGAGGGAGCAAAGACATTGAAGAATCCAGGAGATGAAGTAACGCTGGACGTGGAAAAGCGAGTCGGGCGAGTGAAGCCACCAGGAAAGCCATTTTCACGAGTATCTGGAGGAGTCGTGGGCTCGCTTGAAGGACCAGATATGCCAGCCTTGGCCAGACGTTGTGCAAGCTGATCCATTTCAAGTTTTTCCTTCTCGTGTTGCAGGTCAAGAAGCTTCATATCTTCTTCAAACCTCCTCTTTTGCTCTCGCATGTACTCGATGTGCTGACGTTTTTTTTCGAACTAGGTGGGAAGTCAGTTGGGGTTGGGTGGATTGAATCAAGAAACAAAACGGGGACGACCAGACTATCGGGGGAGGGAGTTCGATCGGTTTGAGGATGGAAGTCAAAGGGGAAAGGACACATGGATCGGAGGCCTGCCCGGGAATTGGAGGGTGAAGTTACAAGGAGGGAGGGTGTTTTTCAAAGAACACGCGGCGGACAAACTGCCCAAACCCCCAAGCCAGCGGTATGTGAATGTTTCCAACAAGCATTATAACGTTTAATTCGGGACTTACCGATGACAATAGGTCTAACGGATCCGGGGCCTGGGGCGCTCCTCCGAGATGATTCAGGTAGCTCCATGACGAAAGTTTGCTAGAGTCCGTCGTGAATCGACGCTGGAGGTTGGCACGAACGTCACCCGACGGACGCGAAAAGGCGGACACGAAGTTGGAATGGCCCGGAGACAGCGACGTATAACCAGGGAACGGGGATTCGGACGGCGGCGAGCGCGGAGAAGGGAATCGCAGCTCATCGAGGCGTTCACTAAGTCCGTTCTTGAAGGCCATGGTGGACTAGTTGGCTGGGACGAAAGTCGTTGGACTAATAACCATTTAGGGGCCGAAACGAGTCAGAAAACTAGGCATGATAAGATCAGATGGGAAACGGCGCGGGCACAACAAGGGGAGAAAGTATTTGAATATGAGAGAGCAACTGCAGGTAGCTCGGGTGGCTGAAAAAAAGAGGCACAGGAACCAAGGGGACAGGGAGAGTGTTGGCGGTTGGCGGTGTATTCCTTCGATAACGAGCAACGTAAGGGAGTCGGGAGGGGCTGAGGGGCGGGTTTTGGCGGCGAAGATCTCGTGGAAAGGAGCTCGACTCACACACAATGAACGCCTCGTGAGTTTATTTTTTTAGAGATGCTAATGGACGTGGCCGACAACGGGCGATTCTCGCGGACCAAGCAAGGACAGTTCGACGGTGGATTTGGGCGCGGATTGCACACCCAGAAGCGCGCTGCTGGCGATGCGGAGATCGGGATCAGTGATGTTGACGGGAGCAAGCAGACCAGGGCTGCGGCGCGGTACCTACCAACTCAAAACCCTAAGCTCTCCGATCGAGAGCAGGGGGTGTTGGGGGGCAAGAAAATGAACACTGATGCAAAAGTCGACAATAACGAGTGATGCGCAAGGAGACGCAATAAAGATAATAACAAATAACAACGGGGAAGAAAGGATAATTGTTGTACAGATAAATGGGGAGAACACCGAAGAACAGAAGGAAGCGAGAGAGAAGGAGAGGAAGAGAGCGAGCGAAAGAGTGGGAGGCGAGAGGGGAAGAAAGGCGAGGCGGCGGCTGGGAAAGAACGCCAGAGCGGGGGGGGATCGTATGTACGCGTTCCGTACCGGTATACTTACAGTCGTACACGGGTCTCTGAGTCCATCATTTTGATCGTCTCGGGCTTGGGCCCGAGCTCCTTCATTTGGATTGGATTTTTATTCTTTTGACCGATTTCTCTGTTCTTTTTATTAATTTATTTCATGTTATTTTATTTTATTCTATTATAAAAAAAATCTCCTTTTTCGTTCCATGCTGGCTAAATTAAACGATCTTCCTGGACTTCCCGGGAAGAGTGTGTGAGCTGGTAGGTAGCTGACTTCATCCCTCCTTAATCCTAACTAGTCGTTTACAAGTCAAAGTACTGTCAATTGGGCACCGAGTCTAAAGTAGGTCCCTCCGCATCCCTTTGGTTTGTTTTTCGGTCGTCACCGAGAGACGGGCTCTTTCCTTCAGGATCTGCTACCGGGTAACTAGTAGATAGTAGATACTGCTGATAATAATGGAAATATCCAGGTAAAAGTTCGGATTAATTATCAATCCATGCATTATTTCTATCCAGCACTGTAAAGTCAATCTAGCCACCTCCCTACGTTTGTACATACATGGACACATACATACGTAGGTAGGTACTTGTACGTACTTTGATACCCACTGGCGCGGTAAGGTACCTTGCTTAGGTGCCCCGGTAGCAGGTAGTTCAGGCACTGTGCTTTAGTACTCCGTAGAGGACTTCGGTAAGTACTTAGTAGTACTAAAGTCTAAGGGCTCGTTAGTTCCTCTCGACTAGCTTCGGCTAGTCCTGGCCTTGATCTTCACGGTCGGAGGAGCATCTGCTTATTCTGTACTTCCTGGAGGAATGAGGGACCTACCTTACACTTTACAGTAATCATAGAATGGTGGTGATTGCGCTTTGGTATCAATGATTTCGCCAATCTGCCCGAGACCGAGACGAGTTGTCGCAACTAATCACGACCCTTTTCCGACGGCAAAGATCGTCCGCCTTTTTGGACGCATCACAGAGAATTCTCGCTGGACGACGGCTGATTGGGCCAAGGATTGCTTGATCCCCGTGCAAGGGCATAAAAATAACCACCTCGACTCACAATAATAATAATAATAATCTACTGCACGACTTTGTTGGGAGCGAATGGCAGCTAAACCTAAATTCGCCCGTCGAGACTCCGTACTAGCGGTAACTAAAGAAACCGCCCCTCGCACTGGTTGCAGTCTGCCCAGGATGGTAGGAAGCTTCATCATGCATCCTCATTCCTCGCTGTGAGCTCGTTGCTGGAGAATCGTTCGTCGACGATGATCTCACTGTACCGCTTGGGAAGAACGAACGGTGCAAGGGGGGGAACAACGCTGAAATACTCCCTACTTAGAGGGTGAGCTCTTCAAAATGTATCAACTTCTTTTTTTTTCCCATATTTACTGTACCATATACTACATACTAGTTGATTAACTAATACTGCGTGGGTGTGTTGGTCGGAGCGTGGGCTCTGCAAGTGTTTCTGTATCAAGTGGGGATCCTTGGAAAGATGTGATGGCGGATCAGGCCCTAGCCACCGCACGTACCTGACCATAAGAATCAATTCGAAGAAACGAGGATGTCAAGAGGCCTTGTCTGGTTATGAACAAGTCAAATTTCCGGTGCTAATAGCGGCTGCGGTCGAAGTCATATTAATATTATCATTTATTACTCCGTACTTGTTGAGACTACCTACATAGCTCGAGGGACCGTTGTATTTTTCATTTTCATTTCCTTTTTTATCAAAAATAAAATGTGACAATGAATCATAGGATCGACCCATGAATGGCGATTCGACGTGGATTTTCCACGACTGGATCTGATTACTCGTGACTCCATCTCTTTCGTGTCTCTTTACCTTACCAAATCACGTCCTCGAAGACGTTGAATAGGTTATTATTATTGATGTGGTGAGGTTAGTGGCGGTGGATGATAATTACACACCATCAGGAAAAATGATTCTTTTTTTATTATGATTGAGTGATCGAGTGTAACCAAAATCCAAACGCAAGTTCTCCAAAGCCACCTCCCGGACGGATTGCCACGCGCCTTCCAAATGGTTCGCGACGGCTTTGATCTTTGGATCGCCGCTACTATCTTCCTCCCGCTCTCTTTGTTTGATGTATTTTGGTGGTTAGGTTGGACTTTCGGGGTCGAATATCCCAGCCCGTATTGTCTTTCTGTCTCGTCTTCCCCCGTCGTCTACCTAGTTACGCTGGCGTAATTCTGGTGTGTTGACGTGCGGACCGGGATGGGATCGTTTATTTTGAATTTTCCCATTTGTCTCAATTTCCCAGGAGCGGTCGATCCGTACCAGGGTTCGCCGATGGATCCTGTACGGCGCGGTCAGCGTGGTTCCATGGATCAATCGCCTCAACATCCTGGGAGCGGATGATCTCGACCGATTGAGATTTCCCTGAATAGGGTTGATCCCCAAGAACGTTCCGACGAGGTCAATCAAGACAGAAGACAATATGAATACAAAACGAAAGTAAAGGAATACGGTCCCCGATGGCGTGAACATTGTCCCATCAGTGCATCTCGCCTCCCCCGAAAGGAGTTCCTCCCCTGTCGACGAAGCGGTGTACAAAGACGGGCAGGGAACAGCCGACTTGGTCGCCTTCCCCTCCTCGTCCTGTCCTCCGGCCTAACCCCGTCGACGCATATCAAACACGACCGGCATGCAAGTCTGGATGTGTCTGTGGGCAAGATCCGTCCTTCGTGACGAACCACGGCGCCGAACCCACATTGTATGTCACTACATACTGTACAGTAGGTATGTACTAGATAGAGTTCTACGACTCAGTGCTGGCTGCAGAAGGTGGAACTAGCAAAAACATACCTATATCCTTTGAAACCTATTATTAGACCGCTACGTGCTTGTACACTGGATTCCACGGCGTCTCTAACCATGATGCTGCAAAAAACACGCTTCGTGCTCATGCGCAGCTGCTCTTATCCGGTATACGCTACAGGAAGCTACCTGGAATTGAGCCCTTCGACATCCAACCATCCGGAGACGGGATGCTTGTCGCTTCGCTCCAGGCCGGAGTACTGGCATAAGGTAGCACAAACCCCCGACTAGGAAAGATGATACCGACCACGCTGATTTACATAATGGTAAAACGTTTACGGGCGATCTGACGCCGGCACGACTCTACCTAGGTAGCGGGGACAGGGTCCTCTCTACATCTACCAGTCTACGAAGACTTGCCTCACTTTTCTGAATCTCCTTCGCTGGAGCAAAGCTCATTGCCCGAATACGCGGGGCTGCGACGATGTCAAAGTCGGTTGGCAAGCTGGGGGTGTCCTTCTAGACCGGGGAGCGCTTGTCGAGTGAGATCGATCAGTTCCACCCATAGGTATAGGACGTACGTGCATGGTCAATTTGTGCGAGCTTCGACAAGGGGGTTGAGCTTCCAGCAGCCTCGTCCAGACCCTAGAAGAAGGCAATGTCCTGAGTAGCTTTCGGCCCTCGGCGGCGAAGACGGTGACCGAACATGGTCAATCACTCCTGCACAGAAAACAGGTCTTGGATAAGGGCTTTTTATGATGCTGCTTGGCCTTCTGTCTGGAAAACGCCCAACCCTTCCGGACTAAGGGCCACACATCGTATTGATCTTCACCTTGTAGCTTAGGTACTGTTAGGTTTTTCAATTTGTTTCGTTTCATTTCGCGGTTTTGGGGAAGAAGGGCCGCGGCCAGTTCCCGGGCGGCATCGTACAAGGGTCAGATGGTAGGAGCTTTAGGTGGTTTCTATTCGATGAGGATACTGACATCTTCCTTTTTCTTTTTTCTCTCTCTCTGTTGTACAACTTTGTGCACACATCACCATTCGTAGCATTCTGGGGTCTTTACCCCGCTACCGTTGCGATAATGAGAGTATGGAATTAAATATATACTCTGACTCAGAGGAATTCGAAGCTTGCTGTATGTATGAATGTATGTATGTCACATATCTTGCGCGATATGATTTCATGGAGACCGGAGATCTCCAGAGCCATGCAGCAAAGCGATTATCGATGATATCAACGCTCATTAAGTCAAGGGACTCTCTAGTCTCTTCCCACGGTGCCGTAAATCAGGACCCGAATTTAATCGGCCTTAAGGTTCAGGGGGTCTTTACCGTACCGTCAGGTCAGGTCAAGTCAGGTACGGTACTTGATACCTCCATCTAGGTACATACACCGTTGACCGTACGGAGTACACAGGTACCGCCCTGACTAATCCCTAATCAGCCCCCGAGGCCCCGACGCCGTTGCCTCTTGCTTACAATTCCTGTCATCAACGTGTTTCACATTGTTTGCCACCGCAAAACTTGAATTTCCTTTCAGAAAGGAAAGGCAGTTGATCTACAAAACGTCTTGAGGGTGGAAGTCCGAAAAGCGAGAACAGAGGTGTTGTGGAACTTGGATATCGTAACAATAAAACCCTAGTGAGGGTATGATTCATTCAAGGACTGTTAGGTTATCCATCAGGAAATCCGAAGGTCTCGCTTCTTTTTATGCCCGACAGGGACGTGGATCTGCCGCTCGAGAATCGATCTGATTCGATCAAATATTCACCAGGTTCTGAATTTCCCCATACTTGGAGTCGATTGTCATTGAGCATCGTTGACTGGCTGAACGAGTCAATATGATTCGCACACATGATCTCCAGTCCAATCAAGAACAACCAGAATAATCCCACCGGACGCTCGTTTCGCCGATCAATCTAACTTCTTCCCACGTACTCCGTACAGTACGGAGTAAGAAATCATGCCTGTCACTTTTTCTGACATGTGCAGTCAGTCTCCATTATTCCTTGAAGAAAGTGGCCTTTGACCCCTTCGGGTGACCAATGATCAGCCCCTGTAGCTGTCGGTTTCGCCTCAGTCTGACTCTGCGATGAAACCGACCTGGGATCCGCTGCCACACGTGATTTCCGGCGTGGGACGTTCGGAGAGATTCACGATGGTGGATTGAGTCTTCAGACTTGTCTGGCTATCTTCGCTCCCTCCCTATCACGCCCCCCCCCCCGGCGCTAATTTAGTTGGTTCTCGTTTGGGCCACTTTTCTCTGCGATTTATTCTATCGATCTACTCTTCTCGTCGAATGGAAATTTCTCCGAACGGGGACGAACGGTCTCGAATGCCAGGTGGCAAGGGGCTCTGAAGTTGCGGTCAAAGAAAATAGCCCACCGCCAGAGTCATAGTGTCATCGCTTCCCCCCCTCCCCTCTCCCTCCCCTCCTCTAGAACGATCTCCCCACAATCTCCGAGGACATGAATAGAACTACCGCCGAGGGCTTTTTTGGACAATGCTCTCGGCAATTAGGTGGGCGCGAAGTGCGCCTAAGGCCAGTAATTGACAATTTTTTCCCCCACTGTATCTCATGCTAAGAATCCCTGTCTGGCAAGTCATTTAAGTAGATGCCTACTTATCATCTCGACGTCTGAACTGTTTTGTTGCCCAACCCCGCAAAGCCAGATCGCTTGGCCCCTTTTGCTTTTGTTGTGAGGGAGGCATCCATCTGATCATGAGTGGTGACTCGTACGGCGGTTTCGGAATGACCAAGCCGAAGGGTCTCTACCCGGGAGCGCTGTTCCGCCATCACCAACCTTTGGCTGTAAAGATGAGAGGGGGCGTTTGCGGGAATCTACAGCTCCTATCCGAGACGGAACGCACATCTTTCGTCCAGATTTTTGTGGGGTACCCACTGGCTACCTAACGGTTGATCAGAGCTTCCGACTACTGCAGCCATCTGCTATCACGCCAGCAGTCAGTCAAGCTAAAGCGGAGATAGCCGTGTTTGGTGACGCTCGCACCATGATAATCTGGATAAACTGCTAGCCTACCTAGCGTCGTGGTCATCAGGTCCTGTGTACCCTACCCGCTTGTCTTGTATTTCACAGCTGCCCATCACGACCATTCCCAAGGGGTTACGTATCGCCTTGAGCCCTCTCTGCAGAGCAGTCACTGCAAGTGAGTTGGCCAGTGGGACAGATCTAGATCAGCCATTGGCCTGTTTTGGGTGTGAGATGGCACTGGTATCGTCTTTTCTGACTGGACGCCAGACCATCGAGCGTCCTGCGCCTAGGGAGGTTGGGAGCCCATGCTTGAGCCTTGTTGCCTTGAAATACGCCCAGAAGAAACCTTGGGCATCATCCACTGGGCTAGAAATTGGAGGCTCTACTAGGTTCGGGACTGCGTTCCCATGCTGCAACTGACTCTATGGGGAAATGGAAGGGGGCATGACTTACCTTAGGTTCTACGGTTGATGCGTTGGATCTCCCCCCTTGGACTGGGGACGACTTATGCCGTGTCCCCCGGTTCTGTCCCGAGACGTCACTTCAACGGCATGCAAATGTATTCTGCCGCTGAAGCAGGCAAACTTTCCCGGTTGATGGATCATGTTCACGATGCAATTGCACAGTGGAGTGTCGTTGATAGAGTTCGCTCTTTTCTTTTCTTTTTTTTGTTTTTCTCGGAATATTTTCTAATTTTCCTCTTTGGGTGAGATGAGTCAAGATGATTGTGACAGGTCACGATGATTATCTCGCTTTAGATCAAATGATATGTCAACGTATCCTTTGGTATTCATCTGCTTAGTTGATATGAAGTAGATTAGGGTAGGGTACCAATTGTCAAGTCAAGGGGTTTTTCCTGTACGTCCATTTCATCTAGTTGCTCACTAGGCAAATTGGAAAATACAATGTAGCATTTGCGTGAAAAAAAATCCATACCCTCGACGATCAGAATGTGTCCAACTCACCGGCTCATAGTGCGTCCAACAGCCTTATCCATTTCCCAGAAAACAAGCATCCATGGTACACATAAGTGTTCCTAGAGAAGGCAAAATGGAAGTAAGTTCCATCTATGCACTACATGCCCCGTTACTATCGAACGGTTCGTGCCGCTAGACACGGTATACTGGTAAATAGCTCGTCTAAATCAGACTAGTAAAATCGGCTTCTCGTTTCTCGGTGCCACGAGCTCAGCCAGTTGAAGATATAATCCAGATACCGAATTCGCTACAAACCTTTCCTTTCATTTCGATTATTGAAGATCAGAGATAGAGAAAATGGCAATCACGGACCGATGACACTTTACTAAGATCACTAGAGATGATTGTAGTTACCTTTGGCCCCGAGTATCTTATACTTCGACTATCTGACGTAGTAGGGCAGATTGAGCCTTTTTGACTAGAACCATGGCTTGGTATATCACCATCATGGTATATCATTTCAATGGCATATAAGTTCTAATTACATGCTTATTCTGCTGCGTCAATAAACGACTGGTTGCCCAGTACACAAAGTAAACAATAAATTGGTTTCAGGGGCAGAATGTAAAAGCACGTCCCGAAACAGATCCCTGGGCCAGGCTCGTGAGTGAACGGTTTTGGAGGGATCATCAGAGATAAACAAGAAGCAAAACAAAACAACAAAAATTTTTGAGCGGATCAACATGAAGATGAGCGGGCACCAAATTAGTCTCACACATGGTACAGAGTTCCAGTTCAACGATCGGGCTTCTCTTAGGATCAGCACCTTTGAGTACATATTCCATATTAACCCACATTCAAGTCAATTACCTCATGGCGAAACAGCTTAACTGAGCAGGTCTTCCCACAGTACCTCACGCCGAACTTACTGGCTTTTCCCCATCAGTGTTGAGCGCAATCGAGTCGTACCGTTTGGGATTTTCTTGCAGTTCTTTTAAAATCAATCCCTTGACGATTTCCACCTGTTTACCGGAGGGGAAAGAAAGGGTTGCAGTCGAACACTTATGTTTTTTTATCTTGACCTTGACCTGGTTTCGGAGTGAACACACGCCACTCTAGGCATTGAACTGATCCCATTGTCCTCAGCAATTTGTCGTAGGAAATTCCTTGGAAGGGAGCCGGTGGGTGCGGAGGCAGTATATCATTTAAAAGCATCCGTTTCGAAAGCAGCCCAAACATCATCGAACTACATTGAAAGCAACACCCGCTTCGGGTTCCAATTGAGAAGGCGTCTCGCTGTTCGATGAGGGAGGAAAGACATGTAGTAGTCGACCTTTCTCTGCGACCATTCAGTTCGTCTAGATGGTTGTCAATATTTGTTCTTCTTCTTGAACAACCCAAGAACTTACCGATCACTTTTCCTGGAATTGGCAGACCAAGACTTATCACCGAGTGTTTTGAATAGCGGACAACGGCTGAGGTCAACTTTTTGAACGCGGACGATAGTTTGAGACCCAGGCAATCCATATGGTGAGCATCAGATCACGGTGATCACTTGGGAAAAACTCATCATCTGGAAGCTTGAACCACTTTAAGGCGAAGTATTGGACTGATTCTTGACACTCGTAGTAGTCTGCCAGAACGGTGACTTTGGCTAGCAACTTGAGGTTGACAACTTTGGGTACCTTTTGAGGGCGAGCGTGGAAAATGTTCATCAAGATCAAAAACGCTTCGAGGTCCCAGCCGTCTGCTGTTATTTCCACCGAACCCATCTCCAGCAGACTGGTTCCTTCTTTCCAACCCCCTATAAGGGCTTTTTCAAAGACCGCAGAGATAAGATGAGGTGCTTTTCAGACACCCGTATTCGATAGCATTTGGTTGTTGGTTCTTCAACAGCTGGCGCTTCACCATCGGGGTCTTCTTCACTCGACGATTCCGAGCTTGAACCTTCACTCGAATCTACGGAAGATGATTCTGAAGATGAAGTTTTATCAGCTGTAGGTAAGTCCTTAACAGATGGGTACTTGGTAAATAGTAAAGTAAACTCACTGGCGTTAGAAGCCTCATGCACCTTTTTCTTCTTGCGAGCTACCTCCCTCTTTTCTGATCTTCGCTTTCTTTTCTGTCCCTGATGGATCGAATCAGTATAGGCGTTCTTGCTTGTGTCACTTCAGTGCTCGTCGGATTTGGGTGGTTGGCTCACTTACGCCATAAGGAGCAAATGGATGGCTTATGCATTTTAACACTATGATGACCTCGCCCTGAGGATCGAAGGTGTGAGTTGCTTCGGCCATGGTGGTGATTTGAGGATTTGAGGATTTGAGGATTTGGTGTATGTAGGGTTATTCGAATAAAGGCCAAGCTGCAAACAGGAAGAGGATTGCTGATGCGCAATATTCAGTTTTCTTGATGAACCAGAATGGAAAGGGTTGTCGCGTGTCTGCTCCTCTTTCTCTTCATCAAGTGAGAGTTTGGGGGGTGGTTGCCAGGTCAGTGGTTCAGTAGGTCAGTAGGTGGACAGTACATTCACTTTGTTTTGTGCATTTGCATTGTCCTCGTTTGATTGGTCACATGTCAACAGCCATATCAGGCTCGAATCAACAAGAAAGCAAAGATCAGCAAGTGAGAGAGAGGAAAGGATCAAGAATTTTACAGTTGACAAGATTAACTTTCTTAACATTGCAGTACAAAGCGTAGGCCAGGGATTCGCCTATCGCTAAACATGAAGTGTGAGAGAACACCAATAAACAGTATAAAAATCTTTAATTGGGTAAGTGATCTTTCACATTGTCAAGACCTTTAAGCCAAGGTGCTCTAGTTCTGAACACCACGCCACAGCTTTGCTACCCATGACTTCTTTTGATTATCGTTCTCCTGTAGCTGACCGCGGACTTCATCAACGACAACTCCGCCATTATCGGTACCGTTAACCACATTTTGAGTGCGTCCCAAGTAGTAATTGGGCATCAAAAGACCAGCAATCAAAGGGATCACCGAAAGACATAGAGCGGTCAAGTACATTGGCCGGATGGTATTGGTGAACGCACGGATACCGGCTTCTCGCTCTTCGGTGCCCCAGGCGAACATCGTCCGAGCCTTAGTACCACTACCATAGAAGATGGCAGCATCTTCGCTCGCCAGTCCTTCATTCAGCAAGTGGCCCATATAGGTGCTGGTGTACATGTGGGAAGAGATGGCGGAGCCAACAGAAGAGCCAAGTTTGGTCCAGAGCGACAGCTGCGAGATGATTGCAGCGAGATCCTGATGCGGCACCGAGGCCTGCGAGGCTACCCGAGTTCCAACGACAGAGCATGCGCCACCCATGGCATTGAGGATCTGGGACATCACCAGCGCGCCGGTGTTGGCGTGCGGACCAACGGCCCAGTAGGTGATACCCAACGCAAGAATTCGCAAAGACAGACCGAAAATCTGTAGTATCTTGTAGCGGTGGAAGATGCGGTGATACAATCCTGCTAGAATGCCAAATAGGGTGAGTGCCACCGTTGTGATGGCCACAAAGTTGCCCCAATTGTAGTTGTCCCACGGCTTGATGACATAAACCCAGGTGGTATAGTAAGTCGAGCGAATGTTTCCGCTGACCATGTAGAAAATATCAATTACCACCGCACAGATAAAGGTCTTGTTGTGCCAGACCCGTCGATTCAGTAGGGGATAGTTGGCCCAAAAGATGTCCCAGAGGACGAAGAGGACCAAGATAACGAAGCCGCAGACTACCATAGCAATCATCGAGGCGTTTGACCAGCCGCCGTCTGCGTAACTGACGAGACTGAATGGAAGCAAGATTAGGGCAAAAGCTAACCCCAGGAGCATCAGACCAATGATGTCGATCTCATCGAGAAGTTGCCAAAATGTTTTAAGGCGGTCTTGAAGAGTTGATCGCTGGATCTGCATAGTACCGGCCTCTTCAGCCCATCTAGTCTCAAGACGACTTGCGGCAAATGAAAGTTCGCCTACCCTTTTGGCCTGACGGTCTGCGTAGAAGAGGGTGAGGATGATAGGGGTTACTAAGACTGGTGCAATGATACAGAACATCCCATATCCCCATCTCCAGCAGTTATCCGTATTGCCAGTACAAAGACTCGCCTGGATCTTGGAGCCGACGAAAGGTAGGAAGAGGAAAGGAAACGAAGTCATTGCACTGGTGAACCCACGCCATTGCAGCGGACTCAGGTCACCGACGATGATATCCGTCACCAGGTCGACGCCGGCTTGTCCGGTCGATGAGATAACTCGACCAACGCATAGCGCTACTGCATTGGGTGAAGTCGCCACAACAATGTATCCAACCACGTAAGAAACCAAGATTAAAAGGTATGCTATCTGCCGAGAAAAGACGTCGCAGATTTTGGCAAGGAAGGGCTTCGACACGGCGATGATGATGGCCTCGGCGATTTCGATCACACCGATATAGGACTGGCGATTGAAGGCTCCCGTCGCATAAACATCGTATGCCGACGTGGTAGACTGGTCAAGCGAGAAGGAAACGGCAACGGCAAAAATGCAGAAGAAGAGGGTGATTGCGACGGGATGTCGACGACCGAACAGGCGTGAAAAGGCTTCAATGCGACTCACTCCGCTTTGCTGAACATTGTGTACTTTCTCTCTATCAGCCAGGCGGAAATTGATAACATGTTCACCCTTGGAGTCATTCACCCGCTTGCTCAGTTCTGACGGCTCGGTCTGCACTGTGATTTCAGGCTGGCTAGCACTTCCCCTTGCCTTTGCAGAATCCATAGTGTGAAGAAAAAGAAGAACTTAGGTGTACCAAAGACAGCAAGAGTCATGCGCAGGGCTCAGTCGGGGTATATATAGCAATCCGCGCTGGTTATCACCCATTATAATACCAACTCTTTTCCAGGGAACGGCGACTCATTCTTCTCCGAAACTCCACTGCAGAAACTGCTGCTAAAGTTATCAGATCCGGATCCTGAAACACTATGGCCAATAGACAGCATTTATCCAGGGAATTTCGGTCCAGCTCTTGGTCTCCTAAAATCAACGACGACCAAATTCCTAAAAGGGTTGTTATAAGTGGAGCTGTTCGGCGGCGATCCTGCGAATCAAGACGAACATCGGAATCAGATTAGATGCCAAGCCAACCGACTCATGCGGCACTGGATGAAGCCAATCTTTATTTGTCTGGTTGGATCTAGCGCATGTTCCAAATGGTATATCTTCTGCGAGCGACACCGGTGACGGCGAAAACTCTGCGCAAGACCGGTTGGGATGGTATGATCATGCCGTCTCTCGACCCCTTGTGTCTAGTCATCGGGTTATTTTGGTCAATCAAAGGGGGTGGAGCTAAATTTCGCCTTCTTGGTTGATAAACATGACTGTGTGGCTAGAAAAAAAGCCTTTAGCCACGCATTTCTAGTTGCGGGCTTATGTGGGTGGGCAGAATCCCCGTCCCATGCAAAGATTGTATCCTTCTTCCAAGAACTAGGTGAGGTAGTAAATTATGCAGTAACATAGTCTCGATACATGCATTGGGTTACTCAAGTGTCAAGACAAGGATCTAATAAAACAGATAGGCGCGTCGCCTATAGGAAGGATCAGGCGAACATTGAGGTAAGATATTTGCTGGAATTCTGATCTCTGCTCTTTCGTTTGCATTAGCAGCAACCTCATCATCTTCAAGTGCACTTCACATGCTCCTCAATACCCTTATAACGTAAAAGATTTCGAAGAATGTGCGAGCACGTACATCTTTCGCTATCTTTTTGATGGGAATGCAGTAACTCAGCGGTATCGACAGAGTCCTATACGTGAGTTTGTTGGTAGCCACACCGTTTCAGAACAGGGACTTATTAGACTCCCTTCATAGTATGCCCCTTTGCTCTTTGAACAGGTAGGGCTCGCCTCCGCTGATGCCAGCTTCTTTGCCTCAGGTGTCTCTGCTATCGTGATTTTTGCCGTGACAATTCCAGCGCTTTTCTAGGCCGACAAATGGGGTCGGCACAAGATTATCTATAGGCATTGGATTCAGTCTGACCATGTTTCTGATGGGTGCTTTTTATGCAGGCAAAGTCGCGCACGCTCCACCGGCGCAGGTCGATGAGTAGTCAATGTTTCGATCTATATATTCGCAATGATTTATTCTCTCAGTTGGGCTATCAATATTAAGGCGGAGATCCAACTACGACGCAATCGCGCATCTGCAACGAGTCTGGCGTACGGCAGTAACTAGGCAACCAACTTTCTGGTGGCGCTGACAAGGCCAATTTTGCTATCCAAGAGTAGTTTTGGTACCTATTTTATTTTTGGCGGATGTACACCGCTCACGGCTTTGTTTTGTGCAATCTTGATCCCGGAGACGAAAGGGAGATCTCTAGATGAGATCGAGGACGCATTCAAGTCCAAATCTTTGAGTTCGCAGGCTTTCGCAAAACTCATCCGTCCGCGTAGAGTTAATGCAAATGAGTACCGATGTTAAAGGTGACATGTTTTTAACGAAATTGTGTCATGAAACACCTTCAATGACATCGTGGCTCCATAAAAAAGAGAGTGAACTCAGCCAAGGTCTATATCGCTATCGACATCAAGCCCTCCGTCGGAATTTCAGGGTGTATAACAGTGGGTCTACTTGGCCGTTGTAAATGGCGTGTCAGCCTTGTGAGCCCCACTCCCCAAGTGGCTGAGTTGATCAAAAGGACATAAGTAATCCTTTCTCTCCTTATTCTTGCAGTAAATTTCTTCAAAAATACCTAGATACCCGAGGCCTTAACATTTCTTCAAGTATTTTGGCAACTTCAAAGGATTTCTTCGCCTCATTTCAAAGATGTGCTCCCAAGCCCTTGGACAAATAGATGAGGAGCATGCCGCACTGGTTTTCAAAGGCCTGCAATGGCTGGCATTTGCTACAAGACCGCTTTACATCGAGGAACTCTCAGAGTTAAGCCTAGTTACTGGCAACCACGAAAGTCGAATCAATCCTGCTCAGCGATTTTCAGACCCGCGGGATATTGTTCAATTGTTCCCAAGCTCTTTGGTGACGACGACAAACGCAGAGGTTGGCGAGTCTGATTCGGTCGATTTTCAAGAGCAGCGGCAGCAAGTACGTCTTGCCAATTCCTCCGTGAAAGAATACTTGCTCTCAGAGGAGATCCAAACGGGATCAGCAAAACGATACGCTCTGAGCGAGACCAAAGCACATGCATCTATTGCTGCCGATTGCCTTGCATACCTTTTGCAGTTCAGTCAGCCATATACGATGTTAACTGAGGTTGTCCAATCGTCTGGTCTCTTGCGCTATGCAACCAATTACTGGGCTGTTCATGCGAGACACGCCGGAGCAGACATATCCGGAATTCTTCCTCTGATCAGGGAATTCTTCGAGTCCAATGTGGCATACACCAATTGGACGGCTTTCCTCGACGGATTTAGACCATTCGATGAGCCCGAAAATGCCGAGGGCGATTCGCTGGCACAATCTCCCGACCCCATCTATTATGCCGCATCGTTCGGACTCCTCACGATAGTTCAAAATCTACTTCACGACGGTGCCCTGGTTGATAGCCGAGGACCGGCAGGAACGGCACTGGCCGCAGCATCTCTGGCGGGAGACATCGATATGGTGCGGTTATTAGTTGAGCATGGCGCAGATATGGATTCTGAAGGGCCTTTGGGTCCGCCGATCAGGCTGGGTGCGCAGAATGGGCATTCGCAGGTGGTGGAGTTCCTGAGCAGCGAAAGGCGGATAAGGAGGACAGGAACGAACTAGTGCGCTTTGGGTTAGCGCTCATTGGTAATCATCTCGGATTAGTCTAGCCCTTTCGGGACAGCTCGTGGATGACATAAGCGGCCCCTCGGAGCCAGAAATTAATTCGGATCTTTTCCCCTCGCCGATAACGAAAAGAAAAAGAATTGTGCCCTGCATCTCGGCACCAGCAATGACTCTGTCGCTCGCACCGCTTATTTGACGTAAACCGTTCCTGGAGTAGGTCATAGGTGCTCATCACCGTCGTACCAGCCATGCCTCCACGTAAAAGGCCCCAGGCTGTTGCTGCCAGCGCTCGAGCAAAGGCATCAGAGGTGAGGCAAAAGTTTCTCCGCACCGGCGATCGTTTTGATTTGTTTCTATGCGATGGATTGATGCTAACATTCTATGATTCTTTGCTCTAGTCTGCCGCCAAAGCAGCCGCTGCCGAAGCAGCAAAGCAAAAATCCACCGCTCAGTCCAACCCGCCACCTGCGCCCGAAAAGTCCGCGGAGGAGGAGAATACTCAGTCACAAAATCAGCAGGGCGGCGAGCACGAAGAGTCACATACTTCCTACCGCCATCGCGATCCATTCGATGCTCTCCTCGAACCTTTCTACTATAATAAATCTCTCACGGATCCCATCAACACCGCCAAGGATAAATGGAACCTGTTGCCCGCCTTCCTGAAGGTGAAAGGACTGGTGAAGCAACACATTGACTCATACAACTACCTCGTCGAAGTGCAGTTGAAAAAGATCGTGGAGTCCAGCTCGACCATCCGCAGTGATGTGGACCACAATTTCTACATCAAGTTTACCGACATTTACCTTGGAGTCCCGCGACGTGCCGACGAGCCGCAGGATGTTGGGGTCGCCTTTGATGGATCGTCGGTGTCTCCCCAAGAGTGTCGACTTCGAGACACAACGTACGCGGCGCCCATTCAAGTCGACTTCGAGTACCTCCGTGGTCGCCAAAGGGTGAAGAAAATTGGTGTCTGCATTGGAAGAATGCCGGTCATGCTTCGCAGCTCCAAATGTGTTCTGTCCAACAAGTCGCCGGCGGAGATGACCGTGCTCAACGAATGTCCTCTGGATCCCGGTGGTTACTTCATCGTCAACGGAACAGAAAAGGTCATTCTTGTTCAAGAACAGTTGAGCAAAAACAGAATTATCGTCGAAACAGACCCCAAGAAGGAAATTGTCCAAGCATCCGTTACCAGGTAAGCCCAGACGATCGCCCTTTTGCATAGCTCAAGTGCCTTCTTACTAACTTTCTCTCCAAGTTCGTCCAACGAGCGCAAGTCGAAGAGTTATATCATTCTCAAGAAGGACAAGCTTTATGTGAAGCACAACGTTCTGAATGAGGACATTCCCATCGTCATTCTACTCAAGGCCATGGGCATTCATACTGATAAAGAGATGATGCTTCTCGTCGCTGGAATTGATAAGGTGTATCAAGAGGACTTCGCGATCAACTTCGAGGAGGCCATCAAGCTTGGTATCTATACACAGCAGCAGGCTTTGGACTGGATCGGTGCCCGCATCAAAATCAACCGCAAGCAAATGTCATACCGTCGAACCCACGTGCAGGAAGCCGTAGAGGCCATTGCATCCGTGATCATCTCGCATATCGAAGTCAATGACATGGACTTCCGGCCCAAGGCCATCTATGTTGCCCACATGGCTCGCCGTGTACTCATGGCTAAGAACGACTCTTCGCTTGTGGATGATCGCGACTACCTTGGAAACAAACGACTGGAATTGGCAGGTCAGCTGTTGGCATTGCTCTTTGAGGATCTGTTCAAGAAATTCTGCTTTGACATCAAGATGAACGTTGATAAGGTCTTGAACAAGCGTAATCGGGCTGAAGCGTTCGACGCCTGGAGTGTGATGAGCATGCACAGCAATCATATCACTCAGGGTATGAATCGCGCTATCTCCACTGGTAACTGGAGCTTGAAGCGTTTCCGTATGGAACGTGCTGGTGTCACCCACGTGCTCAGTCGACTGAGTTATATCGCCGCACTGGGTATGATGACCCGTATCAGCAGTCAGTTCGAAAAGACCCGAAAAGTCAGTGGGCCCAGAGCTTTGCAGCCGTCGCAGTTTGGTATGCTTTGTCCAGCAGATACTCCAGAAGGTGAAGCCTGCGGTCTTGTTAAGAACCTTGCGCTTATGACACACATCACCACGAACGACGAGGAGGGACCCGTCAAGAACTTGGTTTTCATGCTGGGAGCCGAAGATATCGCAACGGTGGGTGGAAAGGAGCTATATGGACCTGGATGCTATACGATTTCGATCAACGGAACGCCGATGGCACTCACCCGCCGCCCGAAATTTTTCCTGAACTCCTTCCGGAGACTGCGGCGGATGGGCCGGATTTCCGAGTTTGTCAGTATCTACATCAATCACCACCAGCGGGCCGTCCACGTTGCCACCGATGACGGGCGAATTTGCAGACCTTTGATTGTTGTCGAGAATGGGAAATCTCGCGTGAATGCAGAGCACTTGAGCAAATTGCGCGAGGGTACCATTGAATTTGACGACTTCCTTGCTCAGGGATTGGTAGAATATCTTGATGTCAACGAGGAGAACGACTCACTCATTTCCATTTACGAGAAAGACATCAGCGAGACAACTACACATTTGGAGATTGAGCCGTTCACTGTCCTTGGTGCCGTGGCCGGTCTAATTCCGTATCCACACCACAACCAGTCGCCACGAAACACTTACCAATGTGCCATGGGTAAGCAAGCTATTGGCGCAATTGCATCGAACCAGTTCCTCCGTATCGATTCCATCCTTTACCTCATGGTGTACCCTCAAAAGCCGATGGTCAAATCCCGTACGATTGAACTGACCAAGTACGATCATCTCCCCGCTGGGCAAAATGCTATTGTCGCGGTCATGAGTTACTCCGGATACGATATTGAGGATGCGCTGGTATTGAACAAGGGCTCCGTTGATCGTGGATTCGGACGTTGCCAGGTGTTTAAGAAACAGGTTACCAACCTGAAGAGTTACTCCAACGGCACAAAAGACCGGTTGAGTCCGCCCCAGTATGAGAATGACGCTCCTATCCGAAAACATGCCCTCCTTGAGGGTGATGGTCTGGCTTCGGTTGGTGAACAGGTGAACGCGGGTGAGGTCTACATCAACAAGGCTACACCTGATCAATCGCACGGCTCCGGGATCACCGGCTCTGACGTTGGTCGACCCGTCCAATACATGCCTACTCCCATGACCTATAAGCTTCCTGACCCGGCGTACATTGATCAGGTCATGGTCTCCGTCACCGAAAATGAGAATCAGCTTGTCAAGGTGCTCACCCGTCAAACGCGACGACCTGAAGTTGGTGACAAGTTCTCATCCCGTCACGGACAGAAGGGTGTTGTGGGTATCATCGCCGATCAGGCCGACATGCCCTTCACCGACCAAGGAATCAACCCCGACATTATCATGAACCCCCACGGTTTCCCCTCTCGAATGACAGTCGGAAAAATGCTTGAGCTGGTCGCCGGTAAGGCCGGCGTCCTCTCAGGTCAGCACGGCTATGGCACCTGTTTTGGTGGCAGTCCCGTCCAGGAGATGTCGCAGATCCTCATCGACAAGGGTTTCAGCTACGGTGGCAAGGACTACCTCACGTCCGGTATTACTGGCGAAGCTCTCCCCTTCTATGTCTTCACCGGCCCTATCTACTACCAGAAGTTGAAACACATGGTTCAGGATAAGATGCACTCTCGTGCGCGAGGCCCTCGCGCCATTCTCACTCGCCAACCCACGGAAGGTCGTTCTCGAGACGGTGGTCTGCGTCTCGGTGAGATGGAACGTGATTGTCTGATCGCCTACGGAACAAGTCAGCTCCTGCTCGAGCGACTGATGATTTCGTCTGATCGTCATGAAATCGACGTCTGCGAGCAGTGCGGCTTCATGGGCTACCTGAACTGGTGTCAGCGATGCAAGTCTTCTCGCAGCGTGGTCAAGATGGTTATTCCGTACGCGGCTAAGCTGCTGATTCAGGAATTGATGAGTATGAATGTCACGGCTCGGTTGAAGCTTGAGGACGAGTTTCCTGAGATGAAGGGACGGTAAAGGCAAAAACAAACTGAAGAGGAAAATGAAACTGGATGCAAATAGGGAAAAGTTGGTCTCGGCCTCGAAAAGTGTTCCAGAAAAGGCGTTCAGTGGTTAATGTACATATCGTTTGTATGCATAGCGCACGGTGACTTGGTTTGAATAGAGTTATGATTCTTGTTCCAAATATATAGTGTAGAGGTCTTTTTTCTGCTGGTTCACAGTATATCACACGGAAATCTAACCATACAAGTATTCCCTCTCATATCAGCAACCCATATATGAAAGACCGAGTATATATCTAGATCTGAAGACACCGAATCGTAAAAAAATTGAGAAAGGACTGGCCAGGGACTCCAACCAACCCTCGGATCTAACAGACGGCAATCCTGCATCGAGGCGCAGCTTCATGACATAACATGCAGGTACCGTAGGGCACCTCAAAACAGACCACGTCTATTCCATTGCGTAATCTATACCCCATCCAATAGTTTGAGATGCTCACTCACAATCCCCCAATACCGTTGCGGATCGGCCCTCATGTGAGAAACATGCGGCGTGCCATCGAACTTCTCCCGCCGAACCACCCAGCCCCTGGACTGTGCTTCGGCCGCATGCGCCTCGATATCCATCCAGTTGACCAGTTCGTCTGCATGGGAGTATATATAACACCGGGGCGGGGTGTCTTTGCCACCAGTTCCGCGCACCACGGACGGGTCGTTCGCCGCCTGGCGGGCGATACTTACAGCATCCAGATTGCCGGTTATTTTGCGGTTCCAGTGGCCCAGCACCAGGACCACCCAGAGCAGCACCTTGCCGCAGATGCGGAGGAGCCAGAATTTGGGCAGGATAAACGAGAAGGCCCTCATTGCGGCAGGCACGGTGGCGAGCCCCGGCGCGCTGTCGAAGATGATTGACGTCAGGCGTAAGTCAGTTCCCGTTGCCTTGTGGTAGGCTGAAAGCAGGTTGGTGGAGGTGAAGACGCCGCCATTGGAGAACACGTGCAGGTAGACTGGGCTCTTCGGGGTAGGGAGCGAAGCCTGCAGGGCTTGGATAGCGGGCGAGAGGCGCTCATGCTGCGCTTGGGTGGCGGAATGGAAGAGAAAATCATTCGAGGTGCTGAGAATGAAAATGATTCGGGCAGATGGGGCCAAGCGCTTGTACTCGACCACGTACTTGGTTAATGCTCTGGCAGGAGCATTCATCCAGAATGAAAGTACGATTGTCTGGGACGGATTTGGGCCATTCTGCGAATTGGCATCGGGCTCAGATATGTAGACCGAGGGTGATAGCTTGGTGAAGATTGCCAATGGATCATCCGGTCTTGGATTGGAAGTCATTGTACTGTAGATATAAGGCTGTGGTGAACTGTCCTTCAGACCGAGGTAAACGGTAGGGCCAAGAAGCGAGAAATATCAATGCAACCAAATCCCGTTAGGAAGAAGCGTAATTTGACTGGCAGAGTCAAATACCACCCGGCAGGGCAAACACTCGATGGTCGAAGAGATTGGAGGAAGTTAAGTTCTCAAGGCGCAGTCGATCCGTATTAAACGGGGCGGCGCTCAGCGATAAGTCGCCGTTCGGAAGGCCGCAGCAAAGGAGTCTCGGCATTCCCTGCGGCCGTTAGTCACGAATACGTTCAGTCCCAGCCTTCATGGCATCGGGTTATTAAATTGCAATCTTGCCTTACTGGCCATTCTCTCTACTTGTGTCGCATTAAAGCGATGAAAAGAAAACAGTAACTCCTGATTAAACGCCAGTCCTCGCTATGCTTTATGTGTCCGACCTGGGTTTTGTTTGGTGCCCACTGATATTTAGAGACATGGTTGGTATTCGCCAGGTAGAAAGTAGAAGAAGATCGAAAGAAATAAGATCATCGACGAGAACGCCACAAGTACCATTAAGCCATTGCATTGCTCGCACGACATTACGTAGGAGTCGCCGAACCCCCCGTGTCCTTCTTCTTCCCTCGAAGCGTCTGTCCAGCTCCTTGGAAGCGCGGCTTCTCATCCTCTACAACCTGCCCACTGTCATCTCGCTTCTTGACAGGCTTGATCGCATACCCAAAGAACAATTGGTTAGGCGGCAGCCGTAAGGGCTGGGGTCCGTTGGTCCTTTTGACTGGTGGAGGATGCTGGGGGTTGCTGGCCCCCGGCGTAGGCGTTGAAGCCTTGGGGGTTGGCGTCTTGCTCCCCTTTTTGGCATTCAAACGATGTCCACCAACAAGGAAGTTTGACGACACCGCTCTCGCGCCTGTGGCAGCATCGGTCGATTCCGGTGCAATAGCAGCATAGTTGATTGCCTGTGCCATTGTCCCTTGTGGATGAAGCAGCCCGCCCGACGGCAGCTTCCCACTTGTGCCGCTCCGAGGGGTGCTGGTGCCGCTCTGGCGTTGGATCTCCTCGTATCCGACGGGCGGTGCGAAGTCGACTTCCAGATCCGTTTCCAAAACCGAAACGGCCTTGGCGTTCGTCGAAGGTTTGGTTTCCAGCACTGCCATCTCGTAAACCTGATCATTATAGGTAAAGGTGAAAACGTCGCCCTTGGTGAGACAAGAGAAATTGCGGAAGGCATTCTCTAGCACGGCCTTGGGGTCACTGATGTCAAGGAATGAGGTCGACTGGGCCTGTAGCTTGATAAATTGGCCGGGAGGAAGGTCGGTCGACTTGATTTGAACGAGATCACCGGGTTCAAGAAGAAGAGTTTGCATCAACTGCACGGGTCCCCGATAATCAGCACAGACGCGACAAGAAAGGCAAGCTTTTCGATGACCAAGCAAAACCTACCCAGTAAGGTAAATAGATCTTTCCTTCTTCAGCGATGAACTCCAATACACCAGCATGGGTCATTCTCTCCCGAGCACCATTGTGTAGTTCGAAAAGCATGGGATACGTAATATGCAGCCGAGTCAGTTTGTCCAGGGCGCTGGGCGGCATGATGACCTTGCCGCCGTGGTTGACATTCTCTCGTTCAGGGCCGGGCATCATCACAACGGGGTAGCATCGATAATATTCGTCGAAACGGCGCGTGGCGCCTCCAGATCGAAGCATGGACGAACCGTAAACGCCCTCCATTGGGTCGTCGCCCCAGTAGTCCGGACGGAACTGCTGTCGTCAGTATACAAAGAGGTCGACAACGGTTGTAGCAGTGAGTGATCTTACCATCTTGGGAGCTGTAGACGCTTACAATCAAGCTTTCCCGGGAATCAGGAGCTGGAGGTAGGCAGTTTGCGAAGGAGGGGCTCAATAGCGATCGATGCTATCGACGAAACGGAGATGTTGAGGGAAGGTCGTAGAGCAGTGATCGATCGCCCGCAGTGACGCAAATGCCTCCGCCATGATTTTCCGACCCGACCCCGGACAAGCTCGAGCGCGCATTTTCAACTCTCACTTCATTGCCCTTTTTCTAACTTCGGCTATTGCGAAAATTGCCATATCCTTGTCACCTTATTCGAATCTACTCCTTCCTTTTATACGCAAACCCAGCCTCCAATGTCTGGCTTTCAAGCTCGCCCCAAGCGGGCGGGTGAAGACTTCTCGCGAACACACCATGAAGAAGACGATGCGAACGATCCTTCATCGAAGAAACCGCGATTTGACCTACGAAACCCCTCCACTCTAGCCCCAGATGCCTTGGATGACGATGTTGTTCTGGATGCAGATGAAATTGGCCGTCGCGGACAACAAGTGCGCCGCAAAGCCGTCAATCTAGACGGTTACGACTCTGACAGCGACAACGAAGGCTTCCATGCGCGGTCCGAAGCCAAGTCAAAGGCCAGCCGTGCAAAACAGGACGCCGATGATGACGACATGTTTGCAGAATTAGAAGAGGATTTCGGTGCGGAGGAGGTCGATGCCGACGAGGCTATGCGCAAGAACAAGAAGAATGTGCGCTTCCTGCGAGATGACGAAATTGAGGGCCAAGTAGCTGGGTCAAAGGGTGGAGGCACACTACATGCGGACTTGAGCCGAGGACCTGACGAAGTAGACGCGGACGAGGCAGAAAGCGACAGTGAAATTGGAGAGGAGGAACGTGCCAAAGTCGATGGGGAAATGGACGAGGAGCTAGGGGCAGGGTCGAAGAAAAAGCATGCGCCCTTGCTCGACGCTTTCAACATGAAGACGGAACAAGAAGAGGGCAAATTTGATGACCAAGGCAATTACATTCGAAAAGCTGCCGACCCCGATGCAGTCCACGATACGTGGCTGGAAGGTGTCTCGAAGAAGGAGATTCGACTCGCGAAGGAGGCTGCCGACAAAAGAGAGGCCGAGAGGAAGGAAAAGGACAGGGCGAACGACAGTGTCCTTGCGTCAGATGTCTTAAAAACGCTTATCATCAACCTCAAGCGAGGCGAAACGATACTTGAGGCATTGGCCAGGATAGGCAAAGGAGCCCCCAAAAAGCCAAAATGGCAGAACAACCGCAACAAGAATCGATCCAAGCAAAAAGAGACCGCGGCTGAAGATACGGATATGACTGAAGATGACCCCAAAGAGGCTGCGCGGAAGAAAACCATTGAGGATGTTACGGGTGCGGCAGATATCCTTATGACCAGGGGCCAGGCCGACATCTACGATACGGAACGTGAGCTTCTGACTCGACAATATCGTCGGGAAACAGGGGAAGACTGGATTGATCCGCCGGAGGAGGACACCGCCACCACCGCCGATCATCAAACTCCTACCATGTGGCAATTTCGTTGGTCTGATGCTCGAGACGGTGGAGTTGTACATGGCCCATACGATAGTGCAACGATGGAGTCATGGAACCACGCTGGTTACTTTGGTGAAGGCGTTGAATTTCGACGGACAACGGACACGGGCGAATGGAGAAGGGAAGCTAATTTTACTCAATAATGAGTTGCATGGACAAAAGGCATACGTCAAGAGTCAGTCTGCAAAGTATCAATCGACATCTTGGGATGTTTCGTTTCACAATTATCGTTCGAGCGTAGACGCGCTCTTTTAATGCTATGATTTAACAGATTCCAATTAGAGACCCAAATGACAAAATACCCACACAACTGATTTCTGAGCAAAGCGCCAGCATTATCGTACATCACTTGATGTGTAAAGAAAACCAAGGGAATAATAAAAATGAATATGAAAAGCAACGAAAAGCATGTCAAGGTTTTTTATTTCTTTTTCACACGCTCAATCACCCTGTTTACTCCGCCCTTGCAGCATCGGATCCAATTTAGATCATTCACTTTAGTCACCTCATGAGATCTCCATGGCATCCCCAGCTGCTGCCGCGGAAAAGTTGACGAATCCCTGGTCACCGATGAAGCGCTGCTCATAGGCATTGACAAACTTGACACTTCGGGCAGGGTCGTAGAACAACCGGTAGCTGCGCTGAACGTCATCAATGCTGACCTCCTTTGCCTTCCGCTTCTGACTCAGAAGATGGGATGTTGTGACAATATGACTGGCATATCGGAGGTTTGACTCTTGTCCAATCTTGGTGAGAAGTGCCAGGGCGTCTGGGGACAGATCAATCTCTTCCTCCTGGGCTCGGATGGCTAGGATTTGTCTGATTTCGTCGGCTGAGTATGCCTGGGTGCTAACAATTACCACACGGTCGAGGAAATCAAGAGGCAGTCCGTGAGGGGAGTTGTAGGTCGTTCCCCGAATTCGAGTATGGCCACGGTTGCTGGCCATGATCACGATGGGAGCGAGTTCGGCCTCCAACGCTCGGTTGACATAGGAGAAGCATTCAATGTCAAGCATGTGTACTTCATCAATGAACAAGACTCCAGGGATAATTTCCGCCTTGCCCTCTTCCTTCCATTCAGCCACCTTGGTATTGATTTGGTCCCGGACTTCACTCCGAATCTCACCCGTGTCTCCCGAAAAGAGAGCCAGGAACCCTTGTGAACGCGAGTTGATCACATCAATCTCATGAAGGCTCACGGTGTGTACAATTTCCTTGCGCACCTGAAGTTCACCCTCAGGACACTGAACAAATTTGGTATCAGCACCCATCGCATCGTAGTCTCGAGATCGGGCATAGGAGCGTCCGAGCTTGGTGATCTTGCCGGATGACTTGTCGATGGAGATGATGTCTCCTGCCATCACCCGCTCCTTAGTCATCGAATCAATCATTTTCGTGCCCATGTCGTAAATCGTCTCCATGTCGGTGGTTTTGATCGTGAGTTTTCCTTGTTTATTGCCCTAAGCTAGTTAGCACCGATTATTCCCTCAGTGATATGATGATTAATGAATAGCAAGACTCACGCCCGTAACGCTCCGATCGATCTGGATTTCCACAACCTCTCCCTCAATGATCTCACTTTCCTCTTTAATCCGGACGCCGATCGATTTCCGGAAAGCTTGCGTGAGGGCTTCCGTTTTCGACATCTCCATCGAAAAGATTTCCGATGAGGCGAGCATCGTAAAAGGGACATCCGATCCTAGAGATTGGGCCATACCCATGGCAATCGCAGTTTTACCCGTGCTGGGAGGTCCGGCGATTAACACGGCGCGACCAGCAATATTCCCTTCCTTCACCATCTGCAAAATGACTGCGGCTGCCTTTCGAGCCTTCTCCTGACCCACAAGACCCTGCGAAGAGGTCCTGGGCTGCAACGAATCCCCATCGACACCAAGTCCCCGAATATGCGAATGAGCAGCGATGAGGTTCAGACCCCGGAGCTCCTTGGTCTCCGCGACCGTAGAAATTGGCTGGGATGGCATTAGAGAGCAGATTTGCGCGAGAGGGGAAGCAGAACTCACAGCAGCCATTTCGAATATTTAGAACAATGCGCGCCTCTTGAGATGCAGTACTCACTAAGCCGGTCACAGCAGCAAAATGGATCAGAGTGCGAGGTCCTTGAATCCCGGGCGAAAGAGCTGCGCCTGGCAGAATGGCAGCCGCCTTATACACCGCCCGGCAGAATCTTTTGTTTGCCTCTTGTCGTTTCATTCAGTTGCTATGTTGCGCGACATCGTGCTCCATGCTCCATGAGATTGTCTTCTCTAGGAGTGCTTTCGCGCTTTCCAATTTTGACCAAATCACAGACTAGAGACTCAGCGTATTCCATGCGTCTTGGTAACTCTAGTTAGTACTTTGCCGACAATGATCCTATACAATCCTTGAGTACAGAAAGTGGGCACAAGAAAAAAAAAAGTTGCGCTCTCAGAATCAACATTCACTACACCCCATTCACCTTGTCATCACCTGATCGCGTCTCGAAATAGCCCTCCTTATCTACATTCCGCTGACTACAAAATGAATGCCGAAAACCCCGTCAACGCCCCGACTTCTCGCGACCCCCGCCTGACGCATCTTAGACCGCCTCTTCGAACAAGTCTGAGTACACTGCAGGCTCCACAACTTCCCAATTCTCCGGCTCTTCCCCGAACTGCAAATCAGAATGATGTCGGCTTCGGAGATTTCATACAGGGAATCTCGGGGTTGGTGCAAGCCACTATACATGATACTCAAAACCGGGCAGAGAAGGAAAGGCTTCAAAAGCAGAAGGAGTCAACTGAGCGCCTATTAAAGCGTGCCAGACTTCACCCGAACTTTCCTGCCACGATTGAGTACTTTCAGCGGGCGCGTGATGATGAAGATGCCGAGATATCGCGGATCAAAAAAGCACTGGAGGATTCCACTCGTCATCAGCTTGAGAAGGAACTCAAGTCTAAATTCCCATCTTCGACGACGAATGAGAAGATTCATGAATTGGAACACGAGGTCCACGCGACAAAGCACGTATCGTCACAGCTCAGGGAACGAAACCAGACTCTAGAAACAACACTCAACGCGAAGCTTTCCGAGCTGCGGGAACGGTTTGAAAGTCAGTGGAAGACACAAGCCAAGCATAGTAGGGATTTTAAAGAGCGCATGGATCAATATCAAGCATTATCCTCCACTTCAGAGACGACATCTGCCAAGATTGCCACGGAAATCAATCATTTCAAACAGAAACTCACGGACCTTGAGACAACTTCAGCCAAGCTTCCTGCGGAAATGAATAATTGCAAACAGAAAATAATGTCCCTTGAGACTAGGATCGAACCGCTATGGAAGTCACAAAATCACTTCACTGCCTCTGTTGCGAAAATAAGCGAGAAGACGAAGGAGCAGGAGGAGAAGCTGGACGGCCTCAAGCTCCAAGACGTCGAGTCGATCCGGAAAGGGTTGTTTGAACTCAAGACCCATGTGCTATCTTATGAAAGTAGCCATGCCGCTGGACGCCAAGAACAGCATCTACCTCACGCTGAACTACAAGAACTCACTTCACGGCTTCAAAAGCTGGAGAGCGCACCCGATCCGATGCCTCAGGTCCAATTGATCCATAATGGTTTGAAACAGCTTACAGAAATACGCAGTAAAAGCGATGATCTTCAGTTCAAAGAATTGGAGGAAATCAAGAAGAAAGTGGAACTTGAGGCGGATAGATCGGCAAATATGTCCAATGAAATTGTACGCCTTGCAAATGGGATGCAAAATTTGAGTCGTCAGCAGAACCCAGCAGCTCAAAACGTTGCGCAACTGGCCGTGTCTGTTCAGCACACGCAAAAGACCCTTGAAACTGTCAGGATAGGGTTGCATTCGCTGGAGACTAGGTACAACAATCTAACGACCGAAACCGTTGTCAAGAACATGGTCGCTGCAATGCAAGAGATGTATCCGAACATCAGTCAGTTGACAGACCAGACAAGCAGACTCAAAGGGCTTATTGACAAAGAATTACCTCCGTTGCTGTCTAGAATTGACGACATAGATCAAACGCTACAATCTCACATGGACACGACACGACAAGATGCTTCTGCCCGCTTAGAGCAATTAAATCGTCTAAAGGATGATCATTTGAGTCTATCTCAGTCCCTGGGGCCTCTGTGGGAACGCTTTGGCTCGGAGGACCAGCAGCTAGTCAGCAGCGAAGAATTTCGTACGCTGGGAGCCGACCTAGGATCTTTGGTCAACACGATCAGTGAATATCCAGCCAAAGACAAAATCCTCACTCCTGGGGATCTTGAGGTGCTCAAGTCGAAATTTAATGTTCTAGATCAAAAAATGAGCGGGTTCAGGACCAGCTTCATCACACAACTAGGCGCCAAGGCGGACGATGACAGGATCAGACAGACCGTGAATAAGGAGCGAGACTGTCTCTCGGAGCAGATCAGCAGCGTATCCACCCAAATCAACGAATTGGCCAAAAACTTCGCAGAAATGAAGGCGGCAGATACTAACCGGGGTGATAAGCTCGCATCTCAGGAGGTTGACATCAACGGGGTGCGAGACCGCTTCGACGAATTCAAAGAGTCTACGCTCGAACTATACCAGTACCTGTGCAAGGAGCTAGATAACGTCAGAGCGACCATGGAGTCACATGTATCCAAAGCGTCGACCCCGGTAACTGCTCAGAGGGAGACAACTAAGCAGGAAAGCCCTGCCCGCGAAGCGGCTCTAGTCAAAGCCGTTGCGGAGACCATTCCAGGTCTTGCTTTGCGGGAGCAGAAAAGGAAAAATAAACGGCCTCGTCCGTCGAGTCTAGCGAACGAAGAGAAGGACTCAGCGCCCCCGTCAGAATCCCCGGCATCGTTCGCATCCCCGGCTCCTTCGACGCCTAGACCAGATGAAACCCCAGAAGCGAAAAGAAAAAAAAGAAGGAAGAAGCGGAAGGTCGAGGAACCGATTACCATCGACGATTAAGTTGAAGACTTGTTTGTACATCAACATCAACCACCTCTGTTTATTCTCGGCGATATTTTGGCGTCACCAGATACCACCCATGCTATGCTTCATTACCTTGGAATACGTCGGCCTAGCTGTGATTTTCTTTCCACTTTATTCCCCTTCCTTTTTTCTTGGCGTTTTTCTCTCGTTCGGATCTTCTTTCGGGTCTTGTCCCTTGAATGTATGTATAATTGTTCTACACATTTACTCTTTGTAGTAAATGATGAGCTTCTGATGTTGCACATATCCCAATAAGCAACTGGGCGCCATCCGCCAAGTCTCCATCTAGTCTATTCCCTTCCCCAACTTTCTCTTTTGGTTCTTGTTCGTTTAGCATACGTCCAATTTCTAGGGTGTTTCTTGCAAAAACTTAACAACGACTAGAAGCAAAAAAGTCAGCTGGATGGTATCCTCTGGAATACTTTCGACGCCTACCTTGTCTGAAAGCTTCCGGGTTCTCCGAGATCAACCAGTGGCCTGCCTCCACATCGGCTATTTGAGCATGGGGGAAGAACTTTTTGATGGCGGGGATCGATTTATCGCTAACGTATCGACTTTTCGTGCCTCTAACGAAAAGCGTCGGGCCCTCGTACTTGACCAGGTCGGCTTCCTGGTACGGGAAGCCTGCCATGTTGTCGAGAGAGGAGCCGATCACAGAAAGTGGCACGCGGAATTTCATCGTCTTGCCTTCTTCCGAGCGGACCAGGTTGGTCAGGAGGAATTGACGAATGGGCAGAGACTAGAGGACCGTGTCGTGTGAATATCATACCCTGCAAGTATGCCTTCTATCAAGTCCCCAATACGGCACCACTTACCTCTTCGTAACCTTGGAGAATCTTGTCTGCCTCTGATTGCTTGCTAACTTTCTCGGTCTCGACATGTTGCATGCCTTCAACGTACTTGCCAAAGTCACTCTTCAGCGCCGCGTTGACAGGCGCATTGTCCACGGGGATTAAAGCCGAGACCAAATTGGGTGAATCAAGAGCCACGGCCATGGCAGTCTTCGCACCCCTGTTGTACGGATTAGTTGGGCTCCTTTGATCCCACCAAGCTCCTGGGCTCATCGGTAGCATGACTAGCTTTCACATACATGGAATGACCGATGAGAATACACTGGTCCAGGTTCTGCTGGTGAATGAACTTGGTCACGTCCTCTGCCATAACCGAGTAGTTATGCTCTTTCGCATGGAATGATTGGCCATGATTCCGGAGATCCTAAGAACGTCCATAAGCATGAATGAATAATCTAGGCTGATACATTGAAGTTTCAACGTCAACAGGACACACCAGCGTGAAGATCTGACGGTTGAGGTCACGTGCCAAGGCCCTATCATGATCATTCAGTTAACTTAATCGGAGAGAGAGAACGACAAACCATTCCTGAAGCACATACCGGCTAATACTCCGATTGTTCTGTTTCGAACCGAACAGGCCATGCAGAAAGACGATCGGGCTGCGGCTGGCTTCCTCCTTTTCCGGCCCGAAAACCTGGAAGGACAACTCCGAGCGGAGGCCTCGGGAGGTCGAGAATGTACGGATGCTCGAGGCGGCGCGAAGGGCCACGCGTATGGATTGCATGATTCTACAACGCTGCGTGGTGGAGCAGATCCTTAGTTGGATTCGAGGAGTTCATCCGGAGACTCCTTCTCTTCTCCGGATAGTTAACGTAATCGGTAAGCGAGTCGGCCACGTACCGTAGTTGATCACCTGATGCACGCCCCCACCTGATGCACGAAAATCAATTGCACACCGATATTTTCACGATTTTCGACTCTCAATATCTCCACGAATATGGCTCCAATTGATGAAGCAATTGCAGAGTTAAAATCGATGACGCCTGAAGAACGGCCTACGCTGACATTTATAGCGAAAAAATATGGAATCAACCGCTCAACGCTATCTCGACGTTTTCACAGTGTCACACATTCAAAAGATGATCAATATCAAAATCAGCGATTGCTCAACGATCGACAGGCGAAAGTGCTTATTTCAAATATCAATGAATTAAGCGAGCGAGGCCTTTATATTTCGCATGAAATGCTGCGAAATCTCGCTCATGAAATCAGTGGAAATCGACCCGGAAAACAGTGGCCGAGCCGCTTCTTGCAGCGATACAGTGACGATCTTATATCGCGTTATACGACTGGAATTGATTCATCTAGAAAGCGAGCCGATTCAGCATGGAAATACGCTTTATATTTTGAGCTTTTAGCTCGCAAAATCG